CCCACTGTGGAGGGTCTCCTGGATGGGCTCATCCACCACCGTAGACTCGGCCGGGATTTGGAGGGCGTTGAGGGGCGATTTATCGGAAACCGACGCCGACGAAGCTCGTGCCACACTGCCTTCTTCAGCACGCTTGCCAGCTGCTGGTGGCGCAGTTTGGCAATCCTTCGTCCAATTGATTACCTCCTGGAATCTGCAGGCATCACTCTTCAGACTGTCCTCGATGAATTTCTAGTAATGCCAGCTTGGGAGATCCTATACAATATAACTGCAGGATGGTTCTCTCCGGCATATTTGGAGCGTGTTAGAGCGGTAATGTCGGTTGTAATCGATGACAGCCGAGCAATGCATTCCATTTCATACAGGGTGGGCTGCATATGCCGTAGCTTCTGGCCATATAAACGACTATTGGTTGTCGTGATTTGTAAGATCTTTCGCGTAAACAGGCACATGGCTGACACGATCTTGACGCTGTTATGAATAGAGCAGTTGTGACTGTCAAGGAGAGTCGCGCCGCGCGGAAGGTTCAGGCAGGATACATGCAGCATCTGGGTTGACTTCTGCTGTTGGATCCCCGGAAAATGAAATGTCATTTTGTGATAGGAGGTAATGCGCTCTCGGATTCTGTCGTCGTACCATTGGGCGCCCCGACCAAGATTGCTTCATCGCGTAGCTGCAAACGCACTCTGCCTTGCAGATGGACAGCCGGATGCGTCAGTGTTTGTTGTCCATTCAGGAAATGTCCCATGATGTAAACGACTCTTATTCCTGGACAGTGCTTTCTGATACGCCTCTCTATCTTCTCCCTCGAGGATTAATGAACAGGAATCTGCGCTGAATAGCCTTGTAATTCTATGAGGCAGCTTAACCGGAACGGACTCAGATGAGGACAGAGCGCTAAATTCAATGTTGGGTCGACCATCCAGTAGAGTCGTGGAGATTCGGGACTGTGTACTCGAGAAGGGGGGGTTCTATATGATTAGATGGCCACCTTTCTCACCGGAACTTAATCTCATTGAAACGGGGTAGAATTAGATAAAAACTATCTTCAGACAAACTTCCCTGAACATATGACGCTTTTCGGAGCTTGGGATAGCCCTTAGAGAGGCCAGGGATGCTGTTCTTGTCAATAGGACAATTACTGCAACCAGCTAATGATATAAAGGGTAAAAGAACAATTACTCCTCTGAATAAGGTCATGTGAATTGTGGATTAGATCTCTGTTATCTCCAGTTGTTGAGATGTTCTTGTAGTAAGATATTTTGGTGATGCTGACGTACATGACTAGAGGAGTATTGCCAGATGCAGAACTTGGTAATACAGAACTATGGATGGATTTGTTCAGAAAGAGCAACACAGCGCTAAAGTATTTTTATTATACGTCACCATATCTTCCATATCTTCCGGTGCTTTTGGTATTTTCAAGCTTCTAGACCACCTTGATAAACTTTGTATGATCTTACTCTGCCTATAAAAACACTTGAGATTCTACTTAGACGTCTTACTATTTGCTCAACTCCAACACAGTTAGTCTACCAATTGACCGATAATATCTGTTCAGTAAGTTAGTATTACATTTAATGGCAATAGAGGATTGTGCAGGGTACTGATTATGCTCAGACCGCCTCAACGCGCAGCGTGGAAAGCCTTAACGTGCCTAATATTGACTGTTATACGGCAAAAATGAAAGCTGCTGCTGCTGCCACTTTTATTGTGTCATTGCTGTCTATGGGCTCTTCGGCATGGTTGATTCGTACACCGCGGGGATCTTATTTTGGTGATGGCTACCAACCTTGTACCGACATTGGTATCCGAAGGGGAGATACTGTCTATGTCTCACAACTTGAACCTGATGAAGCTGCTCGGTTCTGCGCAGACAGTGATTGCAGGTATGCGGTAGAAACTGTTACTGGTCCTGGTGGCCGCGCGATTAGGGCACGGCAAGATATCCCTACTTTTGATGTGGGTATTACAAATGATTTCTACTAGCTGTAACATGGAAACAAGTTGGTAGAGAGGTGCCTTGTTACAGGTTTTTGTCCTCCTGCAGGTTGAGGTTTTTCCCTGTATCTAAACGCGAATGCGAAGGCACTAAATTTCATATCTTAAAGTCCAAGTTCATTATTATAGCTGAAATTCAAAATGGACCTTTAATATACCTACCAGTGCTCATGTTTATGCGAGTCGCAGTAGTCACAACATTCCTCGGATGACCAGGCATGGTAACTGCTCCATCAACCCCGCTGCCTCCATTTTGAAGCAGAGGATGCCCAACTCTTAGACAATGGTGTTATATCTTAGTGTTCTTCATTACTTGGTTCGCAGAAGCAATCAACGCCTAATGAATAAGTAGCCCATTGGTTCCTCATGGTGCATAAACCATTAGCTAGGATAGGTGACATAGTGAGCAGTCAGCTCTCTTGCTCTCTTGATCATAGTCTAGTTTAAATAGCTAGTCAGTCTGGCTATCAACTTGTGGCTGATGAATGATATTTCAACCGTCCATGTGAGGACCTTAGTCCGTTGGAACCTGTCCAGCGCATTCGGTAGTTCATCGAGAGCATCGAAAACGATGTATATTCTCTTAGACCTTGCCATCACTGCTATTGCAGATTTTTCCAAGGCGGCTTTGACATCATCATACCGTAGTGGGCTGCCACACTGTGTAAGTCTCCCATACAATGTTTCCACGACATGAATGTCTTGCTATCTGTACACAGCCGCCTTAACAGTGATGAGAGGCATATTAGTATGTTTTGCTTTTGTGTATCAGCAAACAAGGAATAAAAGCGTGGCAGCAAGTTCTCACCATGATTTTCACAATAAAGCCCCATATTCTTGATCACTGTAGAGCTAGCCTGAGTGTCAGCAGAATGACTATATGTGCTTCACTTACAATAGCTTACCATGGACTAGACTTTCCATGACCAGTTGTGGATATCATGATCATCTAAATGCTGACGTGGGGTCTGCATGAATCAGAAGTGAAAGAAACGCGAAGATGGGAACAAGGTCTATCAATACTGAGACCTACCCTTGCCCTTCACCCAAAGCATTGATTCTTCTTCCGATCTCCACAAAGTGAATTCAGGTCTCTCAAAGAACCATGTGCATGCCCCTGGGTGCCTTTTGGACGGTAACGTCCCAATCTCCTGCTGGGAAAGCGAGTCAAGAACTGCTCGTTGCTTTCTGCCTGAGACAATCATATTTGCTTTAGGTTTGAAATCTGTACACTTCCTAGCTAAAGAACGGTACTGACCTTGTTCGGAATCTTTTACTAGATCTTTACTCTCTCCGACATCCACTCCAACTTGAGCAATATCCAGCGCCAATTGCCACATCTTTAGATCGAGCTCTCGAGCCCTGCTGAACAACGCATCACTAATGCATATTTGGCCTTCATCAGCTCTTGGCCCTGATAGGATAAGGCAAAATTCACATCTCTAGGGCGCTCTTGATTGCATTTACTTTTCACAATCGAGTATACACACTTAAGTAAGCTTGTTTCTAGTTCCACCATTACTGTTGGTCAGTCATAGTCGTGTTGCCCAAAGACAATAGTGCGGTTTCATATCTGGCTAGGACTATATCTGGGAGCTATTCGTAAACACCTGACTAGCATAGTACAGCAGAGAGATCTGAATTATATTAGGAGGCTAAAGACTGTAAATAGTAATATGCCATTATATAAGTCTATTAAATATTATCAAATTTTGATTTCATTGTTTGTTTGTTTATTACAGGCAGTAAAGGTAGTGGTAGCACATCTCCTATCGACAGATACAGATGGATATTCATGGCAACGCTCAACCTCTGGGGGTTCAGCGTACATGATATGCCGCAACAGAGTTAAAAGAAATGAGAAGAATGTGGGATATATCTTTGTCACCATGAGTTTCTTCCACTCGATACTTTCATCAATTAGACTTTACAGTTCTAAGGTGGCCAAGGTCCCATGAGCGAAGCTTTACCTTGTAATCCTAAGAGAAGACCGTTACCAGAGTGTGCGCGCATAGACTACCGCTGTGTCTAGTTGCACAATGCCCACAGTACCTGGTCCATTCACGCCAATTGTCCTACATGATTTCAGTTCTACTCATGCCCAGCATATACGACCACAGGGTTGTGGGAAACAGGGCTTCCCGTCCGCTCAGCCGTACTTAAGCCAGCATTATGAACGCGGTCAAACGATGCCTGTTCGTCTTCGCTTGGTCGAACAGCACCACTAGGCAAGTGGCTTCCCCTGGCAGAAAATGGGTCTCCGTAGGAATTCTTGTCCCTGCATACCTTGCAGAGCACCATGTTGGGGTGTCCGTGACACATTCTTCTCACCGATAAAACCGCTCACTGCATCAAAAAAGGAACGCAGCGACCCGCTCCCAGGGACAGTAGTGGTCTAATGTCCAGTCATCATATGATCTTTAACACTGTTTTTTGGATGAATAGGAAATATAGCATTAAATATAGGAGCAAGTGGCCAAAGCCTTGTGCTAGGAGTCTTCCGCTCTACTTACCACATTAGGGTATATCGGGGGTAAGTGGCGGACGCCGCTCCGGATTCAGGGAGGAAATATCCAACCTCGTCTTGCAATCTAAAAGCAGGAAAGTTCAGGCGAGTAATGGTTGTTTACTAGTTGTAGCTTACGCGTTCATTCTATGATGGACGCTCGTCCTGCAACACAACTATATATAAGACGGTTGTCAGAGCTATCTTCTAGTTGGAAAGGAGAAGCCCCGAAATCTAATGTGTTTACTAGAATACGACCGTTAACTTATGTTATTAAGAGAACTAGTCAGAACACCTGTACTCTCCTTCCGCTGCCAACAGCCGCACAATGTAGGGTTTCGCGGATAACGGGGAAGCGGCGGGGAAATGGATGTTGCTCCCCGCACTGCCAGGTGCATGATAATAAATACCCCAAGGGCTATCTTGCAGCATGTTGCATTTAGCTTATAATTCACTATTGTTCTGATATTCCTTCCTTCTCCAGGCTGGAAACATGGACACCCGCCCAAACTCATTCTTCCCGGATCGCCCTCAATTCTCTGGATTTATGAAGCCATGTAGACTTGAGGGTGAAATTCAGGCACTAGAGATACATGGAGATATTCCCAAAGATATTAATGGAACTTTCTACCGAGTGATGCCGGATCCTCAACTGCCTCCTTTCATAGAGGATGACCCGGTACAGATATACTCGTTTCTAGTAGAGGAAGTTGCACAATGCTAACTCACGGAGATAGTGGTTCAATGGAGATGGCAACATCAGTGCCTTTGAAATCAAAGACGGGTCGGTGTCATTTCGACAGCGCTACGTGAGAACTGAAAAGTTCGTTCGGGAGCGCGAAGCGAAGCGCGCCTTAATAGGTCAGTCTTCGTCGTGTACCTGAGAAATGGGCGGTCAACTTACCAGTTTGTAGGTAAATATCGGAACAAATATACAGACGCCGTGGAATTCAAAGTTCGCACTACAGCAAATACAAATGTGGTTTTCTTCAACAGCCAGTTACTAGCTTTGAAAGAAGACTCTCCGCCCTACGCTTTAGATCCCATCTCCTTGGAGACGAAGGGTCTATATGATTTCGATGGACAGTTACCCAGCCTAACGTTCACAGCGCACCCGAAATTTGACCCTGTCACGGGCGAGATGATCTGTTTTGGATATGAAGCCAAAGGAGATGGAACTCCTGATGTTTGCTACTACAATGTTACTCCAGATGGCAAATTGACTGAGGTTGTTTGGCTTGTCGCCCCAGTTGTCGCCATGATTCACGATTTTGCTGTCACCGACAATTGGGTATGTTGAACATCCAATCCAGTGTTCAGATATGCAGATAACTTACTATAGCAGGTCCTCTTCCCTATCATCCCTCAGGTCTGCGATATTGAAAGGTTGAAACAGGGTGGTGAGCATTGGCAGTGGAGCCCTGAGACTCCTTTCTATATTGGCGTGCTTCCTCGGCGAGGTGCAAAGCCATCTGATGTAAAGGTATTTCCCCATTTACCTTCCTTTATTAACAGCTCTTAATCTCATGCTTACTTCTATCTCTACAGTGGTTCCAATACCAAAACTCCTTCCCGGGACACACAGCCAATGCATATGAAGATGAGTCCGGGAATATCCATATCGATCTTGGGCTAAGTGAGAAAAATGTATTCTTTTGGTGGCCTGATGCCAAAGGCAACGCGCCCGACCCCAGTTCAATTCTATCCCAACTGGTCCGATTCACAATCAACCCCAGATCTGACGATTTGAATCTATCGACTCCCAAGATTCTTCAAAAAGACAACTCGGAGTTTTACCGCATCGATGATCGTTTTGCCACACATCATTACCGTCACTGTTTCTTCGACCTCATGGATCCAAGTTTAGGCACAAATTTCGCCAGAATTGGGCCAAAATTGGGCGGTGGCTACCCACTGTATAATTCTCTTGCTCATGTTGATATCACAACTGGCTCAACAGATATCTATTTCCCAGGGAAAACCCACATGGTGCAAGAGCCCGTCTTTATCCCTCGTGGGGGGTCCACTACCGAAGGTGATGGCTACGTCTTGGCACTCGTCAATAACTATGATACTATGTCGAGTGAGTTACATCTGGTGGATACAAACGATTTTTCCAAGGCCAAGGCCATTATTCTACTCCCCGTCCGTTTACGCCAGGGTTTGCACGGAAATTGGGTGGATGCGCGGGATCTGGCATAATGAGTCGTGTGTTGTATGTAGCTGTTGATTGGGTCAACGAGATAATGCATCCAAGTCCTTCGTTTTTCTCTTTATGTCCCTTGGTCTTGCTACGCTTAAGGCTTTGTCCTCGTGTATTCCTTATTTTCTAAATCTACTGCACAATGCCTTTCTCATAATCTTCGTATGAAGAAATAGGAGCAGAGAAAACGACCGAAAATCACTGATGAAAGTGTTGCTACACGTCTTGCTTAGGCTCACTAGGATGCCTTTTATATGCCTAAAGGTTGGTAAATGCTCAGTAGGACGCGGTAGAGGCGCTCAATGCACCTTTAACAGTCCTACTCGTCAAGCAATTTAGTTATGTTCATATTATACACCATAAAAACATCGTAAAACATGTTCTGGGCTGACTTTGGTTTAAATAAACGAATTACTCTTGTTCCTTGGGATGGAGACCCATAAGCAGCGCTTGCAGGCGTGACCATATGTCTCATGTTTATAAGGAATAGCTTCCAGACCTAATTGGACTAGGCAATATTTTCATGCATGAGAGTGCCACTGTACAAACACGTCTTCTTAAACACCCTCCTAATGAAATAGTATAGAATTTATGGCATGGCCTCCTTTTTTGCCTGTTAATCCTATTGAAAATCTGTGGACTTTTAAGAAAGCGGTCTTTTAGTAAATTTGGAATACATTTTCGAACCCCACTATAGAGCACGACCAAATCAAACTACTACGAAATGAACCTTTTTTGAGGACGAGACTTCAGTTGGTCGGGTACGGGACGTGTCCGGAATCACAGTACACGGTGAGAACTGGATCCAACGAGGCAGCAGAACATTCAGTCCCGTTATAAAATTCAGTCTGATGTGATGTCAAGTTGGACGTCGAGAGGATCATCAATCGTCACATTGATTGCCTCTCGTATCTCGACGTTCTTGTTCAAAATGTGCTTGGGGTTGAATCGTCTAACAAACATCGACAAGATGATTTTTTGCTCAATGATTGAGAGGCTATGCAGTATTCGGTATCAGTAATAGTCCACAAAGGCCTAGGATAAAGCCTACCTCTGTCCGATACACTGTCGTGTTCCGCGTGAAAAAGGATGAAAGTAAGAGAGCATCTCGCGCTTTTGATCATTGTCGACCAACCATCGGGCGGGGTTATAAGTCATGGGAGAAGGGAAGATGCTCTCGTTTTGAAGGAAATACAGCGGGCTAATGCTTACGATGGTCTGCAGGTGATCAGAATTAGTATTCCTGGCGAGTAAAGATATGAAAGGGACACTGAGCTTACCCCAGGGGGCAAGTAATGCCCTTTGAAATTCCATCCACCATCTGAAACAGTCCGTGGAAGGCGGAAACGACTAGGACAAGAGATCCGAAGTCCTTCTTTGATACATGCATCCAGGAATGGTAATGGATCAAGGTCTTGGAAAGAGGGCCTAGACTCCAATGTGGGAATTACAGTCCGCACCTCATCCTGGAGTCTCTGGTACGCCTCGGGCTGTTGCAGTAGATGGTGAAGAGTGATTGCTAGTGCTGTAGCGGTAGTATCCGTCCCAGCAACGAACATCAAAATGGCTTCAGATATTAAGTGTTCTTTTTTCAGCTCGATAGATTTTTCTTTAGCGGATGATATCATATTCTTGAACATGGTCCAGGTGTCAGTCGCATGCATCTGTTGGAACCCCGCGTCGGCTGCCCGTCTCAGCTCCAGGAATCCATTGGGGACAGTACTGAGGTTGTAGTAATTTGCCCACCGGAGCAACTCTCGTAGAATAGGAAAATGTTGGAACTGACCATGTTACTTTCTCTTCTAGTTCAAGACCTGTGAGAGACTTACAAATGGCACTGAGTGGTTCGCTTTATCGATGGCGTCAAGTATGGTAGACTCAAACCCCTCCAGTTGCAGCGCACCAGTAGACCTTCCAAAGGCGAACTCAGAGATTGTATCCAGCGTCAGACAACGAAATGATGGGAATAGTGGGATCACCTGGCCGCTTTTTACACGCTCTGAGAATCGATTCATCAAGTAGACGGCCTTATCGTGTATTGATGCCTCATACTGAAGGATATTCGCCTTGGAGAAAGCATGAGAGATGAGTCGTTTGTCTTGAGAATGTTTTTGACGATCACGAATGGTGAAGAGATTGGGGGCTTGTTCTTCAAAGGGACGATAGAAATATTCAGATTTTTCGAACTTGGATGTCGGTCCATAAATAATGCCGGAAGCATCCAAGTCATTGAAGGAGACTTCATTCGGCGAGATCCTCAATATTGGTCCTACCATTCTGTAAATAGACGTAATCAAGCCATTTTCTTTACCTGCGACACATACCATACTTTCGGTGTAGATCAAGAATCTCCATGTGAGGATTTCCTCGCATTTCTAACAAGAAAAGCCACCATCGAGATATCTTGGCAAGAGTTGGACCTGGGATGGCCCTCAAAGGATGGAAAAGGACATTATAGACACACTTCCCGATAATCAAGGTGGTCAACGCCACAAGCACATGTGCAACGTAGTACATGATGGATAGACACGGAGGGAAAAGAAGCCTGGTGGTCATTCTATTCTGTCCTGGATATCCCATTTGTTCTTTATATCCTCATATACACCTCCTTTCTGTTGCCTGAACTCTATAGACACAGAGCACTACCCGAACTCCCCGACAATGATGCGCAATTACACCCCGTTATCTGAATTATTACATATGTCCTCACCGCAAGGCCTTAGCGCTTCGCTTCCCCGGGGAACCGGGCATAGAGACTAGAAAGAGACAAATTCAGTAGTTCTGAGTTTGATCGATAGTGTATCCGCACCGTATTTCCCCATTGTATAGTCCCGGCTTGCGATGACATTAACCGCGGCATATCTTCCCCGGTATCCCCGACCAACACAACAATCCCAGCGGGGACTAGACGGAACGTCTTAAGACTTTGCACTTTAATTGGGATTTGCAGCAAATGTAAGTGTCCACGTAAAATCGGTATTTTGCATACGCCTAATGCAGCTCTCGTTAAACAAATGAATGAGGGTCTCCATTGCTACACTACCGGCAAATTCTAGCCGCTCAACTATAATCCATACTCTTCTAATCCTCTAACCCTTCATACATTTCCCGTTGACTAACATAAGAATTTGGCCCCTTTTTGCGAGCTTTCTTTAATCAGATATAGAGGTATCGCAAGACGCAAAAGTGCCTGGGTCGCATACGATTCTACCCTCGTGCTGGTCTGCATCCATTTCCTATGGATCCTGTACATGTTTATACTCCTCCTCAGCGTTGTCACTAGACCTCCTTCGCTCATCTTCTGCTTCGCTCCTCGACCTTTCATCGGCTTGTTTATGGTCAATCTCATCTTGGATCTGCTTGTCCGCGTGCCTTTGCCTTTCCTCTAGCTCTTTTACGGCATCTCGCGAGTCATTTGCTAGTCTTTCCAATCTCGTCTTTTCTGCTTCGTCGGTGGCCTTCGCGGCTTCCTCAGCATATCTCTTGGCTAGTGCTTCGTTCTGAACAATGGCCTGCTGATTCCGCGTCTTGGATTGCTGTAAGATATCAATGTTTTTCGCCGCAGCTTTGGCCAGCGAATCCAGTTTGGAGGTCTGTATACTGGCGATGCTCGCTGTCGCTTGGGCCGTGGGGTAATCACTGGCATTCAGACGGGTCTGCATTTCTGCGGACTGTTCAGAAATTGCAGATATGCCAATATTGTGAGCCTCTCCATTGCTGACTAGACCACTCCTAACAAATGGCCCGATCGCGTCAAAGGCTGCTGGAAGACGGACGCTGTGGTTGGCACTTTCGATCGCGTCGTTGGCGCTTTGTTGTCCATTCCTTACAGTCGCGTCATGGACGGCTCCTTGGCTTGAGAGACTGCTATCGTGCCATTGGACGTCTGAGACGCTCTGGCTGGCTTCTGCGGCCGCCTGATCGAATCCAGCAGCCATGCTGCCGCGCAGACGGTCTGATTCCGCTGACGAGAGAGGGCGTCTGACTACTTCCCTGACTTGGCTTTTGAGGATCTCGAGAATTTCGTTCACTTTAGCCTTGATTTCTGCGCGTGACGCATCTGTCTGCCTCATCCGCTCTTTGCCAGCTTCAGTCTTGTCTTTGCCTTCTTTCTTATCTTGGCGGCGGTACCACCAAGACTGAAAAATTGCGAAGAGTCCGAGAACAGTAGACAGGCCAAAGCCGACGTAGGTCACTATGTTGACGTCTGGTTCAGGCGAAGAGGAACGTGGAGCGTCCGACTGCTTGCCTTTGAATGGTTCCACTCCCCCCGGCGTTCTCACAGTGCCCTCGAAACTCAGTGTGAACGACGCGGTATCCTTGACTGCCGTGCTGATGAATACCACATCATAGCTGTTTCCAAGCAAGGTCCAAGTGACGTGCGCTTTTCCATCTTGTCCCACCGAGCTACTCGTCACGGCTTCTGTTTCGTTCATTTTAATGTTACCGCTGTGGGGGTCAACGACCATAGATGTATTGCGCATACTTTCTGGGGCCGTGATGTCGTAGAATGCTCCAAAATATCGAATGTCAAACTGCTGGCTTCCCAAGGACAGACTTTTGTTGCCGGTCCTTGCAGGATCTCGGGAGTAAATGCCCGTGGCTTCACCGAATTCATCACCACTTAGTGAGTCGTAATTATGCTTGACCAGCACCGTTTCAAAAGCAGCATCCGGATCAGATTCAGCCGCCAAGGCAGCGATTGCGCTTCCTAGAAATGTCGAAGGCTTGAGTGATAGGATGTCATTTTTCAAGTCCTGAAAGGTTGGTGGTGTGGTCTGAACACCCTCTGTGTCTTTAGATTCCAGCTTGTGCGTTTCGCTTCGCGACTTGGTTCGTTTGAGGTCCTCCACGAGGGTTTTCAAGCGCGTGGCTCTGGTTGTTGGCGTCTGCTGGGTCACCTTGCCCGTAAGCAATGTGTCTCTTGGATGCCATATCGATCCCGGAGCCTCATTGGCGTCAAAGACGTGCTGGTCAGGGAAAAGGAGATTGGTTGTCAAGAAGTAATCCAAGCTCACGCTATCCATCGAAGCTGTAGGTGTTTTAATCTGAAGGTTTGTAAGGCTTGATGGAGGGCTGGGATAGGCCATTCCGAATGCAGCTCCCGAAACATTGCTGGTATTCATGGTTAAGGTTGCCGGTAGGGGTACGGACAACAGCAGTCTGTTGCTCGAATCACGATTAGGGTTGCTCCATGTCCCATTCGCCTGTAATGAAAGGGTGAAATCTGCAGAGCCGGACGCGCCGCGTGTCGACCCGTGCGGACCAGTAGAAGTGAATGAACTGCCGTACGACAGTCTCTGCGTATGGCTGTATGAGACGGTCGCACCATGATCGACAAAGTTGATGCTAACAGGATCCTGATTCGCGTTAAAGTCCATTCCATCACACTGATGCGAACTATTCCAGCCGAACCCTGAATCAGAGGTGTCTACTTTGTCGATGTGATACGGCGTGCTAGGAAACCTCGCCGTGATTTGCATTCCACCTGTAGACCTTGTGAGAACGATTGCAGTCAATGCATCACGGTAGTCGAACTCACTGTAGTTTCCTCTTTCGTTGGCCTTTGGCTCAGTGTAGCCAGAATTGAGGAGGGAAGGCTGCGGTCGCTCGTTAGCAAGAGGCATCTACAGCGTTAAAACAACCTGTGTGGATTCCTATAGAATCTGCTCCCGAGGTAACACTAGCATATGAGGAGAACCTGCCTTCAAAAAGGAACTGAACATGCAGTCATGGGATATGACAATGCCTGCTGTGTTGCCCACCGTAACCGGAGTGGTGCTCAGTCTCGATGCATTATCCGGGCCAGGTTGAAAAAGCAAAGGCTGCCCGGCGGATGGAAGTTGGCCTCCGGAACTGGTCGAATGCAGCATGTTGATCCAAATGAGCAACGATCCCGGAGTATTCGTTGCCGGATCGCCGGTGACCGTGCTAAAGACCATTGAGCTAGGCTCTAATGTCGTAGTGAAGCTATCATCCAGAGTCTTTTGGAGGTGCAAATCCTGAGCTTTGTTCTGGATGCCTAGTACCCGATAGACAAAACCACTGTTGGCAATATGGCCAGTCAAGAACGACAGTGCTGTATCCCAGCTTGGGTCAGTGTTACCATCAGGTCCAATTACCTTGACGGATGGCTTTTCGAAGGCCACGGCAATATGCTTTGAGGCCGGCACATTCTGATCGAAGTCGATCCGAACTCCCGCGGGTAAAAGCTGAGATTCGTCCATGTTTCCGGAAACATTGTAGAGATACGTAGTGGCCACCATTCTCTGATTTTCAGGGAACGGATTGTGACTACCGGGGTTCGAAGGATCTGTAACATCGATATAATAGCCTGACATGGCAAATGTCACATCGATGGTCCCGGACACATCGACAAATTTCAAGGTGGGAATACCAAGAGATACATGGTATTCAGTCACAAAAGTGCGATGATTATCTGTCAAAATCGTCAACGAATTATTCGCTTACTATAAGAGAGTAGAAAGCTCACACGTCCATGATACTTGGAATGGTTTCAAGTCATCCAATATCTTGGGTGCCTGTTTCACGCTGGCCTCGAGCATAGTGTTGATGAGGTCTTCATCATACGCAACCAATACATCCCAACCTCTAAGCCAGGTATCTCCATTCATCAATCCCACCAGTTCTTCGGCAGTGTGTTTGGGCGCCATATCGATAAAGGTTTCGGAATTCAAGATGCTAAGGAGATGGGATGTGTTGAAACACAATACAATGTGTCGACTTCATGAATTATATACAAAAGTAAATCCAGGAGGGGAAATGCACAACCGGGGGGTGGAGTGAGAGTGAGAGTGAGCCTGGCCATCGCAGCGAGGGTTGAGCCTGGTAAGTGACGATACCATTGCCAGTAAGCTTCCGCGGAAGCCAGTTGAAGGTTTGCTTCAGGATGGACTAGTGGTTTAGTGTTCGCGAATGTGACACCTGATCGTTCAATTATCGAATGTGCATGGGCTGTGTGACCGTCGGGGGATAAGGCTGAAGACTTGCAGTGCGACAGCCCGAACTTTGAGGAACCCCGCCTCGGTGGTCAAGCAGTCTCAAATCAAATCATATCCTGTCGGCCCAAACAGCCCTTCATAAGTCTCCTCACCCGCCCCAAATCAAATCCAATGCAATCCAATCAGACCTGTCGGCCCAAAAAGCCCGTCCGTGGAAGTGGCAACGGTGACAATACACGAGGGTCTGTATGGCCTTCAGCGAAGGTTCTGACAGCCACAAATTGTGTTGCTAACTTCGTGTTAGAAGCGAGGCTGAAAGCTGAACTTCGATTGAGTGAAAACACATAGAGGCTGAGGACTGATTCGCACGGTCCTGTTCTCCCCCTCGCACTGGTCCACCAGAAACAGCGCGCTGTCTAGAAAACACTGAATTATTTTTTGCAGCTCGTGTTGTGCGGTTGGCTGTCAGTCGCCAGCTGCAGATCATCGGCATATTGTCCATATCCGGATGCACTGAGGCAGTCCAGTTCCAGCGCCTGCCCATTAACGTTGGAAAGAGCATAGAGGATAGAGGACTCATCTACACCAAACCCCATTGCAAAAGCACGTTCACCACAACCTCATCTAAGATCACCAGACACTTTGCGAAATGACTCCATCAAACGACATCAGTGCTACCTACGCTGTGGGCAGTAGCACCCATGGCTATCAGGTGCAATTGCGAACCGATCAAATAACGATAAACCAAGACCTTGATTCCACCAAACCAAGCATTTTGATCTACGCAGAGACTGTTGTCATCGCGAGTGATATTACTCTTGAGGCAATCGAGACCGAACTTGGTGCTTCAGTCCCCAGAAATCTCCTCATCTGTTGCAACCACTTGATTCTTGGCTTGGATCGAATTTCCATCAATGTCTGTGGCAAATCGCAGCATCAGGCTATCACCGACCAGACGGGTGCAGATGGTGAGAATGGCGGGTCCATCATATTGTGCGTCGAGTCTTTGGAACATGATCAACTAGGACACATCGGAGATGATAACAAGAATCATGGCTTATTTCTGAATGCATGGGGAGGAGAAGGCGGAATGGGTGCGGACATGGTAGAAGAAGGACAGGCAGGCAAAGACGGTGGCAATGGAGGTAATGGTGGTATGCTATTATTCTCTCCAGCTACTCCACTCTTGCCGCGACGGCTGTGCTGAGAGATATCTGACTCGCATTGCGTCAATCAGGCACCGTTAAGATCTTCTATGGGAATGGCGCTTTGACAGCACTCAAGGCCTTACGACAGGACCCACCGCCAAAAGAACCGTGAGTCCTCACCTTACGATAAAATAATTTACGTATAGACTGAAGGCAGAAGATGGGCCGCAAAAGCCCGTAGATTGCAGAACACTCTGCTCGCAGGACTTGACGACGTCTACAAAGGTCACTCTTTCGAACCTACCAATCTCAACGCACTGTCCAACACAGTTTCAGATTACCGCGATTTATTCACGGCTTGCTCCGCGTTACAGACCAGTCTCACGGCTATGCTCTCCTTACAACCCCCAGTACCAGCATCATTGAAGACTGGTGGATCAAATTTACTAGTTGAGCTCCAAAAAATACTTCTATCTTCTACTGGTCCATCCGACAGTGCAACGATTCGCAGCCAAGCCAAAGATTTGGCGCAGGGCATTGATGCATTTATTCAGTCTGGTCTGAGCACGTCCGCTGACGAGCTGGTATCGCGCATCAACGAGTCAATGTCCACATTCAATGCTCAACCTGACACGCAGCTCGACAACGAACTCGCTGCGGTCGAGAGGGATTGCTCCGCAATGATATCCAACATGGATACCCGCGCCAGGGATCATACTGTCAATGTAAGCAAAGGTAACATGGCATCCAAATAATTTTGTATCGCCTCTACGTGGCTAATCTTAGTTCAGGACATGGAGGAAGAGCGGGCAACGGAGACATCAACGTGCCTCCCGGAAAACGAGGCATCGATGGCTCAAATGGCAATGTTTTTGTAACAGATTTACAATTCAGCGGGAGCCCAGAGGACCTTAAAATCGACGAAGTGATTGCACAACCGGACCAATGTCAGATGTTGCTCAACACGGCTGACAACAGTTTTATCAAGGGTGACGACTCCAGTAGAGCTCTCGCCGCAGGACTCTATTCTCGCTTGACTGACAGACTGGCATTTGTGCCTGCCCTGATGGATGAAGGAAAGGAGGAGACAGCCCTGTACCAGGCCTACGCGACTGCGGAGGAAAATGGCCTGACAGTCAGTACGTTCACGCAATTGCAGTCAATATACCAGCAAGCTGGCGCAAGACTGGGTTTGATTCTCACTGGCCGTGATCTCTTCGGTCATGACGAATACTGGGTCCCTCGATTGTCTTATCAGTATTTTGACGATCGTTATACGGAGCTCTCAGCTCATTTAAAAGAGGCCGAGCAGAAATTTTCCGAGTACGAAGACGCCCTTAACAATAGCAGGTCGACGAAATCATTCTTGGAAGATAGCATCTCTGTTGCAGACACAAGGGCAAAAAACGCTGAAGCACAGATCGCAATGCTTACAGACGAGAATGGTCCAATGAATACTAGCAAGTTTCAAATTGGATCATTCACTCCCATCTTGAAAAACAAACGTGGCGAGATCAAAGGTGAAGTCGCAACTATCATCAGTGACATCCAGCACAGCTTGAACATGGACCCTGGGCACTTTCTGGACGCGCTTTCGGCCATCGCCATGGCACCGGAAAAGCTGAACATTGGTGTCCAAGTATTCCAGGCTGGGATGAAGACGATGACAGAAGCGCATTCCATAAAGGGAGAGGATGTGAACACGAAATATGTTGTGTCACAGATCACGCAATGTGGTGACACCATTCAGTCTCTGGAAGAGGGCTATAACACTCTGTCTGATGGTTCAATAGAAGTGGACGACCCTGGCGCCGCGAAATTATTGATGGCAGAAAATGACCTGGAGAACTTGGTCACGGAATTCCAGAGCGCCATCCCGGAAAAACACAGGGACACCTTGATCAAGTCATTGAATGAGTACGTCTCCTATATCAAACAGCGGAACAACGCAGTGATGACCTACAATGCTTGCATACATTTGCTGTATCAGGCGGAGAAGGACAAAAGGTACTACACAGCGCAGGGTCAAGACTTGAAGTCAAAGAAAGAGGAGATTGATCCTACTCTTCCTGCCATCACCTTTTGGCTCAAGAAGTCTCTGAACGATCTGCGGCTTGATTGCCTGCGAGTGCTCAACTACGGTGGACATGCACTCCGTTTTTGGGGTCTGGTGGACATCCCACTGGGCTTTCAAGGGGATGGGACTTTCCCTGATTCCATCCAGATTAACCGGTACAAAGACCAACTTGACAACAACAAAGAGACAGGCCTGAATGAGTTGAGTGACCCCACCATGATGATCCCAGGGGACGACTCCAATCCCAAACGCGGAGTCTTCTACAAGTTGACCGACGGCGAGAGAAATGTCCTGCTCGATGGACTAAAAGATCCCGACGCCCCAGGCTACAAGATCTACCAAGTAGTGCTACAAAACATCGTCCCAGCCTACCGAACCAGCGTGGTAGACACCAACCCGTTCGCAAACTGCGCCAATGTGCGCATTCACCAGGTTCGTGTGTGGCTTCCCAAAGCCCGCGTGACCCAACCGGACGGAATACCCAAACTACGCGTCGACTTCGTCCAATACGGCGACGAAACCGTCGTCCCGACTCAATGGACACCCAAGGATAGACCCATCTCAATCGCATGCCGCCACGCCAGCGTCGGCGGCTGGTCGACGTACAACACCAGGGGAATCGATAGTCTCGATGACATCACGAAGGCGACGGACATGGACGTCCAGGATCTCGCGCAGGGTTGTTTTACCAACAAGTCGAAAATGTCGGCGGAGCTGATGGCGCCAATTGGGCCGTTTGCGACTTGGGAGATTACGATTTATGGTAGGAACCACGAGAGTGTGAATTTCGATCAAGTCGACGATGTTTGGGTCGAGTTTTGGGTCACGGCGATGAAGTTTAAGGACAGGCCGAGTGCAAAGTCTTAGTAGTTAGGAATGACAGTAGCAACAATAACTGGCCAGGTCAAGGCAAAAGCATTTGGAAATCAGAAATGCAGTTGGTCTGTTTCCCACAAACCGCGAAAAAAAAAAAAAAAAAGAAATTCGCCGATGACTTTCTGGAACGGAGGAACATCAAGCTGTACACCAGAATGAGGAAGACACCTTCGGTGCAAGATTACGGTGCCTAGGTATGCACTGTCCTGCCAACGGGGATTACAAGTTTACTCGTCCAGAGAGATGATATGCCCATCTCATGCTCAACTGGGGTCCCATGCTCAAAACAGAGTGTACTTTTGAAGATGAATTTCACATCTGACGGGCAAAAAAAACCTTCTAGTAGCTTATTAAGGCGGGCTGGCAGCGTGGAATTACCCCCGCGAAGGAGAAACCGAATAACATCCATTCAAAGTCGGTCAAAAAGAGTCGCTGAACAGTAGTGAGGATAGATCGAGTGCTGAAGAAGTATTCGAAGAAAGCAAATCTAATCTACCCTATGGGCGAGACTCCGAGGACGAGGAACCGAGAAGAGGAAGGAGTACACTAAGAAAGTCTAATATCTTCAAACCCTAAACAGTCTAAGTCGGTGCCTCACTGGAAAACGGAAGAGCCAGACCCTTTGATCCATTGTTAAGCAAGAGCTGAACCTGCGACTAAGTAATAAGACAAGCAACTGATCACTTTGGCTGGGGCGATCGGGGGGTCTAAAACAAAGAGGAGGACGGACTTGTGCAAGACCATCCGAATGGCCGAATGGGTGCTTGAACAGGAACCTGGCTGCTGAGCGCTTTGAAGGTCTTAGGTTGTCAGGAGAGATCCTGGAGCAAACAAAACCAGGGCACTGCTTTGCTAATTTCTTAAAGATATAGTATAGACTCCGCGTTCTACAGCTTTCCAGTCAAAGGGTGAACATCCATATTAGCAAAGACCCTATGCTTACGCGTCATTTATCGATATATAACATACTTTAGCCTAAGTTAAAAGGGGGCAAGCATGTCAAAGCAGTGTCGTTTAATTACTGAGTCTCCGCGAGACTGCCAAGGTTTAGCCTAGATTTACAAAAGACCACTGATCATCATGGTGGCACGTCATAGCAATGGCTGATAAACTCCAGAATAGTACCAAGATCGACAACACTGAATGACTCGTATTTCCCTCCCACATGCGTCATTGCCTGCGTTGTTCCGCTGTTGTTCTGATATGCCAGGGTAGAAGCCTGCGAGATCATCCCTCGGTTGCTGGGGAGTGTCCAGGGTCAATGCTCCGGCGCCAGGAACCTCTTGCAGTAGTGTGTCCGAGAATGAGGAAAGTTGTCTTTCCCCGCGTTGGCTAGGCTTGCCTGTACGGCTCAGTACATCGTCGGGCTTATAGAAGCGGATAAAGATTTAGTCTATCCTTATCCCCGACGCCGATGATCTACAGATTGATAACTGCTCGTAGAAACCACAGGACAGAGAAGTCGGATTTATTATAATGTACTCCATGAAGGTACGTAACAAGACTATGGCAATAGCGACCTTTGCGTAGTATCTCATCATAGGCACTAGCCTCGAATAAACGTTCAAGGGCCCAATACTGCATGATGGGCCTTGCTCTAATTGCTTGGACGGCCAAACCTATCTTGAGTATACGAATGAATACGATCATATACCTGTCAGAGCACAGATTACTTTGTAGCCCACTACCATCAGTGTTTCTCATCTCCAGTTGGTAGTTCTTCGGTGTCTGGCGAGTTCTTTCACATAACCTCCAACTAAGGTAGTGTTTGTAGCACTCGGCGTTTAGCTTTTACCCGGAATTCATATAAAGTATCATACTCCTAAGAATATTAGACCCCTGCTAATCCCTCCGCCGTTCACTCATCCATTGCTTGAGCAGTGTTGGCAACGTCACCATACGCGTGTTGCAATTTTCTAATTCATCCCCTTCAGGAGGTGTCCCGATTGAATAAAAAAATGGAATCTGTTCGTAGCAAGAGTGATTACGCGGCCTTCATAGCAGCAGATGTCCTTATGAAGAAGGCGGATTTTCTTTCACAGGACCCATCTCTTTACATATTTTCCTACTTCCTGTGCTTGGTTTCCCCTTTCTCTAACCTTTACGTGTTTTACGATACAGTGGAGCTATGCGTCGTGCCGCCCTTTGCACCGCAGTAACATGCACTCTGGTGCCCGTCACGTCTGCTGCGCTCTACGATACCGTGATTCAGACTAAGTATGGTGGTGTCCAGGGTTATCCCGCCTTCAACAGCACCAACACTGGCAACCTAACCCACTGGAAAGATATTACCGTTTGGAAAGGTATCCCTTTCGCAGCCACCACTGGTGGCCAAAACCGATGGAAGGCACCACAGCCACCTAGCCCGTGGAATGGCACGCTGGATGCTCGCAACTGGGGTCCTGTGTGTCCATCCGCCACTAGTGGTGATAACGATTACACCATCGATGAGGACTGCTTAAACCTCAATATATGGAGTCCGGCAAATTCCACCGATGCTAAGCTTCCGGTTGTGATGTGGAGTTACCCTGCCGAATCCACCGCCGCCGACGCTCTCTTCGACGGTGGCGGCATGGCTGATCAGGGTATTGTCTTTGTCAACTACAACTATCGAACTGGCGCGTTTGGCTGGCTCGCTCACCCTGAGCTTTCGGCGGAGTTCGAGAAGGTCACTGGCTCCAACAGCTCGGGTAACTGGGGCATGCTCGATCAATTTGCTGCACTAAAGTGGATTCATGCCAACATCGATGCGTTTGGTGGTGACCCCGACCATATCACTGTCATGGGCCAGTCCGCCGGCTCTGCCGCCAGTCAGCACATCTTGAACAGCAAGCTCACCAAGGGTTTATTTGTGGGGGCCATCATCGAGAGTGGTGTTCGGGACCCCGAGGATCCCTTGTGTACGAGCCTCGCCGAAGGATACGCAACTCAGAGCGATGCTCTTGAGACGGGTCAGAATTACCTTTCGAAGTTGAACGTGTCCAGTATTGCTGAGGCCCGTAACCTGACCATGCAGCAAGTGATCAACGGTGCCTCTGGCTCCAGTCGGGAAGATACGATCATGTTTAAAGCTACTCTGGATTACTATGCCATGCCCGATACTTACTGGAATACTCTGGTGAAGGKGCTAGCCAACGATGTGCCGGTGCTAACGGGAAACACCAAGGACGAAAGTGGCGCAACCTACGGTCTGAACATCAGCTTGGAAGAATATCTCTCGGATGCGAACGAGGCCTACAGTGGTGTCTGGGTTGAGCGCTTCCTGGAGTTGTATCCGGCCAATGACTCGACCACGGCCTCTGGCGCCTACAACTCCTTGTTCACTGACCGATCCAAGGTTGGCACCTGGTTATGGTCCCAGATTTGGGCTACGGCCCGGAAGAGCCCGGTTTACAACTACTTCTGGGATCACGCTCCTCCTGGCCAGAGCTCTGGTGCTTATCATGAATCAGAAATAAACTATGTTTTGAACAACCTGTACGCCACCAACAAGCCCTGGACTGCGGAGGACTATACCATAGCCAAGACTATGAATCATTACTGGGCCAACTTTATCAAAACCGGAAATCCGAATGGTGACGGTCTGGTCTTCTGGCCAGCTGTTAACTCGGCGGAGCTTGTTCAGCATGTTGGTGACGGATGGGGTCAAATCAGGGTTGCCTCGAGCAAGAAGGTGGAGCTTTTCAAGAACTGGTTCGCCACCTTGGGGAAATACTAGGTGGTACATTTCATCGCACTATTCCATGATGGAGAGTCGACATTGTTGTTTGTTCGTGGCTCGTATCCCACTCGATTTGACTCACGCATGGGCTATATGAAGCCATGTATAGCTTTATGAAGATCGCAGATTCCTTCTTTTCAGTGCTGATACAACAAGTATGATCGTTCTTGTTTACTATATACTTTTGAATTTGTATGCACTTTTAATCTTTTGCATTGGGAGAGCGCTTGACACATTACTGCCCTAATTGAGCCTCACCATAGGCGCTACAGAAAATTAATGGTAAAAGAAATGAGAGACAATCATCCGCTCGAATACCCATATTAGATAATTGCTTAGGATTGACCCAAGGGTGCACAGCTGGAATAGGCACTCGAAGAGCTGCTATTTTGGACAATCTGGAATGACAGTACATCAGGGGAAATCAATAAGGATATTTAGAATTATCACGTGGTAGTGGGAAGGATACGTAAATTACTGCATTGATACTATATCAAAATATATAGCGGCCGCAGTCACAGGAGTGACAAGTCATTTCCATAATACCACTTTGTCCTCCCCATGTCCTCCTTCATACGTCCATATAGTTGCCGGCGGGATCAGCTCATAACAATCCGGTCTTCATATAGTCTTCGCCTCTCTCGTAGCAAAAGACAGTAATATCAAACACGACCTCAAGATCATCAACGACGTTGACCCCACGTATTATATACACCTTTACCCGCCGCACATGCACGAGGACATGGCGCAGCAGATTTTGCACTTCCCTTGCACCTTCCACATTTGTGCCACTTGTTGGTAACGGAACCTCCAGTCCCTTTGCAACTCGAGCAAGTTCCGCGACGAGTGAACCAAGTTCCTTTGTTCAGTACTTTCATACCACCGCAGCTCTCACAAATCTTTTGTTCACTTTTCCACAACCCACCTAGGCCTTGGCAGTTGGCGCAAATGGTGGTAACAACGCCGGCGCCCTTGCATGTATGACACTTAGGACTCATGATGACTGTTGAATTATAAAGCTTAACCGGAGGCAGCGGTCGAGGAGTAGTAGAATGAAAGATATCTAGTTAGGCCAAGAATATCAGCCCCAGGAGGTTACCGTGTCCATAGAAAGGAGAAATGATAGAGGCAGACCTTTCTCTTGATGATGAAGAGAATATGTCGAGGTGCACGGTTTTTGATGTAGGTACAATAGGGGAGGTGGAAATCTGCTGTTAAAGATCCGCTGCAGGGTTCCTACTCTTAGGGGTTGCTCTCAAGATGGTCTATCCTAGAGCCCTTTAACTATGGGATGATTTAGTTGAATTTTATTCTTATTTCAGATTACCATCCCAAAAAACCCGTCCACATTACGAATACCGACTCATGCAGCTCCGACCACGTCACAGCGACATACCAGCCTATAGAAAGGGACCCGGGCCATAAATGAGGCAAACAGTGAGGCGGCCATTGGGAGAAGCTCATGCTCTGCCTGTCATGATGACCGACTATGACTACTAGCCCTTTAGAAACAGCCATTGTTATGGTTAATGGTTATGGTTATGGTTACAATCTCCCGTCAAATGTAGAATAAGACTTTTCGGTGGAGTTACCGATGATCTGAATGATGAGCAGATAGCAGCTGGGGTGGACAGATAGGATGTATACATGCATTCGGTTCGAGTGTCAGGACATGCAGCGGAGGAGCCTCCTAGCGCGACTCCAGTTGGAGCAGAAAAAGGTACCCCCGGTCCCAGGCCCTGCGATAGATCGAAACCTTAGGGTCCCGGTACGGCCCGATCTTCACCCAGGCCGAGTTAGCACCATTACAGCTAGCAGCTAAGCATATGATGACTCTCTTGATCAGCTGTCTCCACACGGCCGTTCTCCACCAGTTCTGCCGGGGTGTGATCGTACAGCCCCCGCTCCAGCTGCGGGGGCTAGTCGTGAGCACTGGCATACAACAATTGGAGAGCTCCGTAGCGCTTGAGCCCTGCCTCAGCTGCAGTTGTGGGCCTGGTAAAGTCAGGCCTACCAGTATCATGCTGCTACTGCTAGGAGTGTATTTGCGGCCCAGTCCAAGGGCAGATCGAATCTGCCGTGGCTTGACTATATTTATAAAACTACAACCGTGGTGGATTTGGAAGAGGACAGCAATCCGACTGGTCAGAACGCAAGGTTCGGACCATTCTGACCGCGCTGCGGGATCACATTGATGTATATCAGTGTATGAGACACGCCCGTTCGCGTGCCGGTCCAGAGCAATAGGGGTACAAGGCAGCCCTTTTCTTCTTCCCTTGGAGCTTGGCCTTGGAGGTTGGATATTGCTTATCTTTTCTTAATCAAGGTCTATTTCTCTAGGTGTGTGTATAATTCTGACCTTGCAAGCAGGCGCTTTCCGCCTCCATTCAAACGAACAATGCAGTCGTCGCAGCACAATCAGAGGGTCTCTTTTGGAATCGAAGTCTCAAACAGCACAACAGTACCACGTGTACGTCAGCTCGTTTTCACAACCTCAAGGGATTCATATGAGAGCCATCATATCACCGTCCGCTGGTGCTCCCTATCCTCTAAATTGTTTAGGGAGAGCTCGACTGTGCTCGGTGCTTAAAGAACGTCAAAAGCTTTGCAGCAGCATTATGCCCGTTCCTCTCCGCAAAATCCAAGGCTCTCTGATACTGCCGTTTGCCATCGCCAGTAATTGATGCCCCGCCATTAAGAAGCATCTGAAGCATATCGATCCGACCATGTTCCGCTGCTGCCTCCAGCGCCGTGCGTCCCGTGAATTTTGCAGGAGCTGCATTGACATCTGCCCCTAAGTCAATCAGTCTTCGGGCGATGCCAAGGTATCCGCGAATGGCCGCGATCTGTAATGCAGTAGCGCCTCCGTAGCGAGCAGGGGCCCCGTTGATGTCAGCCCCGTGGGCAAGGAGCATATTTACCAGTTCCATATTTCCGATGTCGACTGCGTGTTGCAAGGCCGTGCGACGACGATCACCTTTGCCTAGGTAGTTGATATCGGCCTGCTCAGCTAGTTTCCGCACCATGGCCACCTGCTGGTTTTTGACGGCAGCCTGAAGAGGAGTTAAGACCTCGAGGACTCTTGCTTTTACCACCTCTCCATATTCATCCTCTTCATCCGGATAGTAGAGCGTTATTTCTTGATTCACGTCCGGCCCGAAATTTAGCAGGTCCTCCGCTAAATCAACCTGATCGAAAAAGACCGCAATTGCCAAAGCACGGCCGGTTGATCTTGGGTCCCACTGGGCAGACTGGAGAAGAATCTGCAGCATCGACCTGTCGCCTTGCTCGGCAGCTATTTCAAGTACCGACTCAGGGGTATCCAGATCAAATTCATCCAGATTCCAAACGTCCTCAAACAGCTGTGGCGCTCCTGTGGGGTCCACGCCTGCCTTTAGAATGAGTTGCAGGAGGTCGCGTCTCCCGTTCAGTATCGTATTACCAACTGCCGTAGGAGCCTTTCCAACGAAGCCTGTCAGTAAGCGCTCCAAGAGTTGAGTACCGTTGTCGTCAGAAATACTAGCAGCGACTGCATGACTGAGGTCACTGTCAGTAACCCTGGCGTCCCGTTGAAGGATAGCCTCAGCAACAAAGGAATTGCCTGTCTGGATTGCTGCCCCCAGCGGTGTTTGCTCGGGCTCAGAATGGTCAATATCTGCAGCCGTAGCTAGGATGTTGATGTTGATGTCATCGTCAAGCAGGTACTGCACTAGTTCATTGTCTTTGGCTAATATTGCGGCCGTCAGAATAGTGCGTCCGCATATCTGCAAAATACCTTGCAATATTCCACTTTGCTGCAGATATATTGCAGTCTCCATGTTTCCGATGCGGCGTAGCTTTGGGGGCAACACCGACGCTCCAGCACGCTGCAGCATACGAAGCAGTGCTCGGTCTCCTTTTTCAATGGCGGCACCAAGCACAGTTCCAGGGGCTCTGCTGTAGACATCATTCAGTCGTGCTCCACAGTTGATCAACAAGTTGACGATTTCAAGGCTGTTCATTTCCAGGGCAATAAGGAGAGCGGACGAGCTCTGTCCCTCACAATCCCAAGGTCTGTCTACCTTGGCACCATGAGCTATCAACGCTCCGCACAAATCCACATTGGTTTTCTTCACGGCACGCTCAAGAAGAGTTAATTTTCCACTGCAATCAGCAGCCCCAACATCCAAATTTGCCTCAAGCAAAAGTTGGGTAATTTTGAAACATCCAGTCTCGACAGCTAGCGCTAGGGGTGAAACCAAAGACAGCTCATGTAGCTCATCTAGGTCATCTAGCTCATCCACATCTGGATTGACATTAACACAAGCGCGCAATAGAGGCTCTATGATTTCAACCTTTTTTGACGTGACGCCAAGGCCTAGAACAGTGGTTGTTTCCCAGTGGTCATCAAATCTAACATCCACCAGGAAATTGACATTAGCACCTTTAGCAAGCAAAATGTTTATCATTGCAACGTTTCGGGACTTCACAGCTTCGGCAAGGATATCCTCCCACCCCGTTAGTTCGATGTCGTCCTCGCACGCATCAACAAAGTCCCTGAAGATCTCAATGCTGATGTCATATATGGCAGCATCACGAAGACACGTCGGCGAAACAACAGCACCATGGGACAGAAGTGCTCGCATTGCCTCTTCATTTTCGCTTCGGATGGCATAGTGGAGGGCGGAATACCCATTGTAGGACAAGTTCACATCAACGTCATGAGATAGAAGTAGGTCCATAAGGTTTATGCCTTCCCACGCAATTGACGCGGAAAATTGCAGGGGCGTAAGCGCCCCGTGGCGGACGGTCTCAATCGGATTATTCGGATCCATGCCGGCCCTGAGCATCGTCTCCACAGTGTCCAGGTCGACCAATCTCAATGCACTTGCAAAGATCTGCTCAGCTATGGCGCCAGATGTTGGCTCTGGCGTTGATAGGAGGATCTGCAGACGCTTCAGGCTGGTCCAACCAGTCCTTTTGAACATTTGCATAATGCGCTTGTCATTTGAATTCATGGTTGCGTAGGATAGCTCACTTGAGACTTGCGATGCAAGATTGTTCGATAGAAGAAACAGCTCCAGATGCAGCCGATCCATGCCTGTTTGATTGATGTCGCACAGCCGTTCAGAAAGAGTGTGATGCTGGCCTTCAAAGTCTTCTGGCATCAGTATGCTGAGAGCCGTGGCTATTCGGGAGCTACTTTTTATATTCGGAGGTTGGCTGAGCTTGTGCCAGGGCACGATTGAGCCAAGTATTTGCATTAAATCCAGGTTCTCCTTGTGGGATGAAACCTCGGCGCTCCGGGGTGAGGCTGCGAGGCTGAACGATACGTTATCTATATGACAGTTCTCAGAACTCGAAGGAAGAAACGGCTCCGTCGTCTCGTACCTTGGCCCTGTGCTGTTTGTAGTAGTTTGGAGAATCGTAGCCAAGGGAGAGATGCATCCCACTCAAGACGCATGCCTGGTGATGCTGGGGTACAAACCACGACCCCTTCAGGGGTATATGGGGAAGGGCCTACGACTTTATCAGAAACGTACTGAGCGGCATGTTGACAGAGGAGGCTCACCACCAAGGAATTGGTCTCTTATGGACACAAAAGCCTGTTTGTAACTCACTTTCCTGACCTTCTCGGGTGGATGCTGGATGCCGTCAAAGAAGACCTCGCTTTCCTTGCCATCTTCTCTTTTTCTCTTCTCGACTCGTCTCCCAATGGCCTTCCAGTCTGCTGCTCGTAGTTCGTACTTTTTCAGCCCCCATTTCTTGAGGCGCCGTTGATACTGTTGTTTTCTGTTTCCTGGGTCAGCTATGTATATCCGAGTCCAGTAGTATAGTATATCAGCACATACGATCTCTCGAAGCCATACATGGATTCCATAGCATTCATGACCTGAGGAAGGGTTTTGTTTTCCAGAATGTAAAGACGCTCGATCTCCGCCTTGAACCTTTCCCATTCTGCGTCTGCCATGGCTGTGAGCGCTGACGTTTGCTGAGGATTTTTGAGGAAAATAATACTGCAAAGGAGATTCTGTACTCAGGACTTGTCGGAAAAGAACTGCTGTGAGGAGGGAAGGGATGTCGCTTTTTATATCAAGCAGGGCACACCACAGCAATCGTCACAGGCGAGGCTTATTACCAGGAGCAAGGCTCTGTTCCAAAGAACGGTGAGGTAAGATTCAAGTCGAAACTTACTCCTATTGGCCGAGTCTCAAATATCGACGCATCTCACTGCCAAGAAGCCATGTTGATGATTGGTGTCTACGTGTATTCTCCTGCAGCGCTGCGGGTCTGCTATTCGTCTACGGTTCTCTATTTCTTATAATTCTGATTGGTCCTTTCTCAAATATCGGCCTTGAAACAAGATCCGTTGAGCCTGAGGCGTCGCTTAAGTTCAGCCCAAGATTAAAGAGCTTCCATGTAATGTTTCCCTCCAGGCGCACGTCTCACCAGAGGTCGTATCTTATAATTCTAACTGGTCCATTCTCAAATATCGGATGGATCTCTTTTGTCGACACAAGGCGATATAGCAGAAGCCTTGACAATCAGTATAGACAAACACGGCACAGTCAAAATGGGACAGAAAAACTTGACAAGATCCGCCTGGGGATTTATACTCTATTAAAACCTCTTCCTTCCTTCCATCTGATCGGAGGGCGATTCTATCCTCAGAGTTACCTTCTACAATAATCCTCCTCTAGTTCTTGTGCTTATTCATCGTTCTATCAGTACTTAACCTAGCTACCTTTCTTCACAATGGAGTGGGCAGCCAATTATCCCCACCTGGCAGAGGACTATGTCCCAGGGCAGCCAACCGATTTTTGCACGTATTCCCAAACCTCTGGACCACTCCCTACCCAGACTACAGGTGATCCACACCACCTACAACTAAGTCAACCTAGTCCCGGTGGTGTCAACCTTGATGCATGGCTTAGCGTCATACCTGCTCCGAGTCAGAACACAAGCCAATGGGGGCCGGTTGTGAGCGACAGCCCGGATTATCCGAACCCAAATCCCCGGGCACATCTTCGTTCCAGCAACTGTTCTCAGCCTGCTGACGCTTCGCACCCTTTTTCATCATTCAGTCATCTGCCGCCCCAGGAACAGCCGAACACGCAGAACACCAACGCGATCCGGCAGCGACAAAAGATTCGGCAACGCCGCCGAACCACAGAGTATGCAGTCTCTCCGTCTTATTCCTCTGCCTCTTCTCCTCCTCCTCCTCGTCCTCCTCCTCATCATCATCATAAGGTTGCATCTTAAGTAACATTGCGTTTGTGTCGCAGTTCGCAAAACACGGCCTCAGCCCTCTTTCAATGCAAGTGGGAAGGCTGCCGCTATCCCGGCTTCTTCGGCCGCGAATGTGACCTTGTACGCCATATCAAAACACTACATATCTCGCCCGGCGCGCATCCCTGCCTCGTGGAAGGCTGCACTGCTGTCTTTAATCGGGGAGATAATCTGCAGCAACACATGAAGTGCTGCCACCACCTTAGTTGAAGAGCAAAGAGGAATTTAAAGAATTTGAAACCCTCTTCTCTTTCTTTGCCTTGTTCGGGAGAAAGATTTTTTATTTTCCTTTGCTTGCTTTCTATCTCCTACTACAGTAGTTAGGTTAGTATAGCTATCTGTTTCGTTGAGTAACTTCTATGTTCAATTATCTTAAACAGGACCTTATTCTGCTTTAAGCAGGCATGTTCTACCCTGGTGAGAAACCTGAATGTACTCCACCTTATATTTTCGTATTTTGCCCCTCTTTACCTCCTGTACCCTGGATGTGTGTCACATCCTGGGATCCGTCTCTCTGTTCTCCGCTAGTCAACTACTTCGGAAATGGGGTGAAATAGTCCTCATGCAAACGCTCAATCCACGGGGTTTCAGCATACATGATATGCCACAATGGATTCAAAAGAAACGAATAGACTCTGGGATACATATTCACCACTAACACCTTCTTCCATCCAATACTCTCATCAAGCCTATCATCTTCTTTATCCTCCTCCTCCTCCTCCTCCTCCTCATCATCATGCCCATCCCCACTACGTCGGCCCCTCTTTTCTCGACGAAGTCTCCTCTCCTCCACCTGATCGAACCAGCTCATATTCAGCGCAATAACATATGCAGTAGAGGTCCGATAATCCCCATCCCCACCCCCCCAAAACCAAGCACCGGCTGCATCGCGTCCTGATCCACCAAAATCAGATACCCGTGCCGGACGTCTCCAGGTTGCTACTTCCCATACAGCTATCTCATCAACCCCTGATGCCGTCTACAGCACGTTAGTTACAGCATAGATTGGGTGTAGCAACGAATATCGCCAGATTTCCTCCTTGGAGCAATTATCCAGTGCAGAGTCCTACTGCACATTCCACTCGAGCGGGAGGAGGGTTGCGCTGGTTGTTTAACCAGAACCAGCAGGTCAACTTGGTCAACAGGTAGAGAATATCGAGGCGAAAAATACGCAGGGACCCCAGATTGATCAGTATCCATGATTTAGAGTTCAGTAGAACGTTAGTGGTCCTATCCCGTTGGATTTGATACCAAACCGAAATTGGACGTGTTGCAGTGAAGGTGGCCCCGATATAGCTCAGCTATCTGACTGCCTCCCTTCCGTCGCCTCGTCCATTGCTGTTGGACATATCCCTGAATCATGGAATCTCTCAAGCAATAATACTATCTCATTATGGACCGAAGGGTTGCCGATCGAGGTGAGACCCTACAGAAAGGCTAGATAATCACGTCTAACCTAATAGGCTTTGATGCTCCGCTGTACCAAAGTACTAGTAGGAGCAATCATCTAACAGAGTGAACCATATCAAGATGATTGGACGAGACAAGACAAGCCTAACGTACTAGGAGAGAAACCATCCACTATGTCCATCAGGTTATCTGTGATACTACCCAGATGAGGGGGCGCAAGAAACATTAATAAACACCATAAAAAAAAAAAAAAAAAAAAAAAAAAAAAAAAAAAAAAAAAAAAAAAAAAAAAAAAAAAAAAAAAAAAAAAAAAAAAAAAAATAAAATAAAATCAGAGCGCGAGATTATTGTCGAACTGAAGAACAAGCTAAAATCCAGCAAGCTTACCTACCCAAACGGCTAACATGAAGGCTTGTTTCTTGAAGCTTAGATTAAACAAGGCCATCAGAGCATGGATAAGCAGCTTGAACAATGGGAGTCCGTTATTTCGGAGTATAAGATCTGAACTGACCAATCCGAAGGGCTCTACGGCGACCCTGGAGTCTATTGAGGCAATTTCGGGCTCGAATACTTCCACAGTACGGTGAAACCCGTCGTGATACTCGGCAAGCTAATACCTCTTTAGACTTTTTTTGATGCGATAAACGCCTTCCAAGGGAGGCGGGAAGGCCACCGCGGCCGTCAGGAGTCTATCGCCCTGATCTTCTGGAAGCAGCTTAGCTATTGGGATACGTGATGCTGATGATCTGTAGAATCGGCACGACCGGGAGGACACGCGTCCGGGTTTCCCGCGCCGTAAGCGCATCCGTCCACGCTGACTGTTCCTCCTCAGCCGTACAGCCTGTTTGCAGAACGGAGCTCAGCAAGCCTTTATCGAGATCGGCATGTGACTGTCTTTTTGTCCTGGCTCTCGTCTTCCACGTCCTGTAGTAATGCCCCGCGATCAACAGCAGTATCTTAGTTGAGATAACCATGTGGCTGGAAGATAATGATGGGAAGAGATAAATAATTAGTTATACACAGGTCTATTCTCCCTGACTATATTAATAAGTGCTGTGCTGCTATCACTAGCCTAGAATATATTACTACCTCTATTAGGCCTTACCCATTATAGAACTGACCTAAGGCGGGGCAGGATCTACCCGATGCTAGGCTCGGCAACTTAATTAGAGAATGTGGGCGCCTCTTAATGGTCTGGTCGGGAAAGGGCTTCATAATGCATCACGGATTTGATTTCCGTGGTAAACGTCGGGATGGATGGGTAGATATTGTGATGTCACCAGTCCTGCTGGTCTATCACTCTAATTTATGTTTGCAGTATTTCTGTAACGATTGAGTAGATCAGCTGTCTACTAATGATATGCATGCAAACAGACCTGTGGAGCTGTAGCTTTCAATCTAAATAAGCTATTTGGATGTAAAGCTTCTTTACACGCCACACTTAACTCTGCAGACCAAACTTAATATTTCGTCGTTGCAAAACCTAACCAGCTGCAAAATGTGTTCTAGACTTAGACCAGATCAAGCCCCGTCAAAATTAAGCATGACATGCTCGAGTTTTATATGTTACATCCATTGCTACCCGTAAGCAGGTGTGATATCACCATAATTCAGAAGACCGGTAGATCATGAATATTTAAACGCCGCACTTTGCGAAGGCCATTATTGATTGATCACTTCAAGAACAAAAACGAGCCTCAATTACCAGCAGCAAATATGCGATTCTTACCCAATCACATCTTGAAAGCCTTACTGGCGGTTTCTATGGTGACCACATACGCTGGGGCATCCCCTCACGACTCTCCAGCAATTCAGGTTAGCATCTTCGACGAATATGCCAACAACGATGATCACCATATGCGTCACGGAGTGCCTATGGACGCTGAAGCGGCAGGTAACTGGGCAGACTCCGAGTCCGCAGGTCCCCCACTCTTTTATGGCAGCTGTTACCGTTTGAGCAGTGATGAGTATGGAAGGCTTGGGGGAGATAATGGTGTTTGGAGCTACCTGCAATTCGGCCAAGAGAAATCCAAGGTTTTCAAAGTGTGCCACAAACAATATTCATGCCACCAGCATCAAGGATCAGTCCAGGCCGGGATGGATAGCAAACCATACTTCTACTTATGGGACTTTGAGGGTTCCAAGAGGGTCCCCCGTGGAAACTATCTTGCTGTTGCTGGGCCGGACAAGTTTTTCGCAGCTGGCAGTGGATATTGCGATGTTATCCGATTCCGTGGTGATCTTGATTACAATTATTATCAGGAGGATGATTATTCTCAGCCAGGTGTCTCCAAAATTCGTCTGACCTTGGCACCCTACGATACCACTTCCACCAAATCTGGTCTGACCATTGATGGCGCTAAAAACCTGAAGCGAACTTCTGCAGGAAACTCCGTCCGCCTGAACTTCCATCCCGTTGCCTGTCCCGTTGATGAGGACGACTAAATTTAAGACAGCGACACAGGCTGTGGCCAATGAGTTTTTATTTCTCTTTTTAATATATGTATTTCGAGTAATTGAATCTAATCTGATCGAAAACTTTAGTAAAAAATTGATTAATCCACCCACATATACGCTACAAGACAACTGACTTTCGATCAGCCGCATCTACCGCCCTATATAGGAGCGAAGACCTTAGTCTGAGCAATTGACTAGGTTCAACTCTTGATAGGGATCCTCCACGTCAGTGTAGGTCAACAGTTACCCATCATTAGCCACGATTGCGAGCCATTTGGAAGGTATGACTGACCCTTTCCATTCCCATTCGATACCTGATTGCAGGCCCATCGTATGGGCAGAGCCGCCCAGGACTTTGTAGAATTGGCCTCCGTCAGAGCTGGTCCTAGCAAATAATCATGATAGGATGCTGCCACAACCCTTTGTAGATGTAAATGCCGTGGGAGGCAGAGCCCCGAAAAATATTCGTCAGGATCTTGTGTGGTAGTTCACTTAGAGTTGTATAGGGACAGGTGAGTTGAGCTGACCAGCTGTTAGCAGTTGAAAGGTGTCCTATCTTTCCAGTAGGTGGTGACTCTCCATTATTTATAAATTCAAAGGCAAGGCTGATGGCATGAGCGCCTAACCCCGTGTGCTGTTGACCACAGCTACACTACGGTGCAGTATACCCAATTTAGGCACACCCCTGTGGCCTAGTTCTTTTGCTTTGTTATGAATTTTCTGGTCTGGCCCACTGTTCCAGGTGAGCACTAGATGAAGTGCGTAAGGCATAGTCAGGGCTTAGGGAATTTATGAACTCTACTGACTAGACTTGGTCGTCTTTCTTCCCCCTTATTTTCCTTTTCTTGTTGGTACTTATTGTTGTCTTTTGTATTAATGGTACTCTGCCCAAAGGTTATGATATTTAAGTAATCATCATATATGTTCGTCTGTAAAACGGAATTGTAACTCCGCTCACAATCATAATATGTTCAACTCACCAGTTCGCATAGATATGTCCAGAATATGCCTCTGATCCTTTCATCCCGCTACAAATGCAAACTCGACATCACCTCAGACACATCCCTATACCAAATCCCCGACTTACCTGGAGACAAAATCCCCTTTGGATCCAGCGTATGCTTCATGAGACCCACAAACCTCGAAAATGAAGAGTGATTGAAGTCCAACTTCCTGGCTACATTGTCCATATAGCTCACATGCGTGCGATACGGTATATACCCCTGCTGCGCACCATCTTGCACGAGGTGCCGACACAGCTGGTGGACGCGCGCCTCTTCCTGCAGGGTATAAATGATGAGCTCAATACCAATCACATAGCGAGGGTAGACGTGGAAGTCGGCGAAAAAGTCGAACTTTGCGTCCATGGTGCGCTGTTTGGCAGTTAGGTACCATTCGTACAGTTCGCGGCCGGATGCAGGAATGACGGGCGAGTAGTCGATGTGTCCGCCGCCAGTTTCCGAGCGACTGTTCACTATTCCGAGCGGTGCGAGTGTGGGGATGCCGCTGTGCGGGATTTCCTCTTCATTGATTTCAGCCGCGGTGATAGCCTCTCCGGGCTTACCGGGGAACTCTCGCCATTTGATCTGGACGCCCTGGATGCCCGAAAATGCGCGCTTGATTGTCGCCAGCAGGGCGGGGAGCATCTCCACCGAACCGTAGAGTGAGAAATATGCTCTCCAGAAGCCCCAGTTTTGGTCCCTGCGGATTTCCTCCAATACAGGGTAAGGGACGTAGGAGCCTGGCTTCATGTACTGCGCTAGTTTGGCGTGAACTTCGGGGACTTGGGATGTCAAGGCAATGCGGAAGATGTTGGCGATGGAAGGTGAGTTCAGTATGATCGAGCGGCGCATGAGGTCTGAAAGAGTGCCAACCAGGGGAACAATATCTTCTTCTCGAGGTACGCTCACTTCAACGGTGGCGTAGGCTTCTGGGGCCGGAGTGATATGAATGCCGATCTTGGTAACAATTCCTGTCTAGGTGTGAGTGGGTTTCTTCATCTGTAACTTGAAATAGGGAAAGAGTTTACCAAGATTAGACTGGTAGAAGAGACCGTCAAGGCCAGGTCCAAACCCTCTGATTTAGTCTTTGAGTTAATTTCTCTCCTTTTTTCAATCTCGCTTATTGATGGAACATACCCTTTGTACAGCGGAAAGGTCTTGTTATCTTTCACGGCTCCCATGCCTGTCCGAAGCAAGTCCCCGTTAGGCAAAACAACCTCCATGCCACACTGCGACTGCGAATGTTCTCCATTAGGTGTATATCCAAAGCCGCGGTCCACCGTATTTCCTAATACGGAACCCCAGCCAATTGCCGGAACTGAAGGCCAGAGATTCAGGCCCCTTCGTTGGATTTCTTCATAAAGATCGAAAAAAGATACCCCGGGCTCCACAATAGCATACCCGTATTCCTCGCTCAATTCGATGATCTTATTCATCCGGTGGAGATCAAGGATTACCGACCCTTTGACAACAGCGCTGGATCCGCCGTAGCTGGTACCATGAGCAAGAGTCCGATTGAAACAAGTTACAAGGTGACGGAATCATACCCTAAGTTCTTACCCCTAGAAACTGTCCACAGAGGCACCTTGTGCCTATTAGCCAGCTTCACGATTTCTTGGACTTCTTCTACGCTCTTGGGGCGAACAGCACCGCTCGGTTGATGGGTTGTAACGGTTGAGAAGGAATCTCCGTACGAATCCGAATTTTGAAGCCCATTGAGTGCACCATGCTCAGGGGTACGCGAAACATTTTCTTCTCCAAGGACACTCGCAGCGTCGTTAAAAAATTCCTCCAATGTCTTGGTGTCCGGTGCTGCGGATCGAGTGTGAGAGGACATTGTGCCGGGGGTTGACAAATTATCATAGCACCCAGCATAGGAAGGAGTATTCTGGATATAAATAAGCTGCGAATGTCACTAAAAGGCACAAGGCCTAATGGAACCCCCTCTAATCAGCTGGGATTGTTTTGCTCGCCGGGGATACCGGGGGGAAATCCCGCGGTTGTTCTCTTCAGAAACGAGGAATGGGGTCCGGGCGTGCAATCCCAAACCCATAGGCGGTCTCAAGACTTGTATATATTGTTTCCTAGTATTCAGTATGCTGCATCTCCATGTTTACTGCTGCCGGGGAGTTCGGCTGTCTTCTCGGTACATAAACGTCCGTCATCAACCAACAAAGTCTATATAATGATCTTGCAGCATATAACGGAGCATTCGCAAGCGGTTGGAACACTGGTCTATGTAGTTGGATTACTGGTGTGACTCGCAGCATTGACCCTCTGGGTTATTGTGAAATGTGTGTATAGTGTGCTTTTTTCATCCCCTCTAGGCAATTCCTGCTCCATATTTTGCTGCGAGCTCTTGGAGGCTTTTCTGGTTAGAATGCGAGGGGATCTCCTCACACAGAGATTCTTGATCTGCACCAAAAGTATGGTATGTGGCTCAGTGAGTACTGTGTTATAACTGCCTCTACATTTATTTACAGCTGACATGACCGATTTTGACGATCTCGCCCAATGAGGTCTCATTCAATGACTTGGAAGCTTCTGGCATCATTTACAGACAAATGTCCAAGTTCGAAAAGTCCGAATATTTCATCTTCCTTTTGAGTCTATTCATTATTAAGATTGGCAGAAACACTCAAGACAACTGACTCATCTCTCATACTTTATCCGGAGTGAACTGCAGCGTGAGGGAACAATATACGACACGGCTGTTTGTTTGATAGATCCGATTGCGCAGCATGCAAAGCACAGCCATGCAGTGCCTCTCTTCCCGGCGTTCTGCTGTTGGCACTCGATATAATATCTGAGTTTGCATTTGAGGCATGCCTTGGTGAAATGCAATTCGAGACGTACAATAGTGTATCGGACAAAAGTAGGTCCCTTTTTCTTATCCCTGTCTTAACTGGTGCTGATACGCCTACTTCATAGCCTGTCAATCATTGAGCAGAAATCATTTTGTGGATGTTTGCCAGACGGTTCAACCCCAGGCAAGACTTAAAAAGCAATATCAATATACAAGAGGTAATCACCGTTGCAATTGACGATCCTGTCAAGATTCGAGTTGACCTTGCAACGGACTAAACATATCCTAATAGCGAGAATGGAGGTATACGGTTCCCGTCCAGACAGAGACCGTTCAGTGAAGTCAATACTAGAAGTCAAAGGTAGCCTCTAGACTTGACATTCTAAAACAATCTTCCCTCCTTTGCTTTAGCCATGGTCAACAATGTGGGAATCTCAATCTGCTCGGACTTCTCCCAACCTCCCGGCTTACCCGGCTTCCGCGACATCCCCGACATCTCCCCGGTATTTCCGGTGACCTCCGCATTTAACTGGTTCAGGAACCTAGGATCGCCAGCTGCCAATGAAGGAACCTTAAAAACGCCGGAGAAATAATGAATGAACCGGGAAGGATTGGTTGTGGTAAGCAACGGCCCAACTTGGACCCCAGTCCACCCCACATTATCTGTAATTCAAAATTAATAATCAATTCACAAGTTAACTGATTGGTGTACACTACGCATAACTTGATATGTCCTACTTCAGCATTTAATTTGTAAAAGATACGTACTGGATACCTGAGTCTCCACCCCCGCCTGTGGACTCCAAACGGCCCGGAAACTCCGCATGACAATTTGTTGCAAGACTTTAAGTGCGCCTATGCGCCTGTTGCAACGCTCAATCAGTCCAGCTTCATAGAATTGATTCACCATGGAGGACAACTCGCTTCACGCGCGCTCAACTCCCTCGTTGGGCGATTCCAGCCATATCAGCCCAGAAAGACCGCAGGGTCGGAAACGAAAGAGAGTCTCAGTGGCTTGTCGAGCCTGCCGCGTACGCAAGTCTCGTGTAGGTTCTTATCATGTATTCAGCTGCAGAAAACAGATGCTGAATTTCGAGTATCGGCATAACAGTGCAATGGTGATCAGCCTTGTTCGTCATGTGAAGATATGGAAACACAGTGTCAATATGAACAGCCTTCCACTCGGCGCGTCACTGTACCTGATAATGGAACGAGTGATCCGTGAGGAGACCATGTACAAGTCCTGTCGTATATCGCGCTAATTTGTTATAGGCTTGAGGCTAATGCAGTGCTCGAGCGTCGGCTGCAGATTATAGAACAGAAGCTACATGTACTGGATTCAGCTAATAATGACATATCCCCTGAGGTTCGTCCAGCTATCCCCTCTGCGGTTCCGGGGAAAGAACCGCGACAATCCGCCATAGGACTGAAAACGGCGGCTGATCCCGATGATGGAGTGGATGGCATGGGTGCCGTCCCACTTAAAGACGGCGCTGATGAAGACGAATATTTTGGTAAGGTTCTCCCAGGACAGCTGCAGGTCTTTTTGTTGCACTTTAGCTGACAGTTTTGATAACACTAAAGGCAGTTCATCCAACGTGGCCTTTTTGCACTTTATCATCAATTCCATTGGGCATCCGGTTAACCCGGCGGCCACTCCTTCCCCTTCAATGATGGGCGGTCCCGCAGACATGGAACAATCAAGCGATGAAGGCTTCGATGCCTTCCTTAGAACGCCTACGGACCTCACCATCCCATCAGACGGTTGGCGCGGGTCTCGAGTGGAACCATTTGCGCTCCCCTCCCAAGAAGAAGCAGACTCCTTGCTACTTTTGTACTTCACCACAGTTAATTTGATGATACCCTGCATCCATGAAGACTCATTCAGAGAAACATATATGCAGATGCAGAGAAATGGTTTTGGGGGGTTGAGAAGATCGTGGCTTGGCGTTCTTAATGTAATTTTCGCCATTGCGACCAATGTCACGCGCTCAACCTCACCAACGCACGAACGGGCAGAGAAATCGAAGATATACTTTGAGCGAGCAGTTGAGCTAATAAGACCGAGTATCATAGGCCGTGTCTCATTGGAAATGGGTATGACACAAACCTGCAGTCCTTCACTTCAGCCTCAACTGACAGACTCAGTGCAACTATTCCTGTTAATGGAGACCTATCTCGAAGGAACGACATCTGCTTCAATGACATGGACCTTTCATGGCCTGGCAGTGAAAGGGGCATATCAACTGGGACTTCATATCACGGGTTCGAAGAACCTGTCACCACTCGATCAAGAAGTGCGAAAGAGATTATGGTCTTGGTGTGTTATGAATGATCGGTAATTGCGCCTACCATACAATAGATGGCACACAATAATTGACGATGGCGAATAGTTTACTAAGCGTCAGATATGGACGCCCTCCTTTGATTCCGCTGTCTCATGTGAGACTAGGAGCGAGCTTGCATCTCCCGTTTAGCAATGTTTCCAGCTCCATCACGATATCTAGTCTGGGGTATTTCGATGCCATAATGTACTAGGATCCTTTATTGATTTGGTTATGTGATCTCACGGACTGACGGACGGTGATGTGACAGGTCCATAACTCATATTATGGGTGACGCATTGGAGCGGCTGTATGATCAAAATCTGGGATTTCGTACCTGCCTTACAATGAGCGAGGCACTCAATCAAGTTTCAGGACTGTGCTGGAAACTAGCACAGTGGCAGGATAATCTACCCCCCGGTTTAGGAATCATTAACTCCAAAGACTCACTGAATGATGTCCCTCTTACTATTGGGACAACAAGATTCCGCGTTCTGCTCTCACTCCGCTACCTCGGGACAAGGATCCTGATACTACGACCTGTTCTCAGCCAATTCCTTGACCTACAGGGAGTCACGGCCTTCAATGAGCATCAGTCTGAGTGGCTTCGGAATTCTGGCGCCGCGCTATTAGAGGATCTGGTACGTACATGCAGCGAAATTTTCCAGATCAGCAAAAGTGTCCTGGCTGGGTCCAAGAATGACCAGAATTTGCTTGGAGCATGGTGGTTTTCTTGTTATTACAGTAAGTTGAGAGCTGTGCGGAGGGGCTTTTTTTTTCTCAGTCATAACTCATCCGTTTCGTAGCGTTCAACGCTTCTCTCGCAATCTTGGGTGTTCTTCTCGTGAAAAGGACTCCGGCATATTCGGGAGAAACCTCCATGTCGTCAGTGACAAAGCTCCAAACCCTGCTCGACACAGCCATGGATATTCTTCGTGGCCTGGATAAGGGAAACGAGACTCTCATGAAATGCCGAGACACTTTAGGAAGGCTGCGCATGGCATTTGATTCTGGCGGTATGCTCGAATCCTGATTTCCCAACCCCAGAAAGTACTGTCTAATATAAACTGACAAAAAGGCTTCAAAGGGAATATAACAGGAGTCACGCCCGAGTCATTATCACTCTCCCCCTCCAGCGCGTGGACATGGCAACTCATTGATCCGGGCTTTTTTAGTTCGGAGGCCTCACTGAGTCTTACAATGGGGGCCGGGGACTTTTGAGACTGAATCCCGCTCTCAGATACCCACTACGGCTGAACCTGGGATCTGGACGGAGGATGACATCGACAAACGTGCTGAACGGCATATTCTGATGTCGGGGTATAATTCTTCTAGTAAATTTACGTTTCTGCCTAGCCTTATTTCTAGCTCTCTTTCTTTTTTCTCTTTTCTCTCAAATATATACAAGTCAATGGGAATTCAGAGAACGGTTCTCACCTCTAGAGGGCCATCCGAGCTGTCAGAATGCTGGCCCCAACCCAGTCCCCGGGACTCCTCTGGCCCCATCGATACTTCAGACAGGGAACAGCAGCAATGTAAATATGAAGCTGACTCAAAAGTCGTAGAAGAATAAAGATAACTCATATAGTAAGGCTGATATAGCTCATTCTTTCACTCTGGTCGACCCTACGGATGCAGGGTGACGACTTTAGTCTGGACGAACTCCTCCAACCCCCAGCGAGCGCCAAACCGACCCCAACCACTATCCCCATACCCTCCGTGAGGCAGAGTGGGCTCGTCATGCACGGTCATGGAATTAATGTGGACCGCCCCCGCCTTGATAGAGCCAGCCAGCTCGAGGGCGCGGTAATGATTCCGTGAAATGATTGAGCTCGACAATCCGTACTTAGCCTCCCCGATAATGGCCATAATCTGTTCTTCCGTCTCAACTGCCACGATGCCGACCACCGGACCGAAGGACTCGATTTCGTAGAGCTTCATCTGAGGCGTCAACCCCGTCACCACGGTGGGAGGGAAGCTGCGCGGCGAGGGGTCATTGACTCTTGGGGGTGTATGAATTCGAGCACCCTTATCGCGCGCGTCGGATACGAGCATCTCCACCTTGGCTTTGGCTGCCGGGGAGATGAGCACCGAGGTGGTATCAATATCATTCAGGATGGCCAGGATCTTGGCTTCGAGAGCCGGAGCCACGGCGGTCGTGACCAGGACCATGTCGGTCGACATGCAGATTTGACCGTTCTGCATCAATGTTAGCTGTGTGTCCCCACGCAGTGCCAAGTCTGATCGTGCTTACATTGAGGAAGGCGCCTTTGGTGATCTCTCGGGCCGCAAGATCTAAGTCGGCGTCATCGAGTACCACAGTGAAGTTCTTACCGCCCAGTTCTAACAATACGGGCTTGAGGGCTAGGGCAGCTTGCGAGGCGATGATACGCCCGACCTGGGTCGACCCGGTGAAGTTGCATTTCTTGATGGCGGGGTGGTTGATGAGCACATCGAAAATATCCGCCGCGTCCTCCGGTCGATGCAAAAGGAAGTTCAGCACGCCAGGAGGGAAACCAGCTTCGCGGAACAGCGAGGCGATGAGGTAGTGGGTTTGGGGACTCAATTCGGATCCCTACAATAGTTAGTCAGAGACGGTCTCGCGGTCCGCATCGTTCGGGGGGCGGCTTGCCTTCAGGATCGCGACATTCCCTGCGGCGATAGGAGCCACCACCGCACGGAGGCCCAAGATTATGGGAGCGTTCCACGGAGCGATCCCGAACACTACTCCGAGCGGTTCTTTAAGGACTAAACCGTGACCGTTTTGGATAAAGGGCAGTGAGCCGGTGGCTATACTGGTGGTGAGGGCGCCATACTCTTCGATCAGACCGATAGCGTCGCTGGTGATGATTTCTGCCCACAGGGGGCCGCAATGGATCTCTTCATCACACACGCGCTTGAGTTCCTCGGCTCGATTGCGCAGAACCTGGTCGCATTGATAAGTCAGGGCTCTGAAATGTTCCGGGTTCGGGTTCGCATACCTCGGCCAACTTGAATAACAAGGTCCGGCGCTCTACCGGGGTGGTCTTGGACCATGTGGTAAATGCCTGTGCGCTGGACTGTGCGGCTTGCAAAGCCAGTTCCTTGGTCGCGCCTTGGTAGAGGACAGGACCCTGATCATACGGGTTGACGACGGTGCCTTGAAGAGGCGACGGGACATCTCGTCCATCAATAATGAGGGGAATGGTCGACATGTTCGGGGGTGTGCGGTGTCCAAGGCTTATCGAGCGATTACTTTGCCCTAATTCATTGGGTGCTACACGGAATTATAGCCATACTCGCGCTGTTCCGATGTGGGGGAAGAGCGGCAAGCAGGTTGCAGAACGGCAATGAAGAGGCCAAAAGTCGGAGATACAGAATTGGTGGAGCCGAGACCCATGCCGGGGAATCAGCGGATCATACCCGCGGGCTGTGTGTAGTACCGCATTAGTGTCGATATATACATTTCAGGATGCGTCTCCCTCGGGGGCATGTCATGATACATGACTCATCAAGCGGATATCAAGCCTAAAGTAGCTCATCATGAATGTAGACGATATCTGACTGGTTCCTTTTGAGAGCTATTCTACTCTTCTGATTAGAGTCATCTACCCTTGACTTTTAATATTGTTGCAAAGCTGCGTTCCACATTTATATACCTAAGTCTAGCTTGATATCTCTTTGGTAAATCTATTTATTCAATGTGGAATAAAAATCCAGTCTGCCGAGTTCTTAAATGCGGGATGTCATAACATGTTACGGTATCGACTGTCTACTCTTTCCGCAGCCCCCTCCCTCTCCGTCCATGCCCGGTCAATCTCGCGCTCAGTTTCGTAGCCATAACACCACATCTGCGTAGCCGGATCACTCCACTGATTTGAACTGTGACTAAATGGAAGACCCTCCACTTCCCGCGCCATGGCCGCATCGCGAGCCTCCTGCAAGGGCCCATCCGCAAAATGCCACAGCCGGCCATTGAGCAGACTGGCCTCCTGCATCTGGCCCGCCCGTACGATCCGCACTTTCTCGAAAATGGCTAATGCTTCGGACAGCTGCTCCGGGGACTGCATGTGGGATAAGGAGCGCGCCAGAGCCACGCCGTCTTCCACGGCCATCGCCGCGCCTATCGCGGACCAGTCAATGGGGGGTTCACACCAAATGGGGCGTATATCTTACCCTGCGACATATACGGCAGCATCGCGTGAGCGGCATCGCCCAGAATGACCAACTTGCCCCTCGTCCAGCGAGTGAGCAGGGAGCCGCTCATCAAGGGCCATTTGACCGTCTTCTCCACCATCCCAATGATCTTGGTGAGGCTGTGGGTACACGTGAGCAAGGGAATTTCGTATAGACATTGCATGAGAAGACTCACACTGGGTCCCATCCTTGGAACTCAGCCTTCATGTCCTGCAGGGCCGTCTGCACGTCCCATGTGGCCGGGTCGGAGGTATCAGGGTGCGAGAGCACCATGTTGAAGGCTTTGCCCGCCCCAATCGTGTAGGTCATGACATGTCTCGAGTCCCCAATCCTGTGGTCTAGCGTGAGCAAAGGGACCATCCGGAGGAGATGCAAGTGAAGACACCCTACCAAATATTAAGTGCAGGTCGTTCCAGGATCCAGGACACTTCGGGGTCATTTCGCATCCGGTTCACGTCAACGACCGCACGATATGCAGCGAAGCCGGGCTTTAGGAAAGGCATCTCCTCGCCATTGAGGACCACCTTCCGAGCCACAGACTTGATGCCTGTCATCCTCTCAGCTCACGGTGTCATAGAAAAAGGTAGCAAGGGAGACGTACCGTCCGCCGCGACGACCAGGTCTCCCGTGTGACTTGTGCCGTCTTCCAGGGTGATGCTACCCAGCACCGGATCGTAATTGGCGACTCTTGCCCCCAGCTTGATTTCGATACCCATGTCCTGGGCTTTCCGACACAACGCCGAGTGAAAGTCCGCCCTATGGATCACGTAATAAGGCGCGTCAAAGTTATCGATGAAGTCCGGAAGCAACCTGGTCTTTCCAATCACCTTCCCATTCTGCCATCGACGGAAGGAGATAGACTCTGGCGAGGTGACGTAAGGCTTCAGATAGGGCTCTAGGCCGAGCTCGAACAAGATGCGCGTTGAATTGGACGGGATTTGAATCCCCGCACCCACTTCCCCCAGCACGGCCGTCTGCTCGTAGATGGTGACCTTGTGGCCGGCTTGCGTGAGAGCAATGGCCGTGGCCAGCCCTCCGAGACCCGCTCCGACAAGAAGGATGTTCAATTTCACCGGCGCGCCCGTGAGCTTGGAGGAACTGGGAAGGACACCGTCCAGCGTCTTCGCAAACTGGAGGCAGTTACTGGGGTATGTTGGCATCTGTTTTCAATTTCAGTTGTCAGAAAGAATGTTCATGCCATGTCGTTGATTGCCAACGCACTGACCGTGAGTGATTGGTGATTGGGAGCCGCACCCGGCCATTCTCTGGAAACCATGGTAGAAATCTGTATTTGACAGGAGACGTTCCTGTATCGTATAATTTGATGATGTGGCTTGTGCTCGATATGAACTATAGGTAGCATCTTATAACTATAAGGTACTGGTTGAGGGGTGGGTTCGGGCTGGAGGTCGACCCGACCTCTCCCCGCCATTTGCCCCTACCCGTTCTATGCCCGACAGGCACTTTCATCCGCCCTCCTCAGAAGGGATAAGTTCTGAAGCAAACGCCAGTAATCGACTTCGGAGGAGCTGTACTTGGAAGTTGCCGGATTCTATAATTCTGCGAAATACTAACTATACCAATACACCGTTCGTCACCTCGCGATGGCTCCTTCCATGATCGACACGCCTCCTCAGAGCGCGGACAGCGCGGCGCAACTGCTGCAGGATCTCGAGGACAGCAAGACCCTGCCCCTCTGGACCCAGATGACGAGGCTCAACCCCCCGGAGCCGAACCCCACCGCCGTCCCCTTTGTGTGGAAGTATGACAGCATCCGCCCCAACCTGCTGCGTGCTGGTCAACTGGTCACCGAAAAGCAGGCAGAGCGGAGAGTCCTGATGCTGGTGAACCCTGCTCGAGGTATGCCCCTCTAGGATTGGTTGGCCGCTGGTCTCTCTAGGATCTGTTAGTGACAACCGCCAACCGAGTAGATGCCCCGTACACCACCGATACGCTCTACGCCGGCCTGCAACTAGTCATGCCGAATGAGACCGCCCCAGCGCACCGACACACCGCGTTTGCGATGCGCTATATCATCGAGGGCAACGGGGGCTTTACGGCGGTGCATGGCAGACGCATCCGCATGCAGAAAGGAGATGTGATACTGACGCCTACTTGGAACTACCATGACCATGGCAAGGATGGCAGCGGCCCGATGATCTGGCTGGACGGCCTCGATCTGCCCAACTTTCGCCACTTCCCCGTGCATTTTGTCGAGCACTTCAGCGAGCCTCGCTACCCGGCCGAGGATGTCGACACGTCTGCCTCTCCAATTGTCTTTCCCTGGGACCAGATGAAGGCTCGGTTGGATGCGACGGAGGGCAATTGGGCCACACAGCGGTATCTGAAAGCCGATGGTCGAGAAGGTAAGCGCTCCCGACGCCGTGACCCTCTTCCGCACGGTTAGGACTAACGGAGGGGGAACGACCAGTGAGTCGTGTTCTGGGCGGCTGCGCAGAAAGGCTGACTGCGAGCACGTCGTCCCCGCGCCGGCAAGACACCCTGTCCGCTGTTTATCATGTCATCAGCGGCAAGGGTCGCTCGGAGGTGGGAGGCCAAACGCTGGAATGGAAGGCGGGAGACACCTTCTGTGTACCCTCCTGGCATGCCTACCGGCATTTTGCGGATGCGGGCGAGACGGTCTATCTCTACCGCTTCGACGATAAGCCGATGATCACGGCGCTGGGCTTCTATCGGTCAGTGGATGATGATATCGAGAAACTCATCTCTGACTGAAGAGGGGTCGCTCTGATGTAGTTCATTACCTTTAGTGGCGCAATGTGCAATTTCTGACCTGGGAATAGTTAACTAATGAAGATATTATGTCACAGTAGTCTGGTGGCAGGTTGGACACTTGCACTGCAGCTGACGGAGTAATGGATATATCCCCAACTAGGTACATCCCTAATCAGGCAACCCGTAGTATTCTAATTACCACCTGCATTTCTAGGATTCTACCCGTACCACTTGATATCTATATATTTTGTTTAATAATATAATAATTGATATTATTTTTCAGGAACCTGATATTTAGTATATATATATGTGTGTACAGAATACAGATAGGACTATTCTCCACCATATACAGAGAAAATACACCCATCTAAGCCTAGATAAGTAAGAAAAGCTACCATGTTGAAGAGACCGAAGCCGCCTCAGTTACATGCACGCAATGGGTTGTCCCATATCCATGCGGATTGGGTATGGTTAATCCATTTAATTCAGGTTGGATTAGGGTTTACCTAAATCCAATCGGAAGTCAGTCTAGTTCTGGGCTTACTCAGCGGAAGTGCAGTTTCCGGACTTTCCCCGATTGCCGGCTTACCCTTCCTTGCCTTCTTCCCAAATCCCCCCATCCCAGTCCCCGTCGCGAGTCCCAGTTCCATTCCTTCCCCTTGCACCGGCCCGGTAGAGACAACTGCAGCAGAAGCTGAGCACGAGCTGAGCCAGAAGCAAGCATCGAAGCTACCAGCCTCCCATCATGGAGCCGCCATCCGATCAACTATCTCTCCAGGGGCCACCGGGCAAACGTCGCCGCGTGGCCCTGGCTTGCGATGTATGTCGCACGCGAAAGTCCAGGGTATGTATGGCATCTGTGGCCCGCCGTGCAGCAAAGACAAGCCGCCACACTAATCGCTGCTGTCTCTAGTGTGATGGCGTTCGGCCCCAGTGTGGCATGTGCAAAGACCTGGGGTTCGAATGTGTCTATACCCCGCCAGTCACCGCCACAAATGTGATCGTGCAGAAAGAGTGAGCCCCGGAACATCTCATTCTTGTTGCTGCCGTGTATGTGTGCTAATCGGCCCTAAGCTACCTCAAAGATCTGGAGTCCCGGGTGAAGTCGCTCGAGAAAAACCTCACTACCATGCGATCGGACCTGTCGGGACTGGCGGCGCAAATGACCAACAGAAGCCCGCCGAGCGAAGGCCAACTGGGACCCTGCCATGAGCCCCTGGCCGACCTGGCGGGGCCCGAGGACCCCATTGACGCCATGGGCGCGGTAACCTTCGCGGATGAGGAGGACTGCGGGTATTTCGGTGAAGGCGCTTCGTCTCCCATTCGTCCAACGCTTAAGCTAACTCGCAACTGCTGTAGGCCCATCCTCGAACATCGCCTTTTTGCGGCACCTGTCTCGTGCAGTGTCGCACCGGGAAAGCAACCAAAATGAAATCAACACGCCTCGGATCGATCAAATCGCCTATGATGGCGGCTTCGTCAGCGCCACCCGGCCGCCATCGCCGTTGTCGGGCTCCACGCCCACGGCTGGGCTGGCCGGGCTCATGACGAATCCCACCTTGCCGTCGTCCGAGGAGACATTACAGCTGATTCGCCGCTATTTTTACGATACGGGATTGCTCTTCCCGTACATCCACCCCCCGACCTTTCTTGAGACATACGACGAATTCAAGAATAATGCCAAGAAAGTCCGCCGAACCTGGTTAGGCTTGCTGAGCATCATGCTGGCCATGGCCAAGGTGACCGCCGTGTCCGGCCATGCCCCGGCGGAAACGCGGATTAAGGAGTCCACCGTTTACTATCGGCAGGCATTGAACCTGTGCCGGGGCGAAATGCTACGAGGGACGACTCTGGAAGTCGGTGGGTTGATGCACTCTTGTCCCCCGACCTTGACGTAGTAGCAACTGACCTTCCCGTAGTGCAGTATCTCCTGCTCATGGGCCAGTATCTCCAGGGGACGCAGAAATCCGTCCAGGCGTGGACCGTGCACGGACTCGCCGTCAAGGCAGCCCTGCAGCTCGGGCTACATTCGAAAGATGCCTCCCAGGCGTTCTCCCCTCTTGAGCGCGAGATAAGAAAAAGAACATGGTTTGGCTGTGTGGTACTGGATCGGTAGAGGTCCCCTCCGTACTTGTGTGGATCCCGGCTAACAGCTCCCTAGAACCTTAAGCATGACCTTCGGGCGACCGCCAGCGATCCCCGACAGTTATGTTCAGCTGGACCTCCCTGTCGTCGATAGTATTGGCCAGGGCCAACCGTTCGTCGACGACAAGACCATCCATCACAGCATCCAGTTCTTTAATAGCACCATGTCAGTTCACCCCACACTTCCCCAGGTCGACTGCCCGCACCGACTGACCCTGACTAGAACCCTGTACAAGCAAATGGGCAACATCATTGACCAGGTCTACGGCCAGAATTTGGGCTGTGGCCCTGGCCTGTCGGTTGGTGAGACGGTGGGCCGGGTGCTGTCGATCGAGAATCAGCTGTTCTCGTGGGTCATGGCGCTTCCGGAGTGCCTTCGTCAATTAACGCTGCAGGGGCTGCGCGAGGAAATCAAGCAGTCAGAGAACCGGCCGCGGCCGTTCTCCTTGAAGTTTCGGGTTATCCTCACCCTACGATATCTCCACGTCCAGATCCTACTGCATCGGCCCATCCTGGTAAAGTTTCTCGACGCGAGCCTCGCGCCCGGTCTGGAGCCTAGCCAAGAGCGCATTCTGAATGACATCGGCTACAGTAGCATGAACAAGTGCGTCGAATCGGCCATGGGTATTATCGACATCATCCACGAACTGGTTTCTGCGACAGGGTGGCAGCGCGATCTTCTAGGGGCGTGGTGGTACTCCCTGTATTATAGTAAGTTGCCCTTCCTCTTCGCTTCCATTCCAGTTTGCCGGTGGCTCATACTTTCTTGTCTTGGGGGACAGCCTTCAATGCGGCACTGGTCATTATCGGGGCCACCTGGGTGCAGCGCACAAGGCAGTCGGCCCAAGATTCCCCGGTGCACCAGCCCGCCAATATCCAGCTCTATCCTGGTCACGCTGTCGCAACTCTGTGTCGACTGGATACGGGCAATCGGATGGTGGACCGCTGCAGATACTACCTTGAGCAATTGATCTCTGTCCTCCGTTTACAGCGTAAGGGATTCCGTGCAACCCCGGTGGACTTGATGACGCTAATCAGATTTCACAGCGGAGGACCCAGTTGGTACTACCATGAGGAGCCTCACCCCGGGCTTTAACTTTTCGTCCTTTGGCATCGAATGTGGAGAATTTATGTTGGATGACTTGTTTACTATTTCATGATCGACCACATATTCGACCCTCGATCATGGACGGTCAGGAAGGCTCTGGAACAGCACCACTGTTCTTTCGTTGAAAGCAAAATGTCACAATCTTCGTGTTCAGTATTCAAGTCTCCAAGTACAAATTTCTATTCCTTCAACTGAACGGCACTGAGGACCGCTGATTCTATTACCATTACTCCGTTTCCGTCCCCGTTGAACCACTGTCTTTTGTCAGTTTGCTGGAAGCAGGAGGAGGGAGGTTCCTTACAGGAACATTTTCAACGATGGGAGGCAGTTGAGGATCGGGCATTACCCGATAGAAGACTCATCGATCTCTTTGGGGATCTCACCATACCCTTCCAATTGGGATATATCTCCTCCCACGGACAGGGCTTCGTGAAACCCGAAAATTGAGCGCGTTCGGGAAAGCACGCTCTGCTCTCGGGCATCTTGGATGCGAATTATTGTGGAATGATCTGTAAAAGGAGAATCCCTATGTAAGGGAACGCTTATAGCATTTGCCAGGTAACAGTGATACGACTCTGTAATCTGCCTTTCCCACAACCGTGGCACATCGCCACGTAGGTTCCCCCACACCTTCCCGTCATTTGCGGGGAAGGTTTCTGCCGGGGAGCAACCGGGTCTTCCATGCCTTGCTTATCTCGGCTGGACTGATGCAAATCTTCCCGCCGAGTTCCGTAGCGAGACAACTAAGGCAATCGTTCCGCTCTTTCCCCGACGGCTCCCCGCCCCACCCGATGAGCTATTAACATGGGAGCAGGTAGTTATACACTTCGTCCTCTGGCTGCCGGTGACAATCCATTTTCCACATCTGCCATCTGATATGTCTCTTCCTTGGAAACGTTTGATCCGCTTTCGCGCCCTCGATGGCCGCATCCTGCGTGGCGAGCCCATTTTGCCCGCGGACAGCACGATCGATCTCGGGCTGGTCACCGAAGCCGACCAGCTGCAAGCCCGCGTCATCCAAGGCCAGGACATCTACGATACGACGGGCGAGACCAAGGTGACGGATGAGATTGTGACTGTGAAACAGATTCTCTCCCCGCTCGCCCCCAGCGACGTACCCATTCTACGCTGCGTGGGCCTCAACTACGCCAAGCACAGTACGTCGTGAGCCCAGCTCCTTCCCCGCGCCGTCGCGATCTAATTCTCTAATCTATAATCCCTCCCGTAGTCAAGGAAGCCGGACGCAAGCCACCACCCTTCCCCTTCATCTTCTTCAAGCCCAACACCTGCGTGCATGACCACGGCGAGCCCGTCGTAATCCCGCGGATCGCACAGGACGACCAAGCGGACTACGAGGGCGAATTGGTTTGTCTCGCCGCATCCCCTCCCTTCATCAGCAATCTCCTAACCGGGCTGCAGTGTCTCGTCATCGGCAAGGATGCCAAGGATGTCCCCGTTGAGCGTGCCCTCGAGTACGTTGCGGCATACACGGCCGGCAATGACGTTTCCTCCCGGAAGCTGCAGCGTGATCCCGCCTACGCCGGTAGCGTCCCCCAATGGGGCTTCTCGAAAGGCTTCGACACCTTTGCGCCCCTGGGCCCCGTGCTGGTCGCGGCATCGGAGATCTCTGATCCGTCGCAGTTGCACCTCAAGACCATCATCGATGGCGAGGTGCGGCAGGATGAGACGGTGGGCGATCTGCTGTTCGACTGCCGCTACTTGATCTCCTATCTGTCTCAGGGCACGACACTGCAGAAGGGCAGTGTGATCATGACGGGAACCCCCGGAGGTAAGTGGCAGTGACCGGACACTTTTGGTCAGTTGTTGCGTATTGAGGAAGCTGACTGCGAGTAGGTGTGGGTGCGGGTTTCAACCCCCCAAAGTGGCTGGTTCCAGGGACTCAAATGGATGTGCACATCTCGCAGATTGGGACCTTGCGGAATAACGTTGTTTATGCGTAGAAGCAAAGGAGGGGGATGCTATGTACTTTCATGGATAGAGCAGAGCAGGAGCAAGATAACTGTGGTATGATAGACAGAATACCCACTTGTGATCTCGCATTGAGATAAATGTCTGGATGATCAACTGATCTAATTCTACCAGATTGTGTCTATCAGTCTAAATTTGGATGCTTCATTGGTAGTTCTTAGCTAGTTTGCGTGCAAACAGAAACACTTTCACAAAGCCTCTCAGCACCCCGTAGACATCAATTTCAACATACCCCTGCTGGATGGATTCCCATAGCCTTCATTGGTGATGCCGATCAGGGTGCCGTCCCAGGTTTGAATGATGCATCACGCGTAGACATTGACAAGCTTGTCCGACCAAATAGCGTCCTGATATTGTGGATGCGACGTCTGGACTCAATTGAGGATGGAGAGGGATTGAGCCCCTCTCCTAGGGCAATGCCTTTCTATACCCGCGACTCGGGGATAGGTAGGGACAATGGCGCGTCTCCCTACCACTCTCCCACAGGGGATTCAGGCATACCGGTCTGATGCTGGCACTGGGTGGCGTGGCAATGGGCGTGGATCTGGTCTCCGATGGTCCTTGATCTGTCTACGTGCGGCTAGCGGGAACGGTATCTGCATCTTGGTTGAATCTGGGGAAAGCTCCCTCCGCGACACTTCCCCACACTTTTCGAAACTCGCAGCTCGTTTCTCCGTGCCCTAGCGCGAGCGCCAGAGATTAATTGCGGACGGAGATCCTCCCCCTAAACGGGTTGTGACTCCTCTTCCATCTCTTTTCTCTCTCTCAACCGTCTGAACTGTTTATCTACTACACAAATTGCATTCCCCATTCCTTCCTGGGGCCAGTACGACACCTCCACGCTCCTTTTCTCACGCTATCATGCAGCGTCAGGGGCTTCCTCTCCTCCCCACTCCGACCCAGGATGAGCGTGATCCGCTGCGCTGGCCCGTCTGGCTGAAGCGCTGTGCTATCATCACGACCTCGATGACGAACTTTGTGACCAATATGGCCGGATCGGGCCTGTCGGTGGCCGTCCCCGAGTTGATGCAGGAGTATCACAAGCCCGAGTCTGGTGCAGTGCAGCTGCTTACTGTAGGTCACCACTTTCGGAGCGACCACAGCCCGTTGCTAATGGTCGGGCGTATTAATAGTATAACTTCCTGTTTCTGAGTATCGGCAACATCTTCTGGGTGCCCATCGCCCACAAATTCGGCAAACGCGCCTCGCTGCTCCTTTCCATGGCGCTCCAAGCCGGCGCCCTGGTGTGGTGCGTGAAAGCCACCAGCTTTTCCAGTCTGCTGGCGGCGCGATGCGTGCAGGGATTTGCTGGCGCTGCAGGCGAGAGTATCGTGCCTGAGATAGCCGCGGATATCTTCTTTCTGCATCAGCGGGCTGCGATGATGTCCATGTAAGCAAGCCCCTCCGATCCTCGGCGGAGCCAAGGAGACAGACAGCTTGATGATGGTCCACTCTTAGCTATGTAATTCTGATATCAAGCGGCTCAGCCATCGGGCCACTGATCAACAGTCTTATGGTGCAGTATCTGCCGAGCTCCTGGCGGGCCTTCCTGTGGCTCTGCTTTGCGCTGGCGGTGGCCAACATCGCGCTGATGCTGTTCCTGTGTCCTGAGTCCAACTTTCAGCGTCCAGAGTGGGATGTGACTGCCATCGGACCCGAGGCGACGGAGACAAAGGCAGCCCAGGAGATGTTCTTGGAAGACGCGCCCCAGGAAGAGGTGTATACCGTGCACAGGCCCTCCCTCGCTGACATCATCATGCCGGTCCGCCTCGATCGCGAGCTCAAGTTCTTCCGGGCGATGGCAGCGCCCCTGCGCCTGCTGACCCGGCCTGCCGTGATCTGGGTGATCCTTCTCTACGGATGCGCCCTCAGCCCGCAGATCATCCTCATGTACGTTGTTCTCCCTTCCGCTTCCTCCCCGGCCCGTTCGATACTGACTGTCTGGTAGCTTCACCATGTCCTCCCTCCTGGAAGGGCCCCCGTATCTGTTTTCCTCCGTCTCCGTCGGCCTGATGCAGATTGCCGCGCTTACTGGCTTCATCCTGGCCTGTTTCGGTGGCGGCTGGCTCTCTGACATTATCAACAGTCGGATTGCGCGCCGACGGGCCGACGGGCAGGTCCGCGCCGAGGACCGGCTGCTCTCCCTGATTCCGGGCATGGCCATCGGTCCCGCAGGCTGCATTCTGCTGGCCTTTGCCTGCCAGAACCATCTACACTGGGCAGCCATCGCAGTGGGGTTCGGCATGGTCTCGTTCGGGTCGGTGTACACGCCTAACATCGCCATCACCTACTTGGCGCACCGGCACCAACGGGATGCGGCGCAGTGCCTGGTGCTGGTCAACGTGGCGAAAAATCTGGTGGCGTTCCTGTTTCTGTACGAGGCAGTGGACTGGGTGCAGAGCCAGGGCTATCTGCAGGCGTATCTGGTGATGTTTGCCCTGGGGGTGGTCACCATCGGGGCGGCGCTGCCGCTGTATCTCTTCCAGGGCAAGCGGCACGTCGAGTGATCGACGGGTACACTGACTGGTGGCTGAACTAGGCCTTAGCTGCAGTGGATCGGGTATATCGAGACTAGACGGGAAATGACCGGGTCATATCCATCGTCGATCCATTTACTACTTTACGGAAGTGTGGCAATAGCCGTAACTTGATTTAGAGTTCCTTGATCATTCTGAACCCCAAAGCCTAGCAGCATTGGGACTGCGAGAAGAGGAAGAGAATAGTTTAATAATAGATTGAAAGAATGGAATATTGCCCACAGCTTACCTAGTACTCTTTTAGATAATATAATAGTTATAAGAGCTTCTTATTTTTATAGATTTATAGACCTTTTCTCTTCTTCACCTTCTCTTATTAGTAGTATTAGATCTTCTACTATGTAAGTAATCTTACTTATTCTTCCTTATTATATTACTTTATTCTCTTTTATTTTACTATATTTTCTACAAGTCAAATAATCCCTAGAAACTTAGCATTAAAGCCGTTAGGCTAGTTATATTCGGTTAGTTAACTACTGAAAACCATATATATAGAACAGTCCTCCACCCAAGTATTATCCACGCGGCCAGAAGTTATATGCGCCTTGGGGACTTGCTGCTTGATAGGTGAGGACCAGTAGACCACAGGGTAGTGCGGGTGAGTAAAGGTGAGCTGAGCGATGTTATCCAGTTGGTTCTCAGATGCAGATGCCAGCATTGCAGTGACCTGTCTGACATACCTATCATTCAATGTTTTTCAAACAGGCTTCTGTCTCAAGAAGTTGTTTCACGACGTGGACCCAAACTCCAGAGATATCGATGATCAGACTCCACTTTCTTGGGCAGCCTATCGAGGTCACACAGCGACGTCGCTCACCGTCTGGTAAAGAGAGGCGCTGACCCTGACTCCAAGGACGGCTATGACAAGGCACCACTCTCCTGGGCAGCTGCTGAAGGCTGGCTGGAGAACATTCAGTTCCTAGTGGAAGAACCTGTTAAAATCGATTCAAGGGATGAGCTTGGACGGACACCAATCTCCTGGGCTGCGGAGAACGGGCACGCTGCTGTGGTCAAGCTCTTACTGGAGAAAGGCGCTCAGCCACCCTGGGAACATGCAGAAGGGAACACTTTCCTATTATACTATGGTCAAAATGAGCCTAAATGTGGCTTTGAGCTCAGGTACCCACTTTGCCTCAAGCAACTTTGGACCTTACATAGCAGAGTATCTTTCTGGAGATATTTGAAAAGCCAACACTACCCTCAGTGCACTTATCTTTGCCCCGAATCATCTTGCCAGCGACATTTCAACAGACTTGATTCGGCCGCAGAGCACTGTTAAAGAATGGATGGGATAGGATCAGGTCTCCAAGACGTGCGCAGATGCAGAAATGAAGAACCTTTTCCTTCAAATTATCCACTCTGCCAGAGGCGTATTGGTTCATGGAGTGAATTCTTCAAATACATATTCAAACACACACTGGATCCTTTGTCTTCCAACAAGGTCCCGCAAATCCTGAGACCAAAAAGGCCTGGTCATGCCCATGAGACGAGCCCGTGGATAGAGTCTTTCGTCCCTTTTGGATGTTTTTGGGTGGAGTAGCCCGGAAAGACAGTCTGGACTCCCGGGACAATCTCATATATACGCCCACTGTGCTGGTTCTTCTTGAACAAGACTCCAAAAGAAGGGCATTAATTTGCCAGGCATAACCAAGGTCTTCATCATTCTTCATCATTCTTCATCATTCTTCATCATTCTTCATCATTCTTCATCATTCTTCATCATTCTTCATCATTCTTCATCATTCTTCNATCATTCTTCATCATTCTTCATCATTCTTCATCATTCTTCATCATTCTTCATCATTCTTCATCATTCTTCATCATTCTTCATCATTCTTCATCATCATTCTTCAGTCGCACTTCGGATGGTTTAACTTAAATTTCCAGTGTCTTGTTTTCATCATTAACTTAGTAATTGATTTTCAAAATATATAGCATAGACTGTACTAATGTGTTTCAGCTGACACTAGCGACAAACTTACTGTCAATAAGTACGCTTTTTATTGTGCGCGAGATGTGCTTGTTCCATGTCTAATACTGTAGACTCTTTCTCTATTCCAAGTGTTCCCCTGCAATGAATTGCTTATAGCCAGACTTCATTATCGGGGTCATCCAGTCAAATGTCAGGGTAGAGAATATGCTGGCACGCTCGCTCAGACATTCATTTGTCATGTCATGGGCCACCAACGCATCATAAACTCTTCTTTTCGGCAGCAGCCATACCATCCCGAACTCGGCACATATCAACCCGAAGCCGAGGCAGACTGTAATAAAATATGGCATATTCTCCTCAAAGGCGCGCCGTGATATCAAGGATCGTAGTTTCATCGCAAAAGCCAGGAGGATAAAGAGCCAATATAACACCACAACAGGGCCTGTGCTGGGAAGAGAGGGCAGAAGCGCATAATTTGTCATTCTACATAAGGGGATATATTGTAATAGGTGTGCGAATAGCTTGACCGCAGGACGAGATGCATAGTCGAAACAAAGGTGGTGCCTGGAGCGGTGATGGTCCGAAATTACCCAGCAAGGTTCGGCATAACCTTTCCAGGGTTTGGATTTTAAGTTTTAGACTAAATCCAGGTGATCAATCACGAGATTATCAATCATATCAATCAGATAATCTTAGCCCACGTTGCACCTCAATCTCATTTCTGTCTGGAGCGGCTTTGCCGACGAGAGCACGAAAACCACACATAGCATTCGCGACATTAAGTTGACACTCGCTTCCCCAGGGTGCGGGGCCCAATACTTGTCGCGAGATTGATGAGCTGTATTTCTGTGACGCAGCTATCCGACCCTGTGCCCCTTGGCCTCCTTCGGTGATTTTTGACGTAACGTTGACCCTGGTTTGCTGATGTCGGTGAGCGCTTCCGTCTGCGAGTCAACTATTCCTTGTTTCTTCTATCGCAACCAGGCAGGAGGCGACACTCGGTATCGGCAAAAGTCGGGTGCAGAAACTAGGAGACGGTCCGTTAAATCTCCAGGACCCGCCTTCCTGGCTGTTTGCCTTCCCGAGAGAAACCGGCGATAGTTGATCTCTCATCGCCATTTTTTGGGGTTTTCTTTGCAGATCTCTCCTGGGTCACGTCGATCTACATAGACGCTCAACTGCTATATTTATGTATATATTGATACACGGAACTACTCGAGCCAGCCATTCAGGTGACTGTTTTATCCCACAACACACCAGAAATATCTAAGTCTAGTATTGTTTGCGACCGGTGATTACCATTGGAATTCCTAATATTTTGGTTAATATCGAGCGGAAGCTGCAATATGCAAGCGGGGCAGGTTGCCTACCTCGGTGTATAAAGCGATCGAAGGACCGTTATCGTATGTGCTTTGATAGATGGCATCGCGTATAGCCTCAATCATCTGAATTGGTCCACAGGCACCGACTCCAATCCTTGACTCCAAGCTGCATTGTGATATGCAGCCAGCAAGCAGATTCGCAGTATCCGGCCGCCCTTTCCGTCGGTCAGAAAGGGGGATCGATCGGCCATTTGCTTCCTCCTTCCCTTTCTCCACGTCTCCGGCCACCAGCGCTGAATTCAGGCGCGAGCAATCTTCAGATGTGACATCATCACGAGAAACATGGATGAACAGGTTCACGCAAGGGCTTTCTTGGAGTTGTTGGAGCTCCCTTTCAAACCAGTTTAATGACTCTGTACGCCTGTCAGTTTTCTTTCGGGGGCAATCGTACCGCTGCCAGGATCACCATACCAGAGTGTTTGACGGTCCAGATAAAATCAATGATCTTGGTGGCATTCCCGGCTGCACCCTCCTTGAGGATGCTGAGAGCAATTGCAAAGGTGAAACTGGCACCACTACCACCTGCGACAAGAATTACGCGGTCGAAAGTCATGAAGTCCGGGATCCGTCCATATCCCCCATCCACCGAGCATCGTAAGCGCTTCCCGGGCTGCTGCTGGGCCAGCTCAAACAAGTCATGGGTATAGCCGTCGTATTTGCGGATGAGAAATTCGACTGGGTCGGCGGACACAAGTGTAAACGGGTGCGATTCAAGGAAGCGAATGGAAGGCATCCACAAAAAGGCGTGGGATCCAGGTGCACACCGCAGGGGACGGTGCAGCTTCACCCGGACCGCTCCGTCTTCCATTGGAGTGAGTGTTGCATAGTTGCCAAAGAAATTCCAACAAAGCTTGACAAAACGGAGGAGTCGATCTGAACCCCATAGGCACGCTGTGACGATGATGATGACCACCGTCGAGTCGGCAAAACGCGGTCGGTGCATTCCGACCAGGATCAGAATCAACACGAACATCACCACATGAATGATGTAAAATACTGGAACATGTTGGTCAGTGACTTTGCTTTAAGAAGTTAAGTTAATGACTAGTCTTCGCACGCACCCTCGTAATATCTGCGAGCAAAGCAGCCGATTGTAGAAAGACCAATGAAAACCATTGCCAATCCCGCAATTCCTCCGGCAAGATTCGGTATCTCGCGCATATGTCTCAGCTCATTCGCCCGAGCAAAGGCATTTAAATATACAATGGCATGGAGGATACTAGTAGTGATGCAAGTGTAGCCGGCAGTTTTATGGAGCGGGCGAAGCTTGTCGTAGGACCGTCCTGACAACGGGGCAAGTGGTGTGTTTCTCAGAGCGAGGAATACTAACAGGACAAAATTGGCTACTGAAATCCTATGAAAAATTAGTTCAAGAAATTCTATATATACTGCGTGATGATACACATACCAGCCGAGGCGCTTGGCAACCTAGAGCGTAGTCAGAAATCATGTACTGTAGCATCATTCGGAGGAGGGGTGGGGAAGGGGACGAACATATGATAGTTGATGTAAATCAACATTGGTCAGAGTAAGAATCAAATTGATGGACCAGTAGACAGAGTACAGAAGCCATCTTTTAATAGGTACACCAAAAACTTCATTGTTCAGAGACCGTCTAAGAATGCTGTTGCGAGTCAGTGTGTCGTCTCAAAACGCAAGGCTCTCGAGGGCTTTTCACCTACCGGCAATACCGGACCGGCCTTCTCAAGAATGGCATTGAGGTTCTGGGGCCGTATTTTAAGTACACAAACTTGCCCCAGTGTGAGACAATGAACAGCGCCATGATTGCTCCAATGGCAATCGCGAAGTACTTGTTACTCCAGACATTGTTCGCGTGACGGAGACTTTTCGAACTCATTGTAAATCCAGTGGAGCTAACGCTCTTCGAATAGTGATTGCAAAGGGAAAAACCAAGCGTGTGAAATGCGAGCTGTAGAATCGTTTCTCAACCACAGGAACGATCATGGTTATCAATCAGTTCTCAGCTGTCACGTGTCGCAAGTCCGGCCACCCCACTGGCATCATTTCGAAATGCCGTATTTGGTAAGAGAACCCCATAATGAAAAGAAAATCCCGCAATTTGTCCTGCTGGAGAATGGACCGACGAATAACTGAAAATGAAAAACATGAATGTTGAGGGATCGCGGTGGTGGTAAATACCGGCCGGATCAGATAACGACGTTAGGTTTGGCACTAGCTAACCTAGTATCGCGTAGCACGGAAAATTTCGATCTTGGCGAGCTTGTCCCCGCCCAGACCTGCTCTTTTGGAAATATCATCCGGGCCTAAAACCAGGGCAGTGGGCGTTTGGTTGAGATTGCCCCACCATTTGCGTCGTCAGGACCCTGGCAGATTGTCAAAAAGTCGAACCAAATGAGGGGGTCTCTGCTGTAACCATGGACGGCGAGGAAAATTTTATCTCTGCTGCGCATTTATGATTGCTTTGCTCAATATCGGAGCCTACAATCTCTCAGGTATTATTCGGCTTGTAGAAAGAGCGGGCAGCCCTTCAGTGGAAGACAACCAGTGGTTGGGCAAGAATTTTCACGCCAAGTGCGACACCAGGATCTAGTCGCGGATTGAACTTGACTGCTACTCTCCTGTGTCTAAGGTGAGATAAACGCTGATCATTGAAGATAGTGGGAGAAGCAAAAATGGGGAGAAAAAGTTTATGGGTAATTCCGGAGCACTGCAGGGCGGTTGGTGTATCTTCATCAGATACCAATCAGCGTCATCGGCTCCCGTCACAGCCACCACAGTCTTGGGCTTGGTGGATGTTAGTTGTTAAATATCTCGGGACCAGAGTGCCGTAAATTCAGTGAGCAACAATTGATTTACATTCTGTCGAGCTAATAGTTTCTGCTACGAGCATTCTGGGCAGGTGACACATTAAACAGCTCAGGCAATTGGATCTTAGCTCTTAAGTTTGAGTAGAAAACTTGGTAAATAGGAAGTCTTTTGGCAATATTACTGTTAGGTGCATTGATTACTGGTGCCAGAAAGAGATGTTTGTCAAAGTTTATATATAGTACATTCGGTGCGTTAATTCTTGAAGATGTCGTTCCTGATCGAGAGCACAGCTGTCGGTCAACTGTCAACTCTCAGCTTTAGTAAAATCCTCCAGGCTCTTCTGAGCTCAGTAAGGGCTCAATTCACAACCCCAGGGGTGGAAAGCTGACATCTTACGCAGCTCGTCGTGTATGCCGCTCTGAACAGGCTTTATAATATCTACCTACATCCTCTCTCTCGTTCCCGGACCCCAAACTCTGGCAAACCAGCTACTCTCTGGGCCTGCTCATTGTTGGATCCCTGAACAAAAGATATTAGGAATAAGTTCAGACTGTAGGAAAGATTGCAAACCCAGTATGCGCCATCATGGAAAACATGGTAGCGTCGCCTATATTCGAAACAATGAAAGTCAACTGTCTTAGCCAGGAGACTGGCTGGATCAAAGTAGGAAAAGAATATTTCTCCCGAACCGCTGAATGTAAATCCGCCCCGTCCCACCTCCCATTCATTTCGGCCGAAGACTGCCAGTGGCTTGTGCAATGGTAATTATTCTGACAAATATATCCTCTGGAACAACTTTTACGCACCAGTTCGTGCTGGAATTCGATAAGGCCGATCGGCATTATTGTTCTTCGCAGGGTCCTGCGCGTCAAAAGGTTATAGCAGGCTTGAAGCCCGCTCTTGGAAAATTTACAGGTTATAGATATTGTTGTAGGCGAGCTGTAGGGATGCAGAGGTGGGATAGTGAGAGCATGACAGGATGAGTGGGAACATAGGCCGCAACGGCTCTAACCATCTGCTATCTTCCAAGGCTGATAACCTATTTTAAGCTTGCGTACTCAGCATATGAGTCTTGAAACACTATATCAAATATCCCACCTAGGCTTAGACATTAGATACAATCTTGTCTGCAGCAATCCCAGAAACACCGCCAAGCACTTTACCCCTAATAGTCTCCTTGAGACGTTCTTTGCTTAACGCTTCAACCCCCAACCACTCATTGTCCGTCTCCTGAAATCCCGTCTGATAATTAGAATCCCACACTACTCCCGCCATCAGCGTCGACACTGCCGTCATAGTATACTCGCCCCTCTTCAGCATATCCAAGCCTTCTTCAAATTTGACGCGGGCGTCCTTCTCGCTCACTACCCAGGACCCTGGGTCCGAGGAATATTTCTTCGCAATCTCCAGCACCTCGTTCTGCGTAACCAGCATACCATGGACCTGCACGCAGTGCCCAACAACACGCCCCGGCTGTTTTAGCACACCAGAAATGGCCCTCGCCACGGTCCCAAAGTCCGAGATACTGAAAGGGACATTACCCCCATTCACGATATCAATCCGGCGGTGCGCCACGTCGATCATAAATGGCAGGTCGAACACGTATTCCAAGAACCCGCCGCAGGCGACAATCGTCCATGAGATCTGGTCGGATCTCGCTCGGAGGTACTTCTCGATTTCCAAAACATCGGTATACGGTGGCAGCAGTCGCACTCCCGGATTCCTCAGGCTCATGGCGTAGTCCGCTGGGATGAAGTGTTTTACGCCGCTGGCGATTGCCGCGTCGATGAGGGGCTTCTGAGTAGCGACTGCGACACCGGCCACTGTCGAAACTACGGCCTCGTGGCCCATGAGTGCGGCTTGTAGGGAGCCTTGCGATGTATAGTCTACCTCAAGGACTTGGACACCGTCTGGAATATTCCTGAGCGACGGTGCGGAACGCGTTATGACTGTCACATCGAAGCCGGTTTTGAGGAGTTCATCGAGGACAACAGAGCCGAGTCGGCCTTTCTATGTAAGCGGGGCATTTACCTTGTCAGCCTAGCCAAGCCGAAGCAGCGCAGGTGATACTAGTATGCACTTACACCGGCCAGTGCCACCTTGGAGATGGCCATATTCAGTATTGTGGTTTCTAGCGTAGCCTGGGACTTGTTGCAATATAGGAAGACCTGCAGTTATGAACTTCAGTTAAGTGAGTGACTTATTAACTTTGTGGGAGTACAAAGGAAGCTGAAGCCCCTCACTAGTAGAACATCACTTATTCCTGTCTGCCCTAGCTCTTACAGTGCGCAAGAAATATTCTCCTTAGTGGTTGCGGATAAGTTAGCGCTTATGTACTCTTGGAGCAGTCAAGTTAGATTGGTTGAATATCATTAACAGTATAAGCACTAGCATGTAGGGAGTACTCGGGGAACAGCCGCGGGAGATTAAGAGACGGCGACGGAGGATGTGGTGGGAGGGTCGAACTCTGATAGGGTTGGTTGCTCGGTCAGCATCCATTGCTGAGCAGCCGTGCGCACATTGTCGTCTGTGTTATGCCCTGGCTCGCTACAGAGGCATAGCTTGGCAAGTTCAGTATAGGTGCTAGTCAAAAGGCCTACCACCCCTGCCCTCCGTCCTAGTTCCTCCGACCATCGAGGTGTTAAGTGCCCAAGTCTTATGCTCGTCCACGACCTAGAATTCCACGCAGATCCCCAGAGAAAGATTCCTCAGTGTGTGCATGGCGACGTCGGTCCTAGCAGTTACCTGCTACGCTGACGACCTAGCTCAGCTGGCTCTGCGCCATTATTGATTTACACTCGACTGTGTCTCATCTTCAAAGCAACTTCGGCCGCCTCAGATGACACTTCTCATCATAATGAGGGCGGAAGTTGCGACAATCTGCTGGATAACCCGTGGCGCTGGTGCGGTGAGGGGATTAGTGGGTGAAGGGTTGCTTGACGTTGAGCCCCATGTGTTAAAATAAAAGTACTTCTCCACTGCTGTGATAGTCCTTTAGCTTGGTTACTCCTGCATGTATTGGACAAGATTACTGAATCAGGTTATGAATGACTTATAATGTCTTAGCACTTCCTAGAACTAGGTACATTACCTGGAGTTAGTTTTCCCCAGCAGTCACCTCAGGAAACTCCATACTGGACATATCCAATAACTCAACTTTCTTCCCCTTCAAAACAAAGTCAAAGAATCTGCTAGTGTAAGTAGCAATAACCTGAAGGGCTCTTACCCCTTCAATACTCCCTAATAATGCGGCCGCCTGTGTCGGAAATTCCTCTCTCAGACCAATTATATCAGCAGCCTGCGCCAAATCTGTGAATGTACCATGTGTACTCCCATTCAGCATAAATCGTCTCCTGATACCCTTCAACTTTGGCCACAGAGCGCCCCAAGTCACATCAGTTGTCAAATTCTTCCCTTCATGAGCCATAATCATGAAGGGCTTATCCAATCCCCGGTTGATAACAGAGCCGAAAAGTGTACCGTCCAGATTGATACCCCCCTTGAGACGGGAATCGAAAAGCATAGCCTCAGCTGCGGTGGCGCCGCCAAGGGAGTGACCGTAGATTCCCACTTTAGAGGTATCTAACCCACATGTTTGGCCGACGATGAGCTTTGAGATGATGGATGGACGGTGGAGCTGGTCCAGGACGAAGGATAAGTCTCTCACGCGGATGTTCAAGTCATCCACAATTTGGGTATCTGTTGTAATGTTTGCGGCGAGGATTGTGGTATTTTCAGGGAATGTTACGATGCCTGCGTCATAGGGATGGTCGACGGTTACGACTATGTAGCCAGTGCTGGACAGTCTGTTAGGGAAGTGGAAGTTAGCGACCCCTACAGACTTAAAGCTCTAGATTAGCAGGGAACAGCAAATGGGAATACACACTGCTGGGCCTTAGCACTGTACAAGAGTCGAGTATTCCCCAGGCCAGGTGAAAAGAGAACGAGCGGGTATTTTGGGCCCTTGACCCGGCGACTCGAAGTTGAACTCGTATATGGCTTGCAGGTTTGAAGGGTAAGTGAGCCGAAGGCGCCTGCTGGGATGCCAGCCTGTGCATACTGTTCATCCTCGAAGGTTGCGGTGATGGGGTCCATGTAGGACATCAGGGAGGGGGTCCATGTAGGACATCAGGGATGGGCAACATTCTGCGGCAGGGACGGGATGAAAGAGAGAGATCATCAGAGTACGCGGCTGCGGCATCGTGGCGTAGGGATCCAAACGATGATGATCAATGAGCTGGGTTGTTGCAATGCTGGTGTTGTAAGGGCCTACTGTGCCGGGGAAGGACACCGCGTTGCTGTTCAGGAGAAGCTGGGTAAAAAGAGCAGCGAGCATAAGATGTTTTGCAGAGAGGTTGAACATCATAGCAAGTAGTTAAGGGACAAAAGGGGAAGAATTGTGTTATAGGAAAGGAAAGATGGGAATTATCTTGCTGCAGAGAAAACAGGAGGAAGCTCTTCATCTTATATAGGATTCTGGAGTTAATCCCGCGGACTCTATGGCGTACATCTGGTCTGATGAGTTGGCTCATCTTGACGTTCATACTACCTAACAAGGCAATGATTCAGCGCGTTTGTGGATTCTTTCTGCGGATGTGTGAAAAGCTCGGCTCTATCTCAGCTTTTGGCTGATGCCTGTGCCAAGAAACTGCGTTCAAATGCTGCCTATTCAGGAAAGGCGGATATAGTTTAGTACGTATATGCCTTGGCATGGGAAGGCTCGAACCTTCCGCTCTGTACAAGTTAGGAGGAGTAACACTTCCTGCACGGAATGCTCATAAAAGTTTCCGACAGTTAGTTTGAGAAATGGCAGTCCTGGGACCACTCGATCGGCGCACCGCCCGTACCAGGTGCGCGGCTTGTACACGACGCAGAATCAAGGTCAGCAATTCCTTCTCATAGATCTGTCAGCGAAAACCGTTCATTCCTTTTCCCCCGGCTCTATTTTAACCCTCTGCAGTGCGAAGGTGGCCCTCCCTGTCAGTATTGTATAAAAAGAAATCAGCAATGCGTCCCTCAAGCAATTCAGCCAAAGACTAGCGTTGTCTTTGTCAATGTCTCTCCGGCATCCAAAAGATCCGACTGTCTCTCGCCCGCCACTTATCTTCCCACACTCAGGCTCTGCCCCAAAGTTTCGGAAGGAAGCACAGCTCTATTTGTAAAGCATTTCTTCTCAGACTTTCTGGCAAGAAATGACTTTGGTGTCCCCCTGGACCTCGGTACTATCATGTCGGAATTCCAGAGGTCTCCCAGCATGTATCACGCATCCACTGCCCTGGGTGCACTTGATCTGAGCAGGAAGGCGCTGCTGACTATACCTCTGGAGAGGAGAGATGCGGCTGTGGGAGCATTAACCGCCTACCACACCTCGATCGGCCAATTGAAGACGGAGATTGTAAGCAACAGCGTGCCACGAGACGTCAGTTTATGGACTACGTTTTTCTTGGGGCTGTTCGAAGTAAGTCAACAGTGCCTTGGGCGGAAAGTATATCGGAAGCTTGAGGTTAACCCTTTCAATTAGCTGATGCATGATATGACTGGAGAAGGCTGGGTGAAGCATTTTCTGTACGGCACGTCCAATATGCTCCAGCTTCGTGGTCCAGAAGCCCATATATCTGGCTCCGGGCGGTCATTTTTCCTCACAGTGCGAGTCTTTGAGATTTGTCGCGCTCTCATTTACACTGAACCTACTTTTCTCTGCCGGCCGGAATGGATGTCACTCACAACTAAGATCTGGAACGAGGATCTCAACAACGACTGGCACCCAAAGGAACCATTGTTTGATCTGATGATCACGTGTTCTTCGATAAGTCACCGGTAAGTACATTCGCAGGCCCTCTACATCTTATTGTATGATTGACCAAGCTCAGGGTATGGGGTATGCTCAAACCGGGCTCCGATTATCCGAGCATGATCCTTCACGAGGCCCTTCTTGAGCTTGCCGCTGAAGGCTTCGTTGTTCGGTCAGCTCTTGGTGATTGGTATGCGGCCTTCCAAAAGTGGTCGGCGGATACTGGTACGCCCGCACATAATCCCCAGTCCGTTCTCGCAACAATATATTTTCACAGCATCTCCATCTACCTGTCTGGAATCTTCGACTACCGCGCTCAATTCGACGAAATACCCGCACCCACAATCTCACGGGCTGTTGTTCAGAAACACGTCGATGCGATTCTGCGGAGATCACTTTGAAGACCACCAATTTGGCGGGTGTGTTGTTTTTCTTCCCATTGAGAGTAGCAGGCGCAAGAGTAACAGCCGCCCCAGAGACAGAGTCAATTCATGCGATGTTTCGAGACATTTCGACCAGGGGTTTCGTCGTTGCAGATGCATTTACGGCGGATCTGAAGTCTCTATGGCGCCGAAAAGGGATATAATACTCATACTGTGATTTTAGCTTGTGCTTCTTGTTTTATCTTCATGATATTCACGCCTTAACAACTTAACATGTTTTAAAGAATCTTCTGGCATTAAGTTGATGGTCTCCCCTAGTGGTAGCAACCACATAGCCATCTCCTGCACGGACACTAAGCCAGATCCTGTTTTAATCCATTTAAAGGTAGCAATAACAACATGGACATTGCTCACGCCTTTATTAGGGTCTTGTAGGATTCGTGGAGGCAAATAATGACAAATGTAAGACGTTTAATTTAGCGTCTTTTTATCTATATCAGAACGGACATCATTAGTTGCATGTCGTGAACTACATCGGATAGCTCCCTGTTTGCTTGGAAGCTGGGGGTGCTTTATATGTCTCGAGAATTACCTTTCGGCTGTAGCCATTCAACTGAGACGCGGGCCATGCAGCCCAGGATCTCTATTCAGTAACAATCGCTACTAATGGAGTGACCAATCAATATTCGGCGTGCGCATCGAGTAGTTTCTTCTGTGCAAAGAGTGTACACTTCGTAACATGAAGCTGACGATGATGGCACTAATTCAATTGAACGACAGCCTCACTTATGTTGGCATCTTGTGCCTCTGAGCTCCTGGCTAGGGTCATTTCGTTCGTTGGCTGATACTGGACGGTTTGATTCAGTACGGGTGACCAGAGTTTCTCGTCGTCCAGTTGGATTACTAGTCGGCGCCTGGATGTCTTCAGAAAGAAAAGCTTTCACTAGCAATCAGTGACGGTATGTTCGATTTGATCATGACGGAAAACCAAGTTGAGAATTGATAAGTGAGAGGCGTATGGCAATGTCAGCGAGTGTCATATCGATATTTTCCGCCGTCATATCCCGGAGCTTAGATATCTGCAAAGGTGCTGGAAGCAGTCAGCCCTTGGTCATGATGTTCAAGAGCTAGAGTGGTGATGTATTTTCCAGGATATACCACCCCTCTAAACAGCACTCATGCAAATCACCGCCTTGTTCAAGCGGCATCACCCCCCATCACCTGTCCCAAAGGTTGGCTTTCCGTTTCGCGAGCATTCAATTGGGGTCCTTGTGGAAATAGTGGCTATAAGCAATACAAGCAAGGGACAGGTAAAAATTTATTTTGGCCGGTTTGTACATTCATAGCTCCACTCTGCACTAGTGCAGCTGTATTAGTGTTGTAACATGCTACCATTCTATAATGCTTATGCATCTATTACAGAGTCTGACTCAGCGTCATGTGACATTCTGGAGTGGTTGACACCATCGACATACGCCTGGAGATTCCAAGACATCAATATGGTTAACATAATTGATACCTTTCTGTTTACTCCATTGAGTATACTGGCTTAATGATATTGTTTTAATTTGGAACCGGAGCAGATCGCATGCAGAGATGACAGCGCCAGATCAGTACCGCGATGACTTCGACATCACCACAAACATCCGCAGCCTCTCCAGCAAACCGCAGATCCAGCCATTCGCCGGCCGCATTGGAGGAAACCAAGGCCTCGTCCTTGATCGTCATGACCCGGGCAACCTAGAAGTTCTAAAGAAGACGCCCGATGCGGCCCCGTTGATGACCTTCCGGGACGCCTACAATTTCCATGGATTTATTGACTTGGATCTCTGGCGATTTGCGTTGATCGAATGCGTCGGTATACTCACATATGGCTTCCTCTTCGTGTAGTGAACTGACGTCGAATAGGCACCATGATGCTCTCGTTTATCACCGCGTGGATGGGTAGCTCGCCGCTGCCGGCTTCATCTACCCCTCCAGACACGGCAGGGGTGTTCGGAACGCCAGAGTTTCTCGGTCCACTATTCGGTGGCATTAGCAATTGGCTTTTCCTCACGCTGTTCATCTTCTCTTTCTCGTCTATCAGCGGGAGCCACCTTAATCCAACAATCACCCTGGCGACATTCTTCGCGCGATTAATCTCGTTTCCACGCGCCGTCCTTTACCTCGGTGGCCAGATCCTTGGCGGAGCATTGGCTGGCTGGATTTTGCAGCCGGCATGGGGCTCAGAGGCGTTCCTGGTTGGGGGATGCTATATCAACACAGAGCTCGTCCCGGTCCGACAGGCTCTCCTGCTGGAATTCATTTGCTGTTTAATTCTGATATTCCTGGCATTTGGCGTAGGGCTGGATCCCCGGCAGGTGCAGGTGTATGGAGCGGCGCTGTCGCCTTGGCTGGTGGGACTAGCACTGGGGCTAGTCAGCTGGGGCTCTGCCTATACACGGAAGGGATATAACGGCGCGAGTATGTTGGTCTTCAGTCTTGATATCCGGTTGCTGATTGAGGGTATACAGGCTTGAACCCGGCTCGGTGCTTCGGGGTATATGTGGCAACCACGTTCCCCGGATATCATTGGATCCACTGGGTGAGTTCCTCTGGCCACAATATTGACAGTCTTCTCATGCAAGTAGGTTGGCCCTTTGGCCGCTTCGGTCGGGCATGGGATAGTATACTTTTTGGTGCCACCATGGAAAGCGCCTGGGTGTTAGACCTCCTGCGCGCCATGAACGCCTGCCAGCAGCAGTGGCTACACATCTCGGTCAAGTCATGTGAAGCGGATCAGTTCTGGAAGAGGGGCAGGGTTATGTTATGTGATGGCGCCACAGGTATTCTATATATCAACAATTTTGAGCAGATACCTCTGGAGTGTTATAGATACACATAATACCATGGTTTTCTCGTACTGTAGCATTGACCCTCATTTTCGACCCCACTTGTATTTCTGTATCGTGGGTCACCAACAGTTGTGGACCGCAGCTAAAAACAACACCACTTTATTTTCTCCCGTGGTCCACCAAGACGCATCACAGCCTTTTGCTTTTTACTCTAGTTCTTGCACACACTGTGGAGGAAGAGCGGGCGTGTACTGTATCTATGCGCTTAGTCTTGTTGCTATGATCTGCTTCTTTAAGCGGAGATACCCTTCCATTCAGTTTCAATCAGTTTTCATATTGCATCAATACAAATTGTCCCACAGGGGGAATTTGGATAGCTCAAATTTGTCAGACTGCTGGCTTCTATTCTTTGCACTACATTATTCATTTCGATGGTCATTCTGGGATATGTGGTTCAAGAAGGAAAGAGTAACTGGTGAGTGGCCCTATGACTAGAGGTGAATAACAAAAAGCTTGCCCATTTACAGGCTTACTGGTGCTCTCTTAGTCAAAATCTTTGTAATAATTGCCCTCGCTTCTTGGTGAATGCATTGATGAACAGTTCATGTAATTAATAGCCAACCCGAAACCAGTAAAACAGATAATACACTATGACAAGGCTCATACACCTGAGCGAAGCATCTCACGTCGAGATTCTTAGAGAGACTTTAGAATTTCGCGCACACCCATGGGCTCAAGCTCTTCCATAGTCTCCTCCCAAAGCCGGTCCATAACCTCTCGTCCCTCTCGCGTGTACTGAAAAGGAGCGTACCTGGTTTGGAAAATTAGTAATAACCTTGGAAAATTGGCAAGATTGTATGAGGCCTACGGTGCTATATTCCAATTCATCAAAATACTTCCGTGGGAATCCTTCCCCTTGATGATCGCAGCGTCAAGATATGTCGACGCAGCGAGCTTGACATCTCTTGCTGACACAGCTTGTAGTAGGTACAGGGCAGCTTTCACAGCGACAGGCGCGTCTCGCTGGAGCTCGGTGCCTTTAGTAAAGCCAGGCTCTACCATGTTGATGATAACGTCATCACTTGAAACCAGGTCTGTCAATTTCCAGAGGAACAGCTGCCCCAGTAGCTTCGTCTTTGGATAATTGTCCATGGAATCAAAGTTTTTCTTGTCATCGAACGAGGGCAAGAGTGGGTTGGCGTTCTTATTGGCGAACTTTGCTGTAATCGAGAGCATACTCGTGACAATTGTCAATCGTCCAGGTTGGCCAGATGCTGACTTTGCTTTCAAAACAGGGAGCAGGAGGATGGCAAGGAGAATCGTTGACAGGTAATTGACCTGCAAGGCCTCTTCATGCCCAGTGCTGGGAACGAGCTTGAATTTCGACCCGATGATACCAGCATTCAAGACAGCAATATCCAGTCGAGGAAGCTCCTTCTCGGCCCTTGTTGCAAAAGCTTGGACAGACTCGTATGAGCTCATATCCAACAGCCATACTTCGATTGTGGCCTTGGGGTGTTGTTTTCGCAGCTTGACTGCCGCATCTTCACCCTTGGATGCAGTGCGGACTGCAAGAATCAATCGAGAGATTTTGTAGGAGAGAACTTGTCTCGCGCATTCAAGCCCTAACCCAGTATTTGAGCCCGTCACAATAGCAACCTTCCCTGACAGATCAGTGTCTTTGGGGGGATACTGAGGCTTGGAACGAAATTGGTTCTTGATGAATTGGTTGGGGAAGAAGGGGGCCTTTAAAGGCTGCAACTCTTTAGATGAAGGCATTGTAAGTGTGGGTTTTTGACATGAAATCCAGTAAATCTTCAATGAAAAGCCAGGGAGCTGGGTCGAACGTGAGTGATCTCTCACCTAACAGCAGCCGGGGGGGTTAGTCGTTATATATCTTTGCTCGGCTACTAAGTTACGTCTGTGACGGCGTTAAAAAATAAGAGATTATCTAGGTCCACCAATAGAAAGGACAGATACCGTATATCGCGGAATGAAATTGACGCTCCATCTCCAAGAAATTCCAGTCTCAGCCAACTTCAATCAAAGTCCATGATGTCGCCTTGTCTGAGGCTTTGATGGGGATTTGTGAACAGCCACTTATATCCGGATATCAGCCAGTTATGTGATACCTTTGTTGCGCTTTACCACAGTAGGAAGTCAATCTGCTGCATTAGCGCGAGCTTTGAATCAAAGCCGGGAGAAAGCTTAGGGTTCGGACTTAACGGAGGTACGGGACCGCCAATACTCTCAATCACCCTAATAAGCGCTCACACAAGTCAATCTTGACACGACTCATACCTCCAACGAGTCGCAAAGTCGAGAAAAATGCCTGGTACCACCGGATCCGGTAAGTTATGGCTTGAAATATAGCGCCTTAATTGTTATCTTATTGAGTTTGTGTGCATATATCACTCTCAAGCTAACATATTGCGAAGCGGCGGGGAAGTCTCTTTTGTTTATAGATGGCCTGAACAAGCCCGAGGCAAATAAGCGGAAACAGATCAGAAAATATGTCATGCTTGGGAAAAACCGCGGCAAAACCCGAAATGCCCGACCTGCCTCGACAGGTGAATCTCATAGGGAATCCCATAGAGGATTAGTGGAATCTCCTGACCTGGTGGTCAAAATGCATTATCCTGCAGTACCTAACAAAGTTGGCGATGAGTTATCTTTCACACAATTCGCCGCTCCCGTGGCGCCACAGTTGATGCGAGATATTCTAAAATGCAAGATACATCTCAAGTCTTGGCCCCTTCTGCGCATGTGCCTCGATTCTGACCAAAGCTGAAATACAGTCTCCTTGATAGCAAAGAAAGTCATGTACCCATTGGAGTCTTGCATCGAGTTTCACCGAAAAGACAGAGTCGATACATTCTACTTTGACCTTATGACTTACGATACCACTTACCTGCACGCTGTGGCATTCTCTTGTCAGGCGTTTTTCAACAAAGCATCGCCTCGAGAAACTGCAGAAATGGCCCAAAGAAGTGTCATACATCATTCAGCAGCATTGAAACAGCTTCGAGAGAGACTCTCCAATGAAGGAGAGCAGATCAAGTTCTCTGATTCCACTGTCCTTGTCATCCTGTGCCTAGCAATGCATGCTCATTTCACTGACGATTATGATACTGCGAAACTTCATATGCAGGGGTTGCGCAAGATCGTCGATCTGAGAGGCGGTTTACGTGGGTTCAGCTATAACACAAAGCTTATCATGGAAATATTGAAGTAAGACCCCACAATATGACCCAGTATATGGTCTTTGCTCGTATGAATCTAACATTTCTCAAGATGCGACCTAGGGATCGCACTCTTTAACCGCACAGAGCCATTCTTCTTCAAGGATTCATCTTCTGAACCTATGATCCCATATGAACTGGCTTCTGGTACCGTCGAATCGCCAGATATACCTGACTCTGAATCCTGGATCCCGGAGTGGAATATCAATGCAGATGTACAACGCGCCTGGACGGTGATGAGAGAATTCTGCTCAACGATAAACTCTGCAACAAAACGAAACCGCCGCCTCCCAAAAGAAATCTTACTAAATACCATGGCTTCAGTCATGTACCGTCTGCTTGGTATGAAAGACTTTGATCCGAATTCTCCAGAAGAAGCTATACGTCTTGGTCTGCTCGCCTTTTCATCAGATACATTTCTTCATTTTCAGAACATGAAGCCTCCACAGACAAGCTTCCCTCAGAAGTATCGGGACTGTCTTCAAAACATCGAGTTCTCAGCAAACGTGGCGTCGGTAATTTTATGGCTGCTTACCATTGGGGCAATCTCAGTGTTCACTCCGTCTGATAACTATTGGCTGATGCCTTTTTTGCGAGATCAGATGAGGTGCTGCCAAATTACTGAATGGGAGGACATGCGTGGCTATCTGGAACGCTTCTTGTGGATTGACATGCTGCACGACAAGCCTGGCCAAAAGGTATTCAGCACCGCATGGGCCTATGAAAACATAATTTAAAATCCGATCTTAGATAGTTTGACAGTTGACGTGATAGATAAGCTCGAAAATTTACGACTTCTCTTGGACCGCTGAGGATTGTGTTAGCTAACGACTCGTGTATTGTCACGGAAAGATCAAAAAATTCCAGAAGTATATGAAGGTATCGTTGAAGCATGTAACGGAGACAATCCATCACTGAGATTGTTCTAGCCAGATTTTAAGTAATACGTTGTTTAACTGTCCACCTCCACTTCTGACTGTTCCGAGTAAGCTAACTGTAGGGGGAGGCGGCCTCTGGGCAGTGCGTATTGTATGTATGAGGATCGGAATGATCGCCCGGATGACTAAGGAAACCTTCAGCGATGAGAAATAAGGGTAGCTGTGTGATTTGTATCTAACCAGTCAACTTCATGGGCGTGTAAAATCAGATGTAAAGCCCATCTGGGTCGGCAGAAGTTAAGAATGACCCCCAAGCATAGATGAACTTGTTGGGTTCGTAGGATTGTGGGTTACCCGGTGAGGCGAAGAAATGTATAGTAGCCGGAAGCTCATCCAGTTCAACATCGTCCGAGTAGAGATTCGTAGTCATGGGAAATGTTCATTGTTGGCCGATCTATCGTTCCTTGCATCGTGCTGATCCACTAGGGCACATAACGTCATACCTACAAGATCGACAGCAAGGTCCATTGTGTTGGGAAGGTCGGGGGTCAAATGCTCAGGTTTACTTCTTGGAACATGTGCACGATATTCCTGCTTTGGAAATTCGTCCTGCGGGCCAAGGGCCGAAGTGGTCCAAGGGACTGGTCTGTATGGCTAGCAAAGACTGATCTGCATGAACCACTCCAATCACTGCTCCACACCTGACGAACCGAACACGAACTCTTTACCCCATGGGTCGCGGCCTCGAAGGTACCATCAGCCTGGTTTACTCTATTTTCTCTCTTGGAATGGTTGATCCAGACGCCCTGTTCTTGAAAGCTATTCGCATACGTGCGGCCAGCGCTTGACGCTTAGACGGTAAACAAGCACAAGTAAAGTAGACCCGCACAGCCTATGGCAATCCTCCTCACAGCAAACTGTCGTCATGGACCCACAGACACGATGTTCATTTTATATTACGCATTCTGAGCATCATTTCTATCAATCTCAGCCTGTACCTTCTTGGGCCGAAAGCCTCAATATGACGCCCCTGCAGAGGAGCCATAAATCTTCAGCCTCGGCCGGGAGAAGTATTCTCTGTTACACAGCAGGAACTTTGCATTCTGTCCAAGGCGATGACTGGCGACCGGGAGAAACAACAAGATGAGGGCGCCCTACACCGCGAAGCTGCTCGAAATGGCCTTCGCAGGACGGGGTCGAAGACGATGGAATGGGACACCGAGCATGAAGATTATCCTCGCAACTGGCCGATCCAGCGTAAACTCTATGATGCTACCGTCATGTTCTTCCTCGAGTTCTACACGACTGTCATCAGTACGACTGGTCCCTCGGCAGCAGAGCTGGCAATGAAAGAGTATGGATTGAGTAGGGTTATCACGCTGACCGGCTTCCAATTTATGTATGGCGTTGGACAGGCGCTCGGAGGACTGACCATGCCCCCTTTTTCTGAATCCATGGGCCGGAAGAAATCCTACCTAGTATCAGCTGGCACTTACAGCATCTCGTGTTTGTTAGTCGGCGTCGTCCCGTCCCCAGCCGGCGTGTTCATCGGCCGTTTCATCTCGGGGTATGCTTCTGCCGTGCCGGCCATCGTACTCGCCGGGAGCATCGAGGATTTGTATTCCACCTGGCCAAGGCTATGGTTGCTGTGGCTTTGGAATTGCTCTACCGTTGTTGGCTTGAGTGTTGGCCCTATATACGGATCGTATATTGTCAGTGCCATAGGCTGGTAAGTTGCCCGCTCGGACGCCACAACGCACTCTTTATATCATGTATACTGATCAAAGATGACCAGGCGTTGGGTTTATTACACTGCCGCCATTACATGCGCGGTCTTGTTTGTCCTGCTCCTATTTATATGTGAAAGTCGACCTACTACGCTTCTCTCCCGGCGGTTCGAGCATCTCGAGTCAAAGGTCGGAGACTTGGACATGGATATTTCTAATCCAGACCGCATTGGCAACAAGCGAGATCTCGTCAAAGTCATCCTGGTGCGGCCGGCACGACTAGGCGTCACAGAGCCCATTATTATACTTGTCTCCATCTTGAGCGCTTCAGCATGGGGGATGATGTATCTCTTCACGGAGTCATTCACAGTGGTCTATAGCGAGTTTGGCTGGAGTTCGAGGGCAACCTCGTTACCTTTCATAGCTCTGTTTCCCGGCATTCTTGTTAGCGGCTTAGTGCGGTTCTGGGATCATCATCAACTGAACAAAAGGCAGAAGGGGGGAACCTCTCCCGAACCAGAGGACAAAATCGGTGGATTTGCCATCGCAGCTCCGGCCCTTGCCATTGGGCTCTGGATCTTTGGCTGGACCGTTCCCCCTCTTGTCCATGTGCCGTGGATCGCGTCCATGTTCGGCCTGGTGTTAATTGGTTTTGCGGCGACCGAATTCTCATATACCCTCAGTGGCTACATCGCCGACGCGTATACCAATTATGCTTCGACGGGTCTCGCGGTGGTATCATTTCTGCGCGGCATTGCGTCGGCCTGCATGCCCCTGTTTGCGTATCCGATGTATTCGGGGCTTGGACCGAATGTCGCTACCAGCATCATCGCCGCGGTGGCGACCATATTCGCCTTTACGCCCTTTTTGTTCCTGAAGTTTGGAAAGCAGCTGAGGCAGAAGAGTCGATTTGCGCGATACAGTGCGGACGTCAATGAGCAGCAAGGGGGAAACTGAGTGCAGGAGGTAATATTAAATGTGCGGGAGAATCCGGCTATCTCGCAGCAGTCATACTCAAGAAGGTCGTGAATATCTTATATGAGTTCAAATCAGCGCGAGAGCAGTTGATTAGACCTTGCCAACAAGACCTCCCACCTTCAGATTCAATTATCACTAGGTAACCAGCACCGCAACTGGGAAAACCTTAGGCGTGCTACACGTGGACTGGTGGAATCTATTTATTATGCTATGACTTGAGATGCCTCTTTAAACCATGCAACACATAAGCGCTATATCATGTCATAGTCTTGAAGACCACACTGAAGATATCCTACGGTTAAAAGGTGAGGGTACAAGATCATTTCTTCCCATATAGGCCCTCTTGAGTATTGCAACAATCCGCGGTGAACATTTGCAAGGACAGAGCTACAGTCACGACATGTCTGGTAGCCCAAATCCCAGATACAGAGGAGTACACACACAACATTGTACGCTCTCCTTGTTGGCTACACTAGCTGGTATTATCTGGCGGTCGTTTTTGCCGGCTGGGTCACAACAATTTGTGTCGAGTTGGTGGCTGAGCAGTATCTGGTTCAGATGTTTAGTTCATTTACCTTGCAAAACGCCTTCAGTTTTCGTCTGAATCGGTTAAAGTGGACTTTATCCGCTTTGACCGCGAACATTATAACAGTAGCGGAGAGCATCTGTCTGGCGGAATGCTAGATAGACTAGAGAATCCATTCCGGATCGCTAGGGAAGTAACGCACACATCAGTATGCTAATACAATTGGCATGCAAAAAGCCCAAGCTCCAAAGCGACATGCACGGCTGCATCACCGTGGACTATGTCTAAAGACACCATCAGGTTCCTCCAATGACTTCATCAAAAATAATAGACACCATCACTCCCCAGCTTGCCATTTTCGGCTAAATCTTCCAAGCAACGCTTTACCTTCTCGGCAATCTCTTTGCCATACTCAGGGCCAAGACTTGGTCTCGGGTTGCCTTGACTGAGGTCCTTCTTCAAATCATGCCGCAACCATGGAACAGTGCTGATGCCATCACAAGCCCTTCGCATCGCTGTAAAGTCGGTATCGCTATATCCGCCTCCTACGATGATGGCCACAGGCTTCTGTCCGTACCGCTGGCATCCAAGGTTCGCAAGATCTGTGGTGTCAGGCCGACGTCCATGTAATAAGGACGGAATTTCTTTCACTCCCATCTCTGTAGAGGTTATAATGTGTATCGCTGCGCATCATCAGCTTGGACAGAAAGCGGTGTACATCGGGCCCAACCCACCCTCGTACATCGGTCTGAGACCCTCTTTCACTCCTATAGCCACGGGTGGAGCTTTGCCGCACAGCACAACTGGTTTCGCGAGCGCCATATTGTATTGAATTGATGCGCCGTATAAATATATAAAAGTGGTAATGGTCGCACTGAAAGCAGAAATTTAATATTCTAGATAAAATACTGGCGAGTAGTTACTAGGGCGGTTGAGCAAATTAGTATGATCCATGCGGACCATGCTGCACCTTCGGCATTAACTCGACTTCCCCTCCGACGACATTAATAAGCACTGCTGGACCTGCTTAGCTGCCAGGCCTACGCCAATAATCCTACGTCAGGCCAAATAGCGCCTTACAGATGGGATACTTTACTACGTATGGAAATGGACTGGTTGAGTGACTTTTCTTTGTGATATATCGAGATTATAGAGGGCCCACTGGGGACATTCGGACTTCCGCTCACAACTCGGACCGTCGGACAGCTCGAATCGTCTGGTGATTGCGATACACGACATTTTGCCTGCATATAAAGCCCACTTCCAGCCCTGCATGATGATCTCTGAATACTCTGAACTGCCAACAGATTGATTTTCATACCCCAGTTGCCTACACTACGTCTCGGTTCTGTTTAACAGTGACGATCAATATGGCGACCTTTTATGATTTTGATCCCCAGAAGCCCTTCCGAGAGCAACTAGAAGAGGAGACAGGTCCTGTTGTATTGACAAACACTTTCACCATTCCAGAGGGCAGAATGGACGAGGCGATAGAGACTTGGAGAAAGACTGCTGAGATTTTGAGATTTTGCCCGGGATATATCTCTACTCAGCTACATCGCGGCGTGTCTAGCCACATCTTGATAAATGTGGCAGTTTGGGATTCGGCGCACCATCTGCGCGATGGTCTCAACCGAGAGGACTTTAAGGCTGTGCTTGCTTCTTTTCCTCCCGGTACTGAGTGCCGCGCACATTTGTTCCGCCGCCAAGCCGTGGAAGGTATTTGTGTTGCATGAGAAATCAATCTTGTGTAAGTCACCCAGTTGTCAGTCAACCTGAACTAGGTTCGCTAGTTTAAATTTAACACTTAGTGAATAGGAGGTGTGCAAAGCCTTTCCTGTGCGAGCACTATGATATATGGAATGGGGGAACTAGGTACAAAGGTTAGCTTCCTACAGGCCTGAGACTACTGTGTATCACTTCGGCCTACTTTTGAGGTTGGGAAGTTGTGAATCTATTATTGGGAGGGATAGTTCTATTTTAAGTGGGAGGGTTATTTAAAAACACTTGACAAGCCTGATGATTCCTCATAGCTTAGATTAGTTTTACCCATAAGAACATGGACACTGCTGGTCCTTGATATGTCTGGAGGAAAGGAGAGTTTTCGCTAAAGACATTTGCTACACCGGCCTCTCAATAGCGCATCCAGCCTAGATAATTTAATTTCCTACCTCCGCCCATAGCAATGCCCACGACCATATCTATAGTCTGCATCTTCCTCGTTAAACGATTGATATCTAGGCTCTTATAATCTTAAAGATAAGAATTAAAGTCACTATTACAGGCGGTTATAAGCCTAGGATTATTAATACTATAGGAAAATAACATCGCTAAGTCAATTGCAATGCCCTACTACTAATCCTAAGCCCTGAGCCTAAGTGCTAAGCCTAAAACACAGGTTATATGCACGGGAGAATCCACTTTTGCGGTGATCACATGACTTTTCCTTACCTGATTGGGTAAGGGGGGTGTTGCTGTATCCAAGAGGGTGTCGCTATATCCCTAGAGGGTGTCGCTGTATCACTACCCTACATTTATTCTAGCTTCCACCCTTTTAGAGCAGCATGGTACGGCTAATTTACGACTGATAAGCAGCTGAATTGCAACAGCGAAATTTACTGAGCTAACGAATTTGACGTGGCTCTAGAACCTGTACGTTGACTCGACTCTGAAAACTAGGGCCGAGGCGGACTTCATGAGGCATATGCGTTATCCGTGTCTCGAGCGGGTTTGATATGTCAGCTCGGCCCCTTCKGCGCTTCGAGTCTTCGACATACCCGAGGAGTGGCTAAAGCCATCGCCGAAAACCGCAACGTGAGGACTCGAGATAATACCGCAGTGGTTCACTGAACGTAACCTCCGCGTACACAAATACGTCGTAGAATTACTAATCCCAGATGAGGTTGAAGAGCGAGGTTCATAATGGAATCAGATAATTATTGAAGTTAGCTAAACAGATCTTGCCAGCTCTATCTGTGATCTTCCTATGCCGGATAATGTGAAGAGAATATTAAGACCGGTTCGGCTCCTACAAATAAGAAATTTTCCTTTGCTCACTATCAGTTCATCATTCGTTTCGACCTATGTCAGCTCATTTACAGAGAAGCAAAACTTCAGTCTCACAACGGGACAACACGGTCGTAGATCGACGAATCCAACAGAAATGCGGCCGGTTAGCAGAAAGTCACTACCACAGCTGTCACCAGGCGAATTCAGGACGTACAACTACCTGAGTGACCGGATGGACCGTTTGGTAAGCCTTCTACTTGCTTCGACTTAGGCACCCCTCTCTCTTTCACTACGGTCAGATAAGAAATCCACCAGGGGCTCATCACCTATCCTACTGCAAGTCGTTCCACACATCTGCCTATGTTACCGATTATTAATAACCAATGTCCTCTTTCTTCCTTCCGCGAGAGAATCAAGGAAGGGAGGAGGGGCTCTGGCAGGAAACAGCATAATCATTTCCGCCACTCGTGGAACCAGCTCTATGAGGCGTGTTCCAACAACATCCGACCGGAAGGCACCTCAATTAGACAATTCTTATCACTAGGTCTCAATTTTTGCTCTCAGCTCGCCGCACACCACTTGATAGAGGAGCAGTATCTGTTTCCTTTCCTCGCCGAGAAGATGCCTGAGTTTCGTCGAGGCGTCGAGTTACTGCATCAACACGAACAAATACATGCCGGAATGAACCAGCTCCAAGAGTACCTTAACCAGTGCGTTTCTGGCACGACCGAAATGCGCATGGATAAGATGAAGCAGCTCATGGATACTTTTGGGCCGGTGCTATGGACACACCTGGACGATGAAGTGCGCGCACTGGGGGCAGAAACGATGCGACGGTATTGGACACAGGAAGAAATGAAGAACTTCCCTTTCTAAGGAGCTCAACCTTCGCTTTTAAGGCCAAAAGATACAACAATAATCATAGTATCACGTTTTTAGGTCTACTTTAACTCCGCTTCAGCTATTATAATGGTAACTAAACACAACACAGAGGCCTAGTGAGCAAAATTATGATTATTTGAAGAGCAGGTTTTACAGCACTGGGGTCTCGGTCTTCGTCAGTCAACAGATCCGACTTCAGCTGAATTAGTAAGTGGTAGAGATCAATTTCGTCCACTACATTATAATATTACGTATCTTTAAGTACTCTTACAACATGCTGATCAGGGTAGAATAAGATGAACGGTGATATGGACATCTCCTTATGGCATATAAAAGAGGGCACCACATAGAACTAGTAGGTACTATATTCCACCAGGAAAACCTTAAGCATAGGATACCTATTTTCCAATTGGTTAAAAACGAAATAGACAGAAACCGACCGGCTTTAAAATCTGTCTATGTGAAAGATGCTTCGCCAAATGTCGGGATCAGCGCTTCCTGTCGGGGAGTATAGCACCGATGTCCGGCGTATTGTACTTCGCTTTGCTTCTCGAACAAGCTAACACCTGCATTATCAAGGTTTTGTAGGAGCCTGTAAACAAGAGTACTCGAAGCAGCGAAAAATACATTAATAAGGGTGTGATTTTTGCCAATAAATCCTCGCTATACCGAGTTTCGATATAGAGGATCCATTTCTGATATCATCACGTCTAATTGTTTTGCTCAGGATAAGAAGGTCCCTCCCTAAGAATGATGTCAAATACAAATTCTTCTTGGGCCTTTTATATAAAGTGCCACAGGGCATTCCATTCATCTGAGTTATCATTGGTTAATGTAGTAAAGAGTGGGGCAAAAAAATCCACCTTACCAGTTCTGTAATCCATCGGGGTATCCCTCAGTACTTGTTATATTTGATATAAAACGAGGTAATGTGATTGTCTGGGTTAGGTCCTGATAGCGGGATTTTAGTCTTGTAGAAGTAATATAACTACGGATTTGGTGCTTGATTACCAAAAGCATTGGGATCTTATCCCAACCAGACGGTGTCATTGAGGAGCTATATATACTAGCCTGTTGCCGTCTAATTCAGAAGGCTCAACCATCACTGTTCACTCTATTAAAAGAACCCAGACCCCGATTTGTGGATTTTCAGCTGCTTGCAATCGAGACCTTCCGAAGCCTACATACCCTCACAATGGCATCCAAACTTACTGTTGTGGTAATTGGAGCTGCGGTAGCTGGGATCAAAGTCAGCCATGGCTTGCTTAAACAAGTACCAAGTGTGAGAGTCATCCTTATCAATCCTCACAAGGACTACTACTTCAATATCGCCTCCCCCCGGGTGATGGCCAAGCCCGACGCTTTTCCCGACAACCAGTACTTACTCCCGATTGAGGATGCATTTTCAAATTATCCGGCACACTCTTTCCAGTTCATTCAAGGAACAGTCACAGATATTGAGCCTGAGAGCAAGCAAGTGGTTATCGCAGGATCCAAAGTGTCTTTGATCTCCTACGACTATCTGGTGGTGGCTTCCGGGAGTACAACCTCTGCTACGATCGGGAAGGAGAGTGCATTAGTCCCATTCAAAGCTACTGTCTCAGGCTCATTGGCTTCTGCAATCAAAGAGGCTCAGGAGGCCATCCAAAAGGCGAATAGTATCATAATCGGAGGTGCTGGGGCAGTTGGAGTTGAATTTGCTGGCGAGCTTGCTGAAGCTTGGGCTGGCAGGGGAGAAAAGTCACCATCAATTTCCCTAGTGCCAGCAACGGAGCACGTCTTTCCTAGACTGAATGATGCAGCTGGAATGGCTGCGGAACGTCTTCTAAAAGAGAAAGGCGTTCAGCTGCTTCTATCACGGAAAGTAACAAAATCAGAGCAAGACCAGGCAGCGAAGAAATGGATCGTGACTTTGGATAGCGGTGAGGTGCTCACTGCGGATCTCTACGTGTCTACCACTGGTGTGACCCCTAATAGCAGTTTCATTCCTTCTATCTTCCTTGACAAGGACGGTTGGCTTGAAGTTGATGACCAGTTACGAGTCCAGGCAGCTGTCAATGATGGAAAGTGCACCATTTATGCACTAGGTGATATCACATCCCATCCTTACCGCGATGGCTACAGAATCACCGACCAGGTTCCTGTGATTGTGACAAATCTCAAATCCGAAATCACTGGCCGGGGCCGGCGAGCTACCTACAGTCCTAGCGATAAAGCCATGGCGATTGTTCCGGTGGGGAAGTCTGGGGGCACGGGTCAGTTCGGAAGCTGGGTGCCTTGGAGCTTCTTGGTGGCCTTTCTCAAAGGGAGGGATTTCTTCATCTCCAGGGCGTCTTCGTTTATCAGGGAATAGCATCATTTATTGCAATTTTTAATCTAGGGGGTCTGACAGCCTAGCCTGACGAAACGATTTGGAAATAGGAATAAGAGTCAACCGTATGCTTTAACTGGGCTTAGTTATTTCTCTGTCTCTCTATAAATGATCTTTCATGCCTTGTGAAAGTGGATCCTCTTATGCTTGTGTTTCTAGTCACTGTACTTTATATGCGCCCTTGCATTTAACTGAAGTAATCACAATGGTTATAACCGTATTTTCCTATCGAGGCGATCAACTCCCTCGAGCCGGATCACCTTGTATTCCATATAAACCAGCGCAAGGCCTCAATATCTCAACAAAACTATCATATATTAGGAAGCATTGATGGAACTTTTGGATCTTATATACTCTAGATATATATTATAACTATTTTCTAAGTCTCTGAATTGCCGTTCTTTATCTGGAGATCTGGAATATTTAAAAATATAAAATACTGAAAAATCCAGACGTAATCACTAATAACTAATATCCGGAGAAATACTTAAACCAGAAGACTCTGTGTCAAATATATATGAATATATTATATACTATTCTTTATGTCTAAAATCTAGGCCCCTGTACATGCTTCGTTGCTGGGATATGAGGGCCTTGAAATCTGCCATTTTATATGGAATACAAGGTGATCGGCTCGTTGGCTTTTTTTTGGGGGGGAAGTGGGATGTTGTTGATCGACTCGGTAGGGAACTAACTACATTATGTTCTGGCGTGGCCCAGCGCACAGCTAACTGTGTGAGGAGGCAATCGGAGACGCCTATAAAGAAATATTAATATCGAAGTTGCCTCATCTCATGCGCACTTTTGCTTATCATTGTCACCCCACAGCCGAGAAACGTTAGGGTGTAGTCTTTCTTACAGAATGTTTGGGTTTTATAAATCGTATTTCACATAAAGGATTACTCTTGCGGAATATGAATAGCGTCTGACATGAACCCAGGAAACCTTGTCAGGGTTCCATACAATTAACAGTCCGCATGGAGAGCCCTACTAACCAGCTAACAGTGTCACCTTTGGCAGTGAGTGTTAACAGGCTAAAAAGCGTCCAATCAGATCGGCAAATCTTTTTTCTTACCAGCTTTTAGAAAAGCTTGTGCACAAGTCACAGAAAGTGGCTAGGCTCATAGTTCCAAGTCGGTCAATCGGCGGTTAGCCCGCCCGACCAAATTTCTGGATCTCATCTGCATGCGATGGATCCACCTCGCTTTCGGTGTTTACAGCACAGGTAGAAGAGCGATTTTTTGTAAGCACCTTAAGTCATTTGTCATTAGGTGGATCAGATTGATGCATATACTGCGGCGTACTCTCCATATATATTCGGATTTCTAGAACTAGGGGGAGGGACGAGAAGATCTGTACTTCTGCTGCAAGGATTGCACTATTTCTTTTCAATCTTACCCAGTTCGATCGCGCTCCCTAAGCAGGACAGACCTCATGAAGCCAATCAAAGTCTATGGTGGCTACTTTGGCCCAAACCCCCTCAAAATATGTATCATCCTTTCGGAGCTGGGCATTCCCTATGTGACCGAGCTAGTCGATTTCAGCCAGCTTAAGACCCCAGAATACGAGTCGATTAATCCAAATGGTCGCCTCCCAACCATTTACGACCCCAATACCGACCTTACTTTGTGGGAGTCCGGTGCAATAATCTTATATCTGGTGGAGACCTATGACAAGGAACGCAGGTTGAGCTTTGCGCCTGGGTCTCCTGAAGCGCATCAGGCATGCCAGTGGCTCTTCTACCAGGTCTCTGGACAGGGCCCTTATTATGGTCAGGCCGTTTGGTTTAAGCAATATCATCCAGAAAAGGTCCCCAGCGCGCTGACGCGGTATGTCAATGAAATTCGGCGGGTATCTAAGGTGCTGGATCGTTGGCTCGAGAATCGGGAGTGGCTTGTTGGTGATAAGTTATCATACGCCGATCTGTCCTTTATCACCTGGCAAAACGGGGCGCGTCGGGCATTATCCGACGAGGGGTACGATGAAAATGAGTTCCCACACATGCTATCATGGTTGAATCGGATGAATGAGAGGGAGAAGGTAAAGGAGCTCGTCGAGAAGCAGGAACTATTGATCCAGGAGAAGAAGAAAGCTGCTGCAAAAGAAGCTCACTGAATGCAAATCTCTGTTGATGTGGACGCCTGATGTTTCCCAAGAATGTTGGCAGGCTTTAGGTAGATGCTAAATCACAATTTGGCCAATACACTTTTCTTATCTGGGATGAAATCGGATTGCCACTCATCAAACTTCAACCGTTCAACAAAGTAGCTGTTTAGAATAGGGTGACAGCCCTTTTTGAATTTATATCCCTTAGATTGCTTCTTTCTAATAGTGGCCTGGAAACATGGTAGTACCTACAAGGTGATCACGTACGGTACTCTAGGGATTGAAAGAATTATACCGCATGGGGCCTAAGGCAACTCCGTGAGCGCTACCACCCTCAACAACGGATGGCGGCCAGTACCCTGCCTTTATCTATGGACCAGGAACCAGTCTGCTAGCTTCATGTTGAGGCACTGTTTCAACTAGAAACACATGGTAGTCCAGGGGTTCCAACTGACATTGGGAGGGTGATAGGCTCTTTGGCATTCTCTAGGGAGAGAGCCTCAGCTCTCTGAACATCTTCTTAGGAGGAAGCGAAGCTACATCAATCTATCATGCCCATGGCTAAGGATTGATTATTAGGCTATCATTTAACCATTTAGCAGACCTCCCCCATTTGTAGTTGGTGAGGCGCGTATTCCACCTCTTTTCAACTTTTAAAACTGCTACTAAATCTAGCTTAGCTTTGGGTTCTTAAACTGGCTAAAGAAATGATGACTTGACAAACATTCTAGATTTTCAACACCTAGGTGGGGAGTGATGGGTAGGGCAGGACATACGGTCAACGGCCTCCAGCGATTTACGCGAGCCAGGGGGCAGCACTCTGGGTGATTCTTGACAGCCAGTTCCTTACATGTCACTAGAATCTACCGTCCAACCTGATGGTGCCAATGAAATGACGAAAGATAAGAACTATACCGTATTGCAGAGTACATAATAACGTTTGGAGTCGGATACGAAAACACGGGATCTGAACTCTGTGCTGAGGTAAGGTGAAATCTATAGATAAACCGGAGTAAATACAGAGAGGGTTATGCTTAAAAGATCGTCTGGGCTGTGGATCCCGGGGTCGGACGTTAGGAAGTCCGTCTCGGCATGATTGTTGTGTAAGCATGTCCGAGCTTTGTCAGCTTAGCTCAATGACATCTATACTCCAGACTCGAGAGTATTCCAAAGGAGAAATATCCTTTGAACTGGACATTTTAAATACAGATTCGTTAGGACCATTATGGTCCTCCTTGAGCAGTAGCAGTGCAGTTTGATATCTTGTCTTCTTTTTGACGTTACAGCTGACCTATTTCCCTCAACCCCGGCCACCATGTCGAAACTCATCACCGTCTTTGGCGCTACAGGTAACCAAGGGGGCTCAGTCATCCGTGCCATTCTTGCGGACCCCAGCCTGTCGAAGGAGTTCAAAATACGTGGCGTCACGCGTGATCCCAGTAAGCCAGCGGCGAAAGAGCTGGCGGCACAGGGCGTTGAATTAATGAGCGTCAGTATTACCATTTTCCGGGAAACTTTGACTCCTATCCGGAGCTGCTTGTCGAACTCTAAAACTGACAATGCCATATATAGGCTGATATGTCTGCCGTCGAGGCAGTTGCCCCGGCTCTGAAGGACGCTCACACCGTCTTCCTGGTGACGAATTACTGGGAATCTGTCTCCCATGATGTTGAATATCAGCAGGGGAAAAATGTTACGGACGCAGCCAAGGCAGCCGGTGTCTCCCATCTGATCTTTTCTTCCTTGATAAATGTTACCGAGGCCTCTAAGGGTGCTCTCCCGAATGTTCCGCATTTTGATGGGAAAGCTGAAATTGCGAAGTACATCCGGGCCAGCGGTGTTCCCGCCACTTTCGTAATGCCTGGTTATTTCATGAGTAACCTAATCCAGTCCCTACAGAAGCAAGAGGATGGCAGCTACCAAATGTATCTTCCAATCAGCAATGCTGCTCGATTCCCCCTTTTTGATGTGGTGAACGATACCGGTATGTTATTGTGCTCTTTGAGGCAAAGAATTTCCCATTTCTAACCCTTTTCCTAGGCAAATTTGTGGTTGCAGCTATCAAGAAACGGTCCTCTGTTCTCGGAAAGGACATCTACGAAGCTGCGGACTACTATTCACCATCGCGCATCGTGAGTGAGTTCACCGAGGTTACTGGGAAGAAAGCCTCTTGGTTCCAGATCCCTGGCGACAAGTACAAGTCATTCCTGCCACCTCCTGTGGCGCAGGAGCTTCTTGAAAACCACCTTCTGTTGGAAGGTACCGGGTATTATGCTGGCGCAGACCTGAAGGACAGTCTCAATCTATTAGAGCAGAAGCCCACCATGTGGAAGGAATTTGTCGCCCAGAATGTGGCCAAATTTCTCGACTGATTTGTATGATCAGTTAATTACTTAGTATGAAGCTCAATATTAAGATTATCTTTTCACTTAGAAAATAGCAATCAATGAGCGTTTGGAGATCCCTTAGGAGCAGGTAGAATAATTATTAATACCATCTGTATCGGAATAAATGAAACCTGGAGTATCTTCACTGAACTCGTTACAGTATTATTTCCTAGGAGGGTGAGCAGACCAAGCCAGCGGCGCTTAAGCATTAAAGCCAGAGTAATCTTCAAAGCCACAAAAACACAGCAATTCAATCCATGAAATTTCGAATCGTTCTACATACATGTACATGGTAAATCTGCATCCAGCTGAAATTTGCATGTCACTAGTAGAGCAAAACCCGGTGGTAAACAACTGTGCATGAGAAATTCTTGAATGTAAGCAACTAAAAGGACATCATCTTCGGGGATTCAAGGTCAATCCTTGTGTTCGGGCTGGAATGTGGTTGAGCGTAGATTAAGAATGACTCTTAAACCCTAGCTGAGATTTATAAGCTAGTAGGATGATGAAAGGTAGCAGGAGATCTTCCCAGGTAGTCCATCCACTACCTGATATAAGACCTGACAAAGCAGCTAAATGCTGATGTTGGACAGACTTTGACGTGTCAAGACAGATATGAGGGGTATACAATTCCCACAGCCATCAATAGATTGACAGTTATCAAACCACATAGGGGCTCAGTAGAGACGATGAGAAATCCATGTAGATAAAAGAGCATGGTGGTAAAGGTGGCAATAGTAGTGGTTGTCACACCATGCACTTATTCCTACTCAACACTTACTGTTCCTAGAAGGCTACTCCATGCTTATTACCACCAGTTCACTAGCCACATAGGGAGAGACACTAATTTTTATACTTCTGACAGATGGGGAGCTCTCACAGAAGAAGAATATGTGATTGAGCACCTTAAGTATCTCGCTAAGCAGACGCTTATTGTCTCATTCCTCCCACTTATTATCCGCCAGTTTAGTGAGTGGCAACATTACCTGTTAACTCAGCAGACATAGAGAGCGGGCCTGATGGAAAGCCTAATACAGGGCTGGCAAGCTACATTAACCCTGTTAAGGCGCTGTGGATCCTCTAGCAGAGAATTTACACTGCTGTTTCTGATTTGTGTCTTCAATGCAAGATATACCAATACTAATGGAACCTGAGGTACAGTAATTAAAATATATTTTCTGGGACAGACCGTTGGCTGTGACAAAAACTAATTTATTTTACTATCATGAGCAAAAATAAAGAGGTTAATGTATGATTCCTAAGAAGCGAGCCAAGCTAATACCAAAGATCCAACCCGCGGAACTAGAAACTCGACTTTTTCTCATTAGTGTTTGCAGGAGCCATTTGCAGTAGTAACAATATGTACGGAGCCCATAAACCTGCTGCTTCGAGATCTAGAGGCTAGACCAATTGACTGCAGGTTGTTGCCACCATTTGAACAGGACCTCCATGTTAAACTTTCTGTTTCACTCGTTACCAACAGGCGAGCAGTTTAGTCTGAAACAGAAAGGAAGAGAGCTCTCTTGAGTTGGTTCGTATTTTTAACATCGTAGTCGCGCCAGAATGCAACCGCGACGAAGCAGGGCGCAAGGAGGCAAGCGGCCGGAATCAGAATCAGCCGGGACGAGTATTCATATGCATGAATGATGGCGTCTCTCTCAGGTGATCCAATTGGAAACGAAGTCTGCGCATACAAGCTACCATAAATCGCCGGTAGATAGGGAAGCGATGATGTGGGCAAGTACTCTGCCAGCTTCTTGGGGAAGACATCCGTCCAGATGGCGGTGCCAATAGTCCCAGCTGCAGCCTTTCCCACCTGCAGCCTTTCCCACCTGCAGCCTTTCCCACCTGGACCACAATCCCAAGAACGGCGAGCACGCTGGTAAGGTTGTCCTGCGGGGACGCGGCCATCACCGCTAGCTGTTCAGTGACATACATAGTMCCACCACCAAGAGCACTGAAGATCTGGCACATGGCAACAAGCCCAATGCTGCTGTGAGACGTCCGAAATTTGATTTGCAAGCCTGTCGCAAGGAGCGTGCAAGGCAAGCCGAAAAAAAGTGCATAGTGTTTGATATGACCGAACTTGTTAAAGGCCAGGCCAAGAACAATCATCCAGACTGTTGAGCCGACGAAATAGGTGTTGCTTATATAGGTCGCATCGACGACTGATTTATTGAAGACGACAATGAGGATCGAGTAGAAGTACGAGCCCCATGCTGCTTCAGACATGTAGTAAAATAGATCAGCCGCAAATGCCAGCAGAATTGTCCTGTCCTTCAAAATCGGCCATGCGATGAAGGTCTTCGGGGCTAGATGCCGTTCATAGAGGGGAAACGACAACACGAGAATCCCTCCAAACACAATGAAACAAATGATCATTGGGGACTTCCACCCGTGGTCCTGATATGTGTATAGGTTGAATGACAGCAGGAAGAGGCTGAAGCCTGTTGCGAGAATACCAAGTCCGATCGCATCGATCTCTGTCAAGAAATGCAAAATGGACTGAACTGATGAGCGGGGCGTCGACGTAGTAGACACCAGGCCTTGTGCAATAGCCTTTTGCTGGACATGCACCAGAATAAATAGCCAAGGAGCACAAACCAGTGGAGTAACAATGCACCAGATACCGAACCCCCACCGCAAGCCGATACTGCGCAATACACTTTGCGCTGCGGGACCAGCCGCCCAGACTGTAGCGATGGTGGGCGTGCCAAGGAGACCTAGGGTCAATGCTCGATGCCGCAATGGACAGGTGTCCGCAATGAAGATAGTTATGGTAAATGAAATACCCTGGTAACCAACAGCATAAAGTACCTGTGCAGCACAATACGTTTCAACATCCTTGCAGGCGGCCATCATCACAAGGCCGATTGTCTGAAACAACAGCATCAGCGCAAGACCTTGTGGACGGCCATAGAGATCTAGAATCTTCGCAAACGGCAGCTGAAAAAGACCCGAGGCAAGGCCAGCAATGATTGTGGTTGTGGACGTTAAAGCGTGCTGTTGGAAGCTACTAGTAATTTAGGGCGTCAGGGTGGTGATCATGCCGTTCGAAAGGCTTTGGATGAAATTCAGAAGCCAGATCCTTCCATATGTAGTCAGATAAGCGCACACTAAAATGCAAAGGACTATCGACTTACAATCCATAGGCAATAACCAGCTGTCGATCTGTCAAAGCACGGTTGGCAGCCTTGGCAAGTCTAATACCTGCCTGCAAGTTTGAGTTCTGGTCGCCATGCTCATGCGCATCATTCGAGGCTTCAGAGGTCTCTTTCTCAGGGTCGTGTGCAGGAAGCTCCTGTTTGGTAGCTGTTGGACTAGTAGTTGTCGGCACCACAGCACTCTTGTCATTGACAAGGCTCATCTCCATGCCTCAATCCAATATCAGCACAAACAGGTAACCAGATTATATGGGATAAACAATGCGCGCGGTCTATGAAACAAAGGTGGAGGAAAGGGGCATACTATTTGACCCTTTTATACCAAGAAATCCATCCCCTCACCCCCTTAGAAAAAGGGAAAAAAAGAAGGAAAAAGGAAACAGAAGGCTTCCCCCACCTATCACCCCAAAACGGCAGGAACACGGTCAGTCCTCAACCGAACCGAGTGGTCTGATGAGCGATTGATTAGATTGATTAGATATAGTGTTATCAGATGGCAAGCAGATACCGTCAAGGGTCCCACACCCCCATATGTCAGTTCCACGCTAGAAATCACCGACGGAGTTAAAACCTATCCATGCCAACAACCGTCGGCATCGGTCCCAAAAAGGATGCAGTTTCTTTAAGCGGTGCCAGAATTGGTTGGTAGGCTTCTGCGCAGCATTCTGAAATTCGATTCACCGTTGCAGGGAGACCTTGATTCGACAAGGGACCCCAAATTTACAGTACGATTCTCTAACGATGCATGACGAATTGTGTTAAAAGCATGCGTTGGGCTGCACCACTATCCAACCGAAGCCAAAGGCCTACTATGATTCGACCATATGATGTAGTAGAGTAAGGCCAATTAAGACATGGAAAACCCCATCAACACGATTGCAACGTATCGCAGGAGGCCGCCTAAAGAGATTTCTCCTCTCATGGCTGTTGCGTGGAGAGACGACGCCGAACCGGGAACAGCCATGTGCTAAGTCCGCTATTCGGGGCACACGGATGATAAGTTATCAATGTGTCATTACTCATCATCTTGTGAGTAACGAGTTACCAGTACTATTCGGAAGCAGGAAGTCTCATGATCGGCAATGATGGTATTGGTCATTCGGTCTAGAATGAATGAATGAATGATTGGACTTGCTCCGTATATCGCCAGTGGAGTACCTTTACCGCTGCACCTCCATGTTTTTCGACAATCTCTTCTACCCTATGCCTGTCCACTCCGATATCCCCGTGCCGTTCGGCCTCGGATGTGTACCTTGGACAATGGTATTTCCACTGGCACCGTAGCACTTCAGTCAATCCGCTTTATCAGATAGAACGGGACACAAAATTGAACGCTAAGTATCCGTTGCACTGTCGCCGAGGCCAAACCAAAAACTAAGGGTTACACATTGGGCTGTGATATTATCAAGGCCTAGTACATTGATACAACATACTTATGCATGGCCCAGAACATATACTAGTTATAAACGGCATCTGATAAGACGGTGTACTTTAGCCAAGTGGGAACTAGGGTGCTCGGCTATGGCGGGTGTGGAGATACGCGGCCGTTACTTCAATAAATCCGAGATGCCGAGAGAAGCATATGAGTAATGGTTCAGAAGAACAAAGTTCAACTACGTAACTAGGAATATTGTGGGCATGAATGTTTGCGCCCTTGATTCAAAGATCTTGCTAGACATAGCCCAATTGTTGTTACGTAAGTCGAGCGCAATTTGTCGCCAATTCGAAGGCGATGAGGGACCTATACCAGCCTCCATTACCTGTGATACTGCTTTTCTTCTGTCAATGCTAGCTTTCCAGATTGTCTTCCCAGATTGATCTCCGTTGCCCTCGGTGTCGGCATATACTTGTCATTTGGATTTATTGCTGAACCAGTCAATTCTGCTTCAGTCCCACAATGGGTTAAATGTTTGTCGTGGCAAATAACGGGTTTATGGGCCCTTTCTTGGGTGATATACCTAGTTATACACTATTATACAAACCAACATACCGCGCCGATGTAAGGATCAAAATCCAACAAAAAGCTTAGGACCGGTCTTCATAAACCGAGCGACGGCAACTAACACTGTACCAGCAAGACAAAAAACTCCTGCAAACACCTTCATTCCATCGTATGATCCATTCTCACGTGCTAGTATAGCCCCCGCAATCGGGTTCGTGATGAGACCTGGGAATGCGGCAAAGAAAAACATGAGCCCATTGCGATATCCGAACTCACGAGGAGGAGAGATCTGGGCAACAAGAGCCGGAGTTAAAGAGACATATGCCCCAGAGGAGAATCCAAAAAGGATGGCAAAGACGAGGCTAGTGGCGTTCCTGGAACCGGGGAGCCAGAGAGCCAACACTAGTATGCCTGACACCGCGCAGACGACGACGTATATGTTGTACCGACCCAGCTTGTCGGCTACGAGCCCGGTTCCAAACCGGCCGAAGAAACTATGGAAGAATTAGCAAGCGAATTATGAGAAGGGACACCCAGCCTACCTTGCTGCATTTAAGATTGGAACAAGGTACTTGGATAGCTCAATGGACATCCCTTGCGAAGTCGCCGAGACGACTATGTAATTAATAGGAATGAAAATTCCAAAAGTAAGACAGGCGAATGCTGCCACAACAAGCAGAAAGCCGGGTTCGTGCAAGGGACGATGGAGATCCTGCACGGTGAGCTTTTGTGGTTGTGGAGGTACGCGGCACTTGACCGTGAGATTGGCAATGATAAGCAAGAATAGAATCATGAATGCTGCTATCCGCATAGCCCATCCGTAACCCACTTCGTCGATGAGGTGAGTGACCATGATCGGGAATATGATGCCACCAGTACTAGAGCCAGTGGAGAGCACACCAAAGGCAGCGCCCCTTTTTCTATCGAACCAGCCGCTGACACTGCTGAGTGCTGCTTTCAGTGAGTATAGATGTCTTGCAAGTACCTAGCGGGTGCCTACCTGGCTGGAAGATGGCAGCAGCGCCGATGGCACTACAGATCCCTTGGGCGAGTAAGAGCTGATAATACTTCGTCGCGATCGAAGCCATCATTAAACCGAACACGTGCATAAATGTCCCAACTAGAATGATATATCGTGGCCCATGCCTGTCGTATATATAACCAATGAATGGACCCTGACTCTTTCTTAGCTGTCGAAAAGTGATATGCCATTTCAGGGGTGCTGACCGATGCTAGCATGAAGAACACCTGGAGTGAGGGTATCCAGGCAATTGTACTGGCTGAGTATTGCTTTAGGAAATCCCTCTGGTAGTACTCTTGAAATATGCCCACACCTTGAGGAAACGGGATCGTCAGCCTTTTGGCTCCAGGGGTGGAGCGGACTGATCTTACTGTTCAACCATCCAAAGCTGCAGAACGAGGTACACCAGGCTCCCGCTACCACAGACCAAGCCAGTAGGCCACCATCTGGGGGTCCGGCAGTGGCTTCCACCCTTGTATGTTCGGGAAGTTCTTCATCGTGTTTTTCCTTCCCCATTTTTTCGGCTTCAGAGTGCGGCGTTGTAATCAAGCGGTTTTCTGAGACGGACATGGTGATGCAAAACGCAGGAATGGGAGGAACCAGATACAATCTGTACTGATAATCAAGAACAATTTGGGACGAACGATGCGTATCTCGAGCAACACAGCTCGGGAGCATATTTTATATTTGAATGGTATGTCTCGATTCCACGGATATAGCCTCGTTAGCCAGCGAAGCCACTATCTACGATTCGGTAAATTCATTCGGTGTATTGTGGATCCCTCGGGACGAAAGATTATTCGGAGATAAGTCTAAGACCTTACGTCTCAGGTCGTCATCCACGGCCGAAATGTGAGTCGTCTTTTGATTCACGGGCCCAAATATTATGATGACTTTTGACTCACCTGTCCTGTGCTCTGTTTTCCATGAGACAAACATTGCATGGGCAGCCTCTGTCTACAGTCGAGCTTTATTGGGGTTGGACTTGTTCGACCAGGTTGAAATAGCCACTATTTCCAAGGTTATACCAGAGAGAATTCTATTCCGAGTCAGTTTATGCCCATTGGTACATGGTTTAGCCTGAAGAGCATGCTGTACTAAAATGGCGCGCTGCTTTACTAATGTTGCAAGATTTCGAAATTACAAGGAGACACTGCTACCGAGGCTCTTCCTCCCACCTGAATGTATTAAGCGCCTTTGCTGATATTGTCGGCGACGAAATTACGTAGATCCTTTGATTTACGTGCCATATCCAGTAGACAAATGCAGCAGACTCCGCTGCTAGCGTAGACGATAAGAGCATACAGGCTACGCGTGTGCGGCATGATCCTGGACAACTGAAAAAGAAGATGGAGCTACGAGCTGGAATGGGGTGTCAAATATAAAGGATGAATCATTAATTTTTGGGTAAGTGTCTTGTCTGTCTGAGTCCCATGGCTTCAGCCTCGTACTTTCAGGCAAAACAAAGCGCAGAAAGCAGCATTAAAGAAAAGTTAATTATCCTTAGGTTATCTCACGATAAGCCTAGTTGACCGGATTTGATGTAGTATTTAATAAAATTGTTACATAAAAAGTAGTAACATGGGTTTTCACCTTCGTAAAGATGACATACAGACCTAGTCTCTGGGGCTTCCCAGCTCCCCTTCCCACTAATACCCACGTAACATAGTAATTCAGTGGGGTTCGCGCACATGTGGAAATGGAAATGGTTGAGACAAATACCCTGCCCTAACCCTTCCTCTCCTCCGACCATTGTTAGTTCCTGTCGTTACCGCGCCTCTAAATCACTACTTTGTCAATGAGGTCAGCACGTAACCAGTCCTCGGTCAGCTTAACCCATTGATAATGATATCAGATATCTTCTCTGCCAACATGTCTACCAGCCATTAGCCAATCTCCCCTAACTATCAGTGGTATTGGAACTTACAAACGGTTGACTGAGGGTGCCCCGGCGGCAGGATGGGGAAGGCACTGGCATCCACAACACGCAGTCCCTCGACACCATAGACCCGTGCTTGGTTATCAACCACGGCCATGTGGTCGTCAGGTGTGCCCATCTTACAGGTACAGGAAGCATGCCAGAGTGTCATCACATTATTTCTGATGTAATCCAGGATCTCTTCGTCGGTTTGGACGTATTTTCCAGGATTATACTCAGCGCCGATCACTATGGGTGCCATAGCCCTGCTCTGGAATGCCTCTCGGATACGCTTGAACACAGCTACAGCAACCTCCTGGTCAGACTTGGTTCCGAGCAAGTTGGGGTTAATGACGGGAAGATCATCTGGATCAGCTGATTTCAGCGTTACGGTCCCCCTTGAAGTAGGGGAACCGAGCACACCGACAATTGAGGCATATTGATATCCGTCTTGGGGTTGGTCGGCCACAAGGTTAGAGACATTACCAATGTACCCTGCAGCGGAGATATACTATTACCAGCAAGGTAAGTAGGTAATTTTCTGCACACTTAGATTCGGTGCTGACAGTAACATACCTCAGCCTCAGGCCAGTCATTTGGAAACTTAGCCAATTGATCCTGCGTTTCGTTCGTGAATTTGGACCGCAAACTGTTCGGAATCTTTTCCCAAGCCAAGTAATCCGCTACCGGGTTTGTCAGCGGTCCCTGTTTCGAGTCGAGGTAATCCCCAACCAGCTTCAGGAGGGCCGGAGCTATCTTAGCGAAGGTGTCTACTGTGACCCTGTATGTCGGCGCGAAGAATGGGTGATCCCACATGTTCTGTCCAACTCCGGGCCTCTCAGCGAGCAGATCAATATTATGTTGCTGAAGGATATCCTTTGGCCCTATCCCCGACAGCATCAACAGCTGCGGGGTGTGAAAGGCGCCTGCAGAGATGATTACTTCTTTTTTTGCGTTCAAATTAAACGTGTTACCATCAGCGCCCTTCACTTGGACGCCTGTAGCTGTTTTATTCCTGTCGAAAAGGACCTTCCTAGCGGAAGAACTTGAGTATGTAGTCAGGGTAGGGGCGTTGATAGTTGCCAGGAACGAGGCCTGAGAACTGCTCCGAGTCTGGTCGGCCGGCTTGATAGTTGAGGCGCAGTACTGAGCTCCCATCAAAGCACCCACATTGAAATCCTCTATTTCGTTTATTCCTATCGCCTCCATTCCGTGTTTCATCCAGGTTGAGAAGGGCATGGCGTAATTCGCATAGGATACCTGGAGTGGGCCAGCTCCGGGTTCATATGCGCTGGCGTCAAAGCCCACTGTTGCGTTCACAAACCGAGTTTTTGTGTTTGGAGGAGTAAATTGTACGCTTTTCTTGTAATAAGGCAGGACCTCATCGAATGTGTAGCTGCTATCGTTGACTGCCGTCGCCCAAACCTCCATCGAGTCGCGAGTCGGTCTGCTACCAATCAGCCTTATTCCTGCCAATTTAGGCTCGTAGCTAACTCGAGCTCACCGCTGATAGACCATGAAGTTCATGGCCGACCTGTTGCAATCCTGCTTAGCACGACATATCCTCTTAGCAGGTAGAGCAACTTACGTTCCACCCAGACATTTCCCCCGTGCATAGTGGATTGACCTTCCATTGGCACCAGGGATGTTTTCTGCAACGAAACCCCAGTCAAAAGAGGCCTTCGTATCAGGATCCGATCCCACAGGAATCACGTCTGCGGCGGGGACAGCAGCCACGGATTGTGACAATTCTCCAGATTCAATCAAGGCAACCTTCAGCGATTTCTGCGCCAATCGGGTCGCGATGACAATCCCAGCAGTACCGCCGCCAACTACAATATAGTCGAACTCTGCGTCTTCGGAACTGTCCGGATCGACCTGGTGGGTATACTGACCTGACTCTAAGCTCAGAACAGCGCACACTTCTAGAACTAGCAATTGCAACAGAAGTGAGAGAAGCATGACTCCAAGGTATCATTTCAACATGTCTGGATGGTAGCCCATGAGAAAGCCGATCTGGTAATGTAAATGTGGCTTTTTTTGCCAAGTATAGCCCAGCCCGAATGGCGTTGACAGGAGTACTGACGGTGGAGAAAACATTATACTAATAGATCATACTCCTCATATATTCCTAAGTAAATCAAATTGTTCCACACATTGCAACTTCTCGAGGTTTTCAGACCACATTCCGCAACAACGCCCCTGCATTCCACTTTCCAATCTGCAGTGTATTTTGCTAGCGAGGAGCGCACCTAAAATTCTTGCAGTGCCATAGGAATATTCGACCCACCCATGATAGGCAGTGCTTACAAATACTTCAAGGCTATAGTTAAGTAGTAAGACGGTTAACTTAGTTATCTTATATAGTGCTAGGCTCTTTGACACGACCTTAGAGGATTATACTATTAAGGTCTGGGTCCGCTAGGCCAAAGGCTTTCCTATGACACTATCCCGTGGTCTGGTCCTTTTAGCAGTATTCTAGTGTTATATAATGTCATTTGATTAATGAGTTTTCTAAGAATATTAAATAACTAGAGTTCCGGGAGTAATTGGCTTCATTGTAGCACAATCTTACCTTAGTAATGTTTAGGGCGACAGCCCTTATAACCGCCTGGCAGAATGTATATATTACTCTTTAAGAACTTAGATTGGTCTCACCTACTTGGGAGCGTTTTAGGGTCAGCACGTCAAGCCTCTCCTTAGTGAGCTAGCTGATAGACATTGGCAGTAGGCCTTTCAGACGTGAAATCCAATCGTCTCATCCACCAGCCAGCAGCTACCCTTGCAACTACATCCGGTTGCGACTTTTTCAATGACAATAAGAAGCCATGAGAATTGAGTGGGCTTTAGTTGCCCCAGTATGTAGTAACATACATTAACAAAGGGACGTGGTTTCAACAAAGTAGTGTTGGTTGCGCTGAACGATGTGACAGACATAGAAGGAAATGTGCCTGTTGTTATGCCCGATTTTGCTGAGGCAAACAAGATATTATGTCCTTTGAAAATTTACCATCTGTCAGCCATTGGAGGATCCATATATACCATGCTAAAGTCCACTGGTCCCCGTCACCCCATCTGTTTCGCGGGCAAAGTAGTTTGCCAGCGCAGGCTGTTGCAAGGCCACATGCTCCCATCTTGACGTTGTAGGCAGTGCATAAGAGCATGATGAAAGCGTAGGCGAAGTTGACATCCCAGTTCTTCGAGTGACCCCAGGGAAGAAAACTGTGCACAAAGCTGTCAAGGAACTCGTAGACTCGGTTACACTTGGGTGAAATGCTGGGAATGACTATCTCAATCCATGTATCCTTCTTTTCTCGCTCTGTCGTCTCTCCAGGTGGGATAGGGCTGCACCTGCACCATGCTGTGATTCCGTTATAGTGAAGCATTACATCAATAGGTCTATCTGACCAATAAGGATCATGCACAAGGTCAAGATGCATGTGCCGTGAGATGCGTTCGATCTGAGCAGAGTGTTCACTGACAAAGTTGAAAAATTGCCTCTGCTCTGGGGTCAACCGTCGAGCACAGAAATGAATACCGACAGAGGCCGGCAATAATGAGAAGCATAAAKCTGATATCTGAGACTTCGTCATAAGGCCCAAGGTCGACAATATGAGGAGTCCCACCAAGACAGTCGTAGTTCGAACTTTCCTGTCATCTAGGTTCGGGATCTCTCCGTCACCACGACCACGAACTGGAGCGACGGACATCCCATATATCACACTAAGCTGACTCGGGTTTTGAAGTAATTTCGCCGCGTTCTCACGTTCTTTTTTGTTCGGTGAATCTAACTGATGGCGATACCTGGCCGGAAAGTTCCTATCAGGAAGCCTCTTTCGGATCGCGCCATTGTCGGTTCCAGGTTCAGGCTCAGTGGCGGTTTCTGGCTTGAACTTATACTTGAATTTCCACTCAAGCACAGTCATCACCCTCGCCAGGGCCATCCAACATCGTACACATACTTGTGCCTTATGCAAGCTGGGAGCTGAATGCACCTGGTCGGCAACATTCTGACCACCAATAGTGTCCTTTACCCTTGCCACGTTCTCGAGAGGAACTGAAGTTCCACCTCCGTTCCCGCCAGACAAACGCCAGAATGTGAGTACATGTACAGCCTTGGCCGCAGTTGACCATGCTCGCCGTATGGTATTTTTTAGTACTCCACAAACATATCCAGAAATGTCGGTCCCTGTCCTCTTTATCCATTGCAGTTTCAGTGGCCGGTCTGCTCTGTTCAGTCTGTTCCGGCCTTTTCCTTCCCGGGCGCAGAAGAGAAGACGAGGTCCCGAGGCATTTACCTCCCGATCGACATAGAACCTGATCCATTCATCATCGAAAACAGAGAACCACTCCAAAAACCCGATCAGAACGGGCAGAAATCCAGTGTTCGGGACATCCATGCCCTGTTGAGCCATCATACCCCGGCCCACAAACACGCCAGAGGCCCAGATGAATGCCAGGGTTTTGCATAGTGCAGGATATCCGCCAGCAGGCGGAGTTTCCACCTTCGGTGAAGGCGATGGGACCTGTAATAGTCATTAGATCATCTATATTATGTGGTAGATCTGGGCACTCACTGTTGGGATGCTTGTGTCAACAGTCTGTGTCATTACTAAGGCAAATAGGCAAGACCAGCATAATATAAAGGCCAGTCGTCTCGAGGCGAACGATGGTAAAATGCCATTCTGGCAGGGAGCATTCCCCAGCTGACGTGATCGTCTGAGCATGAGCTCAAAATCCATGTCCAAAGGGATGATTGCCAGCTATACCCTTCTGTAACAGGTACTTCATATAACACGCCTTTTTTTCCTAACCGTTAGCAATATAACTAGCACGATATATAGGAAAAGGCTTTTCAGGCTACGTCATAACATAATGGGCACTGTGGCTTGTCCATGAATTGTATAATTCTGGAAACAATGTATATTATAATGACAGAGCTTACGAACAGTGGGAGCATGACAGAAAATGTCATGAGATCATTCTGGCCGTGGGGTCTAGGAATGTCTTTAGTAAAGGTGGCAATAGCAACTCTATCATGGTAGGTTCCCGCTTCTGGGCCAAAATACGGTAATTGAATTACCACACTCCGCGGGACTAGGTACATACAAGAGAAGTCTGCCTCGCCGAGGTAGGGAGTTGGTTCGTCAGTGCATACTTCCTATATACCATCATACAGTGATGTGGGGAAGATAACAAGCTTTCATTTGCGACTCTATGATAACTGCCATTCAACAGCCGTTAATTAGCCACTGGTCCTTGGTTGCAGCCAGGTATGCGAGCACCATTTTTGCAGATCGGGCCACGCCTGTGACTTGTTCAATGTGCCCATTGCAGACCGTGTTCCATTGCTCGACGACCCGATAATCCGGAAGTACTCGAAAACGGCGAAGCCCTAGTATTCTTAGCCTTCTTATCTTATATGCTTCCCCCAAGCCAACAAAAGGTATTCACAGAACATCCTCAGCAGATACTTTTTGGTTGCTATGAGAACAAGAACCTTGGGAGCTTAGTAGGGATAACGTGTCACGTAGACATGCATAACTTGGGGCACTTAGTAATTACCCCTATTGCTCAGTCCACTTGGGTGCAGTCAGTTTGATACTCTGCTAGATCAGATCGCCCTTAATTTCGATGGCTGGGTTCTTTACTAAAATGATTCCGCTGAAGTGATGACTATATACACCGTCCACTGAGCTTCACCTTCATAATGCTCCATCAAAGCACAAATAGCCTTGTAAATGCCTCGGGGTAAAAAAGAGGAAAAATGAGCATTTTACAGTCCGGCCGTAAGGCCCCTCCTGGCCCAAGAGTCTAGTCATTCATTCAAACTCTGTCGAAGTCTGTCGATGATATCCGCAGACAAGGAACTGAGGCTCTTCCGCACGTCGCTCTCCATTTGAGCCAACGTATTCGAAGAAAAGGGGGTTGATTGCGTTTTGGCATGTTCATTTGCTACCTGGAGATGACTACTTCCTTTTAGCTTTGGCGACAACAGATTCACTAATCTTTGCACCCGGTGCAGTTCGCTGAGGACAAGCTGAGCGGGAGCGAAACCACTGGCGCTACCGTCCCCGGGCATGGTGTCTGAACGGCTCAGCGCCCTCATCTGGTCGTTGCTGCTTGGGATCATGCTGTTTGCTGATCTTGGTCCCGTGTCGGTCTCCACGCTGCCTATGCTTGAGCCGAAAACCTGGGTCCGTGCCGCAGAGGCGTATCGCTCCAGGATCTTGAGCACGATCATAGAGACTATTACAAGTCGGAAGGCGTCCTCGGTGCACGAATAGCATGAGAGCAGACTGCTTACTGTCTCAATGTGTTGCTTGTTCTCTATCAATACATCCTGCACAGAGCCCATAGTGGTCACGCTTGACGAGAGCGCCGGACCCGCGCCGGAAATTGGAGAGGTGGGGAAGGACTGAGCCGACGACAGCGCTTTTAACAGATCGAGAGACTGGGTCACACAGCTACAGGATATGTTGGTGGTGGGCGCGCGCATCACCATCATCGTAGGGTCTGTGGTGGATGACGTTGGAACGCTCGAGGCAGGCGAGGGTACCCAAGACGACACCGCGAACGATGCACTCAGAGGGTCATTAGAGTCCAACGAGTCCAGGCCAAAACTGACGGGATTTTCAAAGTAATCCGTCATGCTAAAGTCCATGTCGTTGGGGTCGGGGTTAAAATCAGAGAGCAAATGAAACATATTCGAGTCCTCCAGCACGGCAGAGAGGTCTGAGGAATACTGGGCCGGAAAATTATCGGTCGTCAACGCATCTCCTATCATCAAACTCTGAGGTATATCAAGGAAGCCGTGGCTCGCAGGTAAACTGGTGGAGGGGGCGGGGGCTGTGCCGTTCGTCGCATATCCATGCCGGGGAGAATGTCCCCCGACCCCAATTGTGTCACCAGATAGGGAGAGGGTGCTATAAATGTCCCTGTCTAGAGTGGACTTTGGAATCGACGAGGAGGAAGATGAAGAGGATGGAGAGGAGGAGGAGTTGCTGCTTCTGCTGCTGTTGTTACTGCTGGTACAGCTGGTCGGGTGCCCCAAGCCGTCCTCGCGTCGACGTCCCGGGCGCCTCGCAAAGAAGTACTGGCAGTCGATGCCTCGGGCTACGCACTTGGAGCACGAGGGCTTTTCTTTTGTACATTTGATCTTGGAAGTGGCACAGGAGTGACAGCTGTCTCGCAGTTTGGTGCAGCCCAGGGCGCTGCGACGGACGACGGGCGGCGCGTGGGCGGGCGATACTGTGCGGCCCGTCACGGGCTCACTGGTCTCGAGGGTGGGCATTGTTGGTGTGTGGGTTGAGCGTGCTTCTTGGCGGATTTCGTCGTCCCTGTAGCATCAAAGCGAGAGTGAATGGAGTCAGTCGTCCAGACATTCGACAGAAAGAGGATCAGACAGTGGCAGCTAGGTCGCTAGGTCGACAGGTGGGATGTGTTTCTTCACTTTCGTCCCTGTCCTCGTTGAAGCACGCCAGCACGAGGGAGAGATTCCGCCATGTGTCTTGCATCCCTAGCGCTGTCAGCACCAGCTTGGTTGGCTTTAGCTCGGCCGAAGCCGTTCCTAACACGGTGCTAATTACTAATTGCCCCGAGCGCCATACGAGGATGGGTCGGGGCGGTTGGTCAGCAATACCCTTGTGGTGTCCAGCTAAATCCGCTCGGGCCGATTTGTCATGGTCCCAGAATGGCTAGAGGGAAGAGCATCCCTGTCAGGATCATGGTGGAATAGATGGCCCAAGGGGCGAGCTCCCTCTGACTAAACAGCCCGGAGCAGCTGGAGTATAAACAAAGTTGGTCACCAGTATACAGCGTCAATGGCCTCGTACCACGTCCAGTGTGTAAAGCAAGTCAAGCAGAGTTCCGCGATTCATGCCCTTTTGGCAGGCAGTCGCTCCAACCAAAAAAAAGGAAAGAATCCGATCACAGGCTTTCACAATGGCGACAAAGGACGAAGGCAGCGGGACGACTGACGGCGGCTATTCCACGCCAGATACGGCTCTTCAGCAGAAGCAGGATGGTGGTGCGGCCCCCGAGCCAGAGTTCGCCGAAGGCTTTCGGCTGGTCGCCATCATGGGCACGATCTTTCTCAGCACACTGCTTGCGGCGTTGGATATTGTGAGTACAATCGACCACCCCTTCTGTGCTGGGCCCATGCGAAGTGGCAGAGTAACGGATTGACTCTAGGGCATCGTCGCCACGGCAATCCCGGGCATCACGGACGACTTCCATCGCCTAGACGACGTTGGTTGGTATGGAAGCGCTTGTTTCCTCCTCGTCGGCAGCTCCTCGCCTATGTGGGGAAAGCTCTACAAATACTTTTCGGCCCAGCTCGTCTATCTCACCTCGGTGGTCATCTTCCTCGCTGGCAGCATCTTGGCCGCAGCCGCGCCGAACAGCACGGCCCTGATCGTCGGTCGAGCGCTGCAGGGTTGGGGTTGCTCCGGGACCCTGGGCGGCTCCGTGCTCATGATCAGCTACGTCGCAGAGCCCAAGAAGCGGCCCATGTTGATCGGAATGTGGATGTCGGTTTTCATGTTCTCCACCATCATCGGACCCCTTATCGGTGGCGCGTTCACCAGCGAGGTCACCTGGCGATGGTGCTTCTGGATCAACCTGCCGGTGGGTGGTCCCGTCATTGCGTTGGTCGTACTCTTCTTCAAGGTGCCAAAGCACATCAAGCCCGTCCCCGCCTCATGGGCCGAAATCCTGCGGCAGCTCGATCTCCCGGGCTTCATCTTGCTCCTCTGCTCGCTCATTTGCTTCATCTTGGCCCTGCAATGGGGTGGGCAGACCAAGCCGTGGAGTGACGGCTCTGTCATCGCCACATTGGTTGTGTGGATTGTCCTGACTGCTGCCTTTTTTGTGGTCGAGTGGATTCAGGGCGAGTACGCCATGGTGCCCCTGGCTCTGCTGAGGCCGCGTCTAGTGTGGACCAATGCCTTGTATGGCTGGATGTGAGTAGAAAACCCCCGTGGCAAACTCGCGGTTGATTTGCGGCTAACCCTCCAATTTCGTCAAGTGCCAATCTCGCCAACTTCCAGGTGCTTTTCTACCTGCCCATCTATTTCCAATCCATTCACGGCCAGTCGGCCATTGCGAGTGGTGTCAACAGTCTTCCCTTCATGGCTTTCTTCGCTGCAGGGTCCATGATCAGCGGTTTCCTCATTGGAAAGACACGCCTCCTCCAACCGTATGAATTCGCCAGCGGAGTACTGGCCACAGTTGGCGCTGCCCTGCTTTATACTCTTGACGTCGACTCTTCGAAGGCCCGTTATATTGGTCCTCAGGTCATTTTCGGCATCGGCATTGGCCTCGGGAACCAGGTTCCAATGACTGCGCTGCAAAGTTTTTCCAAGCCTGAACATATCGCGCCGACCACTGGTGTCATGCTCAGTAAGTTCCCCAGCGTCTGCTCCTGTTCGATATAGGTGAAATGCAAGTTCCTGACGCTGTGACCAGTGTGCAACTCCATTAGTGGTGCCTACTTTGTCACCGCAGCCCAGTCCATCTTCGCCAATTATATGCTCAAGGAACTTGCCAGCAATGCTCCCAATATCGATCCAGTCCTGGTCTTGACTACTGGTGCATCTGAAATTTCCCGTGTCTTCCAGGGCGCTGACCTAGCTGCTGTACACGAGGCTTACATGGCGGGTATTAAGGACGTCTTCGCTTTCTCGCTTGCCGGCGCAGCATTCACTGTTCTCCTGTCGCTTGCGATTCCCTTCAAGAAACTCCCTGATCCTGCTGCAGCCGCGGCGAAGACTGAGCAGAACGACGAGAAGACTGGCGCCACTGAGTTTGCTGCTGCCTAGACAGGGAGATTCCATCAGCCGAATTGAAGAGAATGCGATTGGAGTAGGTGATACTAAATTGGAGAATGGAGATTCATCTGGGGTGATACTCATTGGCAATCGTTCTCGTTCTCCTTTTTCTTTCTTATTGAGTCAGCTTGCAATTTTGCCATTACACAGATAGGTCATAGAAGAATAATACAGTCCTGCAGCCCATGCTTTATCGTGACAGTCGGGATTTTTCGTGTAGTGCTGCACCCGTCCATCTCCAATGGCGTCTCGTGCGCGCATTCTATACAGCTCTTACTACAAGCCAAAATTTCCTTTATTCTCAGCCTATGTACTCGGATTATGGTCTTTCTGGCGAACAGGCAGTTTGGACAAGATTGGCGAGGCGAGTAGGTATATCTCGCAAGATGTAATTGATCATCTCCCCCGGCGGATGCGTGTCATTAACCAAAGTGCTCATACTGCGTGACTCGGGGCAATTTGTCAGACGATGACAAACAAGCCGAACAGAGCGGAATTAACAGGAGTCCGAAGGCGGAGCATGTTTTGTGCTAKAGATAGACTATTTCTGTGGTATATATAGTCTGAGACGGCACATCTCCAACGCCGTTCACAACCTCAACCCAGTCCAAGACAACCACTATCATACCGCGTTACAATGCCTCCGATTTCTGGCCAGTCACTTCTTGTTATTGGCGGCTCGTCTGGCATCGGTGCCGCTGTCGCCAGATTAGCTGCCGAGCAAGGCGTCCGGGTGTCCATCGCGTCGTCCAACCCTACCCGGGTGGCCAACGCCGTCGCAAAAGTCAAATCGCAGGCGTCAATCCCCGACACGCACATCCGGGGATTCACCATCGACCTTTCCCTGCCCGACGTCGAGCGACGCCTCGAGACTCTCCTCGCCGAAACCACAGCCGACTCTCAGCTTGACCACATCGTCGTCACAGCGGGTCGAGCGGCAATGCTGCCCATCGCAAGGACCGACCGCGAGTATATGCTCGACCAGGCCCAGCTGACCCTTGTCGTCCCTGCATTGCTCGCCAAACTTGCCCCGCGTTTTCTCAAGCCGAGTTACACCTCGAGCGTTGTTTTCTGCGGTGGCAGGCTCGGCGAGAAGTCCATCAAGGGGTGGCCGGCCGCTGCCGCCTACGCAGCCGGCCTGGACGGGCTGACTCGCGCGCTGGCGCTAGACCTGGCTCCTCTCCGGGTCAACGTCGTGCATCCCGGCGCGACGGAGACAGAGATCTGGAGGCCCACGCCGGAGCAGCGGCGGGGGACGAGGGAGTTCTTTGCTTCGACGGCCCTGCTAGGTAAGGTCGGGACGCCGGAGGAAGCGGCTGAGGCATTTGTGTATTTGCTCAAGAATTCGAATATTACGGGCACCAGCCTGCATTCCAGTGGAGGTGTGCTGGTGGAGTGACGGAAGGGCTTCACAGGTCTCTCTGCGCGACCAGCTATTCTCACTGGCACTTGAAGAGGGGGATTTAGAAGCAGCCTTAGTTCATGACGCTGGCCTTTTCGATCTGACATACTGTTTGATGAGTGTAGACTCAGGACGAAAAGTCCAGTTACCGTACTGAACTGTGGAATGTTGTTCTCGCAAAAACAGAAAACCTGGTAATCTGGTAAGATATCATATGGAGGATCGAAGGTATATTGGCCCACCAGCAGGGCTGCACCACTGGAGATGAGGCTCATGGTGATGCCGCTTGGTATACGGAGTGGTAGGTTCAAGAAAGAGCGCGAATAGCGCGAGACTCCCTGACGGCCACGCCGATGGCGCCGAATCCGTAGATTGCATTGCGATGGAGACACACACTAATGGGTTGAGCAAAGTGTATTTAGAGCTCCACAGGTCCCGCTAGCAGCAGCATTTCACCCGTGCCCTTGGTACTTAACTGCTCGGGGATCCGGACTGACAGCAGCAGAAGCTTTTGTAGTGCGAGGATAATTTTATGTTGCTCAAATGCCAACTTTAGCTTATCAACCTCGAATCCCGCGTTTGCGCTTGGATGCGACCCGACGATCTCCAGCTGCTTTTCAGAATAATGAAGAATATCTTCTTCTGATGTTATTTCCTGGCAATAATCGCTCCAACTCCCATCTACGAAAACTTTGAACTTTCGCAGATTTTTCATTATGGGACGAGCGTGTCGTGTGAGAAAGGGATCGTTCGGATAGCTGTGTAGGCTAGCTTCCCAAGCGTCGTAACAGTTGAAAATGGCGCATCGCAGTTTCTTCTTCATATTTTTGGTAAACTGATAGTCGAATATCGCTTTACCAATCTTGTTGTCCCATGAGCCGTCCACTAGCTTTGGCGGCGGCCTAATCGGTTGATTTCCGATCCAAGCAATAAGATCATCGTGTCTGTCGACGGAAGAGCCCGTACGATATAGAGTCTTCCAAGCACCTTCGGATATCCCGGGCTTAGGCAGTGGGTGCTGATGTGGGGTTATGTGTGCCACACTTGTTGTGTTCAGGCTTTCCTGACGGATCACAAGAGTAAAATGTTCTGCTTCGAAAGTCGCTCGGTAACCGGTTCCTGAACGATCTTGAACTATTCGGAGAGTACCACCATCCGCAAAGCCAAGAGTCACCAATCCCCAGGAGTCCAGTCGAGCTGCCGGCAGCGATGTTGTTGTGCCAATCCAAGACAAAGCGGATTCTGCGTCATCAAGAAACTTTGCTCGCCGCTTGTCTTCCAGCGATCGGTATAGAGGTAACCAACAGCACTGGCCATTATTACGGTCCTCATGCCATTCCTTGCACTGTAAAAGGGCCCTTCCAATAAGCTCTTCCCAGAAGTCGTTCTTGACGGTAAAGACCATCGATATCCTGGGCTTTTCTTGTCTTCTGATTCCGGAAGTCATTGGTTTACAAAAGATTTTTTTGTCTTCGCCATACCAAGCACTTGCAATTGCCTCTGTCTCCAGCCAGCTGTTGAGTGTCTTGATGGCCTCTAGCCCAATGGCTAATGGCGCCCCAGCCAATGTTTCCATATTATGATCGCAGTGAAGAGATTATAAAGCTATAGCCTAGGGGTGCAGCGCAAATTGACATGAGCCGATAACTGACGTGATATGCACTGCTGTACCCTAGTCAAGGGTGCCTTGCCTTAATATACATTGTAATAGTACATAGAGTCTATGATGCGATCGTTTCGTTATTATGATGTTGCATGGTGATGCCGCAAACGGAAATTTTTCCACTCTGTTTCAGACATCCTCGGTTCCCTTACAGAGACTCGCACAATAGAACCCAAACGAAGAAGAAATGGGCAGACTAGAACCCAGACAGAGGATTGAAAAGTCATCTCTTATAGGTGTTGCATCAGGGCAGACGGCCCTTTGTTTCTCCGTTAAGGCTGTCGCCTAGTGCAGCCAAGATAGCCCCATGTCGATATGATGTTGGAATAAATTACCAATTACCCGTTTAACCTTATATGGATTCTATCGCACGATATGCTGTATCTAGCGGGGTAATCTTTGATATCGTACGATGCGAATAGCTTCAGTTTGGAATCCATTCGTTAGTATATAGAGCATCAAGTAGAGCATTAGATGGCAAGAATTAGACCTCCATTGATTTATCATCTGTATGCGAAATGCTAGTGATTCATGAATTCGTAACGGCATCCCGGTTTCCGACACCTCACCTCTTCCCTCTGAGCTAGCCTTGAGGCAGCGAATCCATGATATCATTCTTTTCCAATCGTTGAGATCATCATACCTGTTATGGTCGCTGTTGGAGAACCAGTAAAATGGGATTCGCGCGAGTGCAGCAGATACCCTGCAGGGGCCGGCGAGGACTCAGATCAACCACAAAGCTGTGGCTGCCACAGTGAATAATTTAAATTCGACCAAGGTTAATAAGTTAAGATGAGTCAGAGCTGTATTTACTCTGGGGTAGTGCAAGTTCCTATGGAGTTAAAATTTCCGCGCTTCAGTGGTGCAACTCTATCTATATGCCTACTATAAAATATCTATAGAGATTTCTATAATTTTCACTAGGTAATACTTATACAGTCCAGTACTGTGTAACCTGTCAAGTGTCTCAGGCTCGGTAGTATGGCATTCCATAATTACTATTCAGGTAGGTAAGTGGTAAATTTTATCAATATTCTTTGATTATTGTCGCTGGTGCATTGTTGGGTTATGGCGCAAAGCCAGGAGTCTCAACTAGGAAGGTAACATCAATGCCTTGGCATATACGTCGTCCTCTACTAATTCCAGTGGCGATGTCTATCTGAACATCACAGACTTCACCGTAGATGAACTCCCATATATCTAGGAGTCTGTGGACATCAGCTCCCTGTACAAACCACGCGAGCTGCAAGTTGTTACAGAACCTATTAATTTGTTGAGATAGCATTGAGTTAGTAACATCAGCTGGGATGTTGTTTCTATATGATGCCGCCTCCATGAACGCGCATCCTGAGTTTGCAAGGATTGCGAGCCTGCAAATGTAGACGGCTTTGCTGGATCCTGTCAGATGAGGCCCCTATGCGCTCTTGATGATTGTTTGATCAAACTCTGCACCAGTGCATCAATCTCTCCGTTCCTAGTGGGGGCGCTCAAAGCCCTCCCTAAATAATACGCCGAACGCAATCAGAACCAGGTGATGGCGTCCTCTTTGGCGGTGGCTGCAACATCACCTACAGCAACCACAAAGTGGGAAGCAGAGATTGACCGCAATTAGATCGTATGCAGCACCGCTCATGTGGCTGTGACTAGTGTCTGCATCACTCTATTTGGCCAGACTTAAACGGATGTGTTGCGGAAGTCCGGCAGTCCACGCAATATCTGCTATAATGGATGCTGCATCAGCTGGAGCGCCGGCGGCACATTCCAAGGGGAGAATTTGTATCATGCTGTTAAAATTGTAATAATGTGTGAGTGAATATGCCAAAGTGGTGAGCCTAAAGGGACATAACATAAGTCAGTAGGGCACTATTTTGAACCGCTACTTTGAGTAAGAAACGGCGTGGAAGAGGCCGGGCTGATATCTAAATATGTCTTGTATTACTAGGGGGTGTGAGCTGAAGAGCATCCACTGCATCGGCTTGCCCTTAAGTATGCATGGAGCTGTCTTCGCAGGTGGGACTGTTGGCCATCCTCGGAGAACCGCGAGCCCGCGGGACAGTGGCTCTCACTTCGAGGACGCGGTCATTAACTTAAGAAAGTAGCATTCTAATTTAATCCTTCTTTCACAGTTGATCATGCTAGTCGTGGTCCTTCCGGAGCAGAGAAATTATATGCTTCAACCTGAGTCGGGCAGTGCAAATACGGGGCTGGCCAGGTTTATTCAAGCATCTTCTAAAAGAAGGAAAGACTGTGGCTACACATTGATGGTAGAACACTCAGCGTTTTATATTTCATTAACTCATTCAACTGAAGCAGCTGATTTAGCACCTGGTGGATCATGCCCTCCTCAAGAGCGTTCCAACACGATGCGAGCCCCAAGGGGTGATATATTCTCCAGCCTGGTTAGGGACCTCACCACCTCCCTAAACTGCATCCACGCCAATCACCACCTCTTTTAAGCAGCATCACCCTCAATCACTACCGAAGGTAACCATTGTGGTATTAACCGCGTTCAGGCCACAAGCTGGCCAGTTAGTAGTTGGGGGTTAACCTCCAGCAAATCCAGGCTGTTGTATATTTTTAATGCTGTTTTGGTACTATTTGATCTCCATCTAGCTTCGCCAAGGCGGTCCGCTAAGACTTACTGGTCATATACTGCCAGCAGCAGCAAAGGTGATGTTGCGGGCCGCAGCCGAATGTAAAAGCTATATGCCCAAGGTCCACGCTCACACGAGTCTCCCGTCGCTACGCTCGGGACACAAAAGGGTCCCATAGAAGAATTCGAAGAGGGGGCTAGTACAATGAAGTCATGGAGGGACATTGCTGTGTTCTACTTCCAGAAAATACCAGTGAAAGGATGATGTGCAGCCAGAATCAGGGTGGAAAACGTGTGTGTCATCAGGTGTGGTACTTATCACAGCCCCTCATCTTCTGAATCATAGGAAAGGTAATTAGGTAGTAGGTGAGTTGGTTGATAATCTGCCAATAACATACTTGTTGATGGAGGTAGGACTAGTTCACTGAGTATACCTCCAGGGAAATCCTACTCATTGACTGTGCCATCTCAGTTGCTTTAAGGTTACATATGATTTGAACTGATCCATGAATGGCAGTTGACCCTCAGCATACATAGTTTCAGCCTTTTGATAAATAACAGTACAAAACTACGAAGATCCAAGAGCAGGTATATACAACAAGTCGATGACACTGACACATAAACTTCAGATCAAGCCACTTAGCAGAATTTGCCTTGGGTAAAACGAGGTTTTGTGTGTTTTCTACTGGCAATTAGGATTTGGAACCCCTAAAATTTAATTATTCTCAGATTCCGATTTCTTCCCTTTAGGCATAATGGTTATTAAAGGTTGGTTATATCCATATATATCCACACCATAGCTAGCAACTCATGACAGATATACGTAGTCCCTTATTGTAGAGTGGGCCCGTGAGTGGGCCAGGGCTAGATTTAGCTTTTCCGCTTCGGCCCGCTTGAAAAGTAGTTTAAATTGTATGGACTCCATATTGCACCACGAAATTATCACCGACTACGGAAGTCATATTGAGGAGGCATCGCTCTTGTTTGTTGCCTCTGATCAACCTATCATTATATTCTGGCGCGCACAAGGGGAAAGTGGGGTATCTGTGAAGGTGCATCTCTCGCATATCTTGCCTACCTTACCCTTTCGGGACTAGCGCACTTGACGACCTCCCCTGCGTGGAGTCCTTACTCCTTCGTTTCTTCTCTTCTAGACAGTATCAATATGACCGATCAGTTTTCATCAAGACATTGTTCTAATCCTAGTAGCTAGATCACGAATGGAATCTGGAGAAGGTAACCACGGCCCGATCCTCAATACCCGGTAGTTAACGGCGGTATGCAGACTTTTCTGGTGCAGAAGAATTAGAATATTTCGATGGCGATTGAACGTTTACTTCATTTCAAACCTTCTCCGCTTTGCTTCTTGACTAGAAGAACGGTCAGGTACAAGAGCTACTTTCATTCCGACATTGAACATGAAGAAGATGAAAGCTCCAGTTACGATGCAACTAAATACTATCCCGCCTGTATTGGAGAGCTTATTCACAACAAATACCGCCTGATATCGAAACTCGGCTGGGGCAGCAATTCCACGGTGTGGCTAGCCAAGGACACTTTGCGGTAAGCTAGTTTCATATCTCTCTGGATTAATCTAACTAGGTGAAGATGGCGCTGGCAGCCAGACCGGTATTACGCTTTGAAAATATCAAACTGCGGCGTTGGGGAGCGAAAATCTGCCCAGGAAGAGGTTCTCATATCTCGCCATATTTCACAACTGAGGTCTAGTCACCATGGTCGGGCGTATGTCCGCGTTGCGAACGACTCCTTCGATATCCAGGGTCCTTATGGAGAACATACGTGTTTAGTGTTTGACCCATTAAGAGAACCGCTCTGGCTATTGGGGAGGCACCTTGGGAGTGTCGGCCTCCATCCTATTTTGCTAAAGGCCCTCTTGAGACTATTGCTATATGGTCTGGATTTTCTTCACACTGAATGCCGCGTCATACATACTGGTAACCTGTCTTCTATTTAACCCTCCCTTGGCCGTTGTTGACAGAAGGCGAAGATCTCAAGTCGGAAAATTTCCTGGTAGAATTCGAAAACAGCACCATCCTTGACAGTTACGTGCGCCAGCAGGAAAGCCATCCTCCCCCATACAAGACACGCGCTGGTCGTCGTATCTACCAGTCACGCCCTGATTTCGGGCCTTTGCAAGGCGCGATGCGGCGTGTAAAAATAAGCGACTTCAGTACTGCTGTTTTTGGTGATCAGTCTACTCCCCATACCCACAATATCCAACCCCAGCCATTCTGCGCACCGGAAGTTCTCTTAGAGTGTGCCTGGTCGTATAGCACGGATATATGGAATTTAGGGACCGTGGTAAGCCTATGCAGTTTTGACTAGGAAGTCCCAAGTCTGAAATCGAATAGCTTTGGGAGCTACTCGGAGAAATCGAGCTTTTTGATGGCATAGATCGCAGAGCCAATGCTTATAGCCCGGCTGCTCACTTGGCTCAGATCTTCCGCCTCCTTGGGCCTCCTCCATCGCAATTTCTGGAGAGGGTTGCTCCGACTATACGCTCTGATTTTTTCTCCAACGATGGTACGACTTTGAATCCTTAAATATTCTCTTGAGTACTTACGCGTCTCTCATCTAGGTGACTTTAGGTATCCAGAATTAATCCCTCCAGAGGACTTCACGTTCGCAAACCTTACACCGTTTTTGGACGGAGAGGACAAGCACTTATTTGTTAAATTTGCTCAAAGAATGCTGCAGTGGGACCCGGAACGTCGAGCAACAGCAAGAGAGCTCTGCGTGGATCCTTGGCTGGATTACAAAGGTTGAAATAACCTTGCGGAACTGAACTCCATTATGGGTCTCATAGTTCAGTCTTGTCACGAATCAGATATAGTGCAGATTAACCCGAATCCAACACAACTCTAGCTTCTTCTAGAACTTCTTTAATTAAATTGCAATTTATCCATAGTCTCAGTCAGTATGTGGAACAGATCAAAGCGACTACACGTTAGCATATTAATGAATACCGACGGCATTGAATACAAAAAGAAGAGAGTAGTGAATCAAAATATAACTACAGATACATATTACTATACAATCGAATCTGAGATAGCCAAAGAATCATTAGATTTTCCTGCCTGCAGTGTCTGGAGAACGTTAGGGCTATTCTGTAGATACCACAACTGTAACACTGGTTTCTAGGGTTGAAAAGGAAAGACTGAGATTTTGGGCCACACAGACAGTGCCATCCGTCTCGCCTGGTTCCAGGGCAGAAAGGGGAACAACATATATATTTCCCTCTTCTGTGGCTCCAATAGAGGCCTGTTAACAAGTGTTTGGTCGCGCTTTCTGCAATACAGATGTCCGAGATTTCCTCAATATTGTCAGTGGGACTTCAACCATTGCTTACCCGCCACAGCAATACTTCTGCTCGGGATGCTTAACAAGTGGAGAAGTACGCGCTTCAAGACCAGGATCGACAGCATGGGCACTCAGACAGGAATCGATTGCTTCCGATGTATGGACGATCACATCCACACTATTACTATAAAGTTGTGGGAGGCCAAGAAAAATTATCGACTTGATATTGCATCCAGATACAGAGGAGCCTGTTTTTCTGCCTTTCCATGTCATGCTATGTCTTTTCCAACCTGACGGTCACCATAGGGATGCTCATCCCAGGGAAATGGTAAGCTCTGGTAACCCCCTAATTGTAGTTGCAAGCAAACAAGTAAAGTACACGACTGCTACTAAGTGGAAAGGAACTTTTCCCTATCCAATTGCAAACCAGTCCTGAAGGTGACGATCGACAGTACCAATGCCAACAAATCCACTCCTCTGTCAACTACCAGCATGATCAAATTGTACCTCATGGGTGTGTCTGAGTCTTGCCCAGTCGCGCTAAATGTGAATTTCATCGCCCCACGACAAAAGTCAGTTTTGCTAAGTACAAAGTCATCCTCGGACACTTCATCCCCTTTGCTGCTGCCGCCAGCGCCGGTGCGCTCAAGATCTTCATCATCCAATGGGAGGAGATCCGAAAGAGAATAGGCGTTTACCACTCTGTTCATCATAATAAGAAAGTCGGAGTTCCTGGATTGGTAACCATTAGCCCAATACATCAGTTTTCGAATTGCAACGCGTGGGGTTCCGAGAGGAGGTCAAAGGAGTGGCAGACCTCGGGGGAATACTTGTCAAAGGGAGGGAAAGCTGAGATATGTGCTGGGGTTTCACTTGTAATAGTCCTAAGGCAAGTGTTAGATACTTCATGCGCAGATGCGAATATGCAAACCAGGAATCCTAGATGGAAGGGTTCTTGCATAACATGGGAAATCCCAATCCTACAGATTCTGACCCCAGCCTTGATATTTCTGCAGACCAAACGGAGAATTTACTCCCTTGCCCGTGGAGCCCATGCCAGATTGCTGGACGGTAGTAGAGGTACCGGTACTGGTGCCTGTCATAGGTCTCGTGCTGCTGCTCGTAGATATGCCTGTGCCAAAGCCACCAGAAACAGATTTCTGTTTAGACAGGCCTGTACCAAGATCCCCAAAATGACCCCCAGAAGCAGCTTTGTGTTCTGATGAGCCTGAACCAAATCCCCCAGAGAGAGGTATAGGTTTCTGCTCAGAACCGGCTCCACTAAAGAGGCTGGTAACAGGATTGTGCTCGGATGAGGATGTACCAACGCCACTGGAAACAGATTTTTGCTCAAATAGGCCTGTACCAGAACCCCCACCAAAATCCCCAGAGAGAGGTATAGGTTTCTGCTCAGAAAAGGCTCCACTAAAAGGGCTGGTAACAGGCTTGTGCCCAGATGAGGATGTACCAAAGCCACCGGAAACAGGTTTTTGTTCGGATTGGCCTGCATTAGATAGAGCCGCCGAAGCTGCTGGCAAAGCCTGGGCTGAATCAATTACCGACGGTGGTCTTGGTTCCGCAGCTTTTATAGCTTTCGCCCGAATTAGCAAGATCCTGTTTAGGGAAAGGCACATAGACCTACGTCCGGGAGACTGCAAGGCCGCAGTCGAGTCGGTTACAGTGAGGGTCTTTCCGCTGGCTGACGCTATTGTTGGTCCTGGACGGCTTTTTTCAAGGGAAGGGCTCGGAGCGTCCGATGGTCCTGCAACCGGTCTTTTTACTACCATAGAGGTCGGGTTATAATGTAATTCTTCATGCAAGCATTCGGGAGCTTACCGAGAAGAGGAAGATTACCCAATGACGGCTTCTGAGTGTTGAAGACGCTGAGAGCCCGTAGGCCAGCTTGCAATTTGTCGAGCTCGCGGCCTAACCGTTGTCGTTCTTCATGTATATAAGGCTGTTCCATGGAAAGTTCTCGGATCTGGTCATCATCCATATTATTGACAACCTGGCTGGTAAATATACGTTGCAGAGGGTCAAGAAGACAATTTTCGATGCCTAGAGTTGCGACATTGTCGACAAACGTCACAATTGCAGTCTGGATAATTTGTTAGGCGTGATATAGTCGTAGCTTGAACAAAGGAAGACTTTCTCACCTCATAATATGCTTCCATCTGGTCGATGATCTCGGCGGCTGCAAATTCATCGCGGGAAACTTCCGTCCACGATGTGGCTTGCTCAAGGTCTTTCATCGTAAATAACGTTTCCCCCTTTTCGGCAAAACTGCTGGTTGGGAGATTTGCTCTTAGTGATTCTAACTGACGCTTGCTTCTGGCTTTCTGAATCTGGGAGAGAAAGCTCTTGCCCACTGGCAATGGGTGACCTCTCTTTGTGTATGCGGTCAGCTCGTCAAGCTTGTCAAGCAATGACTGCTTCAATTTTTCGAACTCCGCATCGATAATGGAGCCAACCAGCAAGGTATAGGTATGGTCGTCAGTAATGTGTTGTAGAACAAGCAAGGCGAAATATCTCGCTGCCTCCCAGGCCTTCACTAAGTGATTTTTCGCAAGGCTTTCCCATGGTTTGGACTGGTCGCGAAAGAGGCTCCCAACCAGGAGTTGATTTGCATTCCCTGGAAGCTCAATGCCTCTGTTGTTGCGTGCTTGCCTACTGACCTCTGTTTCGATAGAACTGCGCTCTACGTATTCTGGTTTCCAGTCGTCCATGTAAGGCTTCCCAGAAGCAACTTGCAGGTCATCTTTGCTGGGAAATGGGCGCCGCTCGACAATCTTCCTGCGGCAGCCTCGAATGGCCATTGCATCTGCGAAGTATTCATTCAGTTGGCGTATAACAGCTCTGAGTCGTCGGAAGTCTTCGATATTCCCTGTTTCATCCAAGCCACCGAAGAACTCATCTGCATACATGCCATTCAGAGCTTGCACAATGATGCGCTCGAAGTTACTACTAATGTTGAGGAGGTAACCCCTCTGCTGCTGAAGAGTAGACCGAGGAGGCCCCAGTCTCGAGAGTTGCTGCCGCCGATCAGACACCTTGTCTTGGATTTCCGCAATCAGTCCTGGGAGATTCCGACGGATGAGCTTCAGCAATATGGTGCTAAGGCGGCGGCGTAGGCTCTCGATGCCGACACATTCCCGTGAGAGCAATGTCCATCGTCCCTGGTTGAAGAACGCCTTCTCCATCTCGTCGCGGGCGTCGTCTGAGATATCCCTGGTCTCAAAGGATCGATTCCGCAAGACATGCCATCCTATCTCTAGATGAATCTTTTGATTCTTGATAAATTGCAGATAGGTGTCTTCCTCCTCCGAATTTGCCTCCAGAATATCTGGTTGAGTAATGATTCCGAGCGTGCGCTCGCGCTTTTGATCAAATCGTTCCGCAATGTTCAGGACCTCCTGAAGATGGTAATCTGTTTTTGCGCTGATCACAGCAAGGATGATGCTTCTTGGATTCTTCATGTATCTTTCCGTCAGCTTGCGGACTATCAGAATACCCTGTGAGTCCTGCTCCCGGCTGGTAGAGTAATACAGGCCGGGCAGATCAACCAGAGTCAGCTCCGGTTTGTCGGGCCCTGAAATCTCGACCTTGAGCACATCATCACTGAAGCCTGCGTTAACCGCCTCCGTGATCCCCATGTGCTCTTTGGCCTTTTCGATTAGGGGAGGCAGGTCATTGCCATTAGAGAAGGCCTCATAGGCAAAACTCCGGAGCCGCCCTCGCTCCTGCTCATCCTTGCGAGAAGGACCGGGCTCGATGGACACCTTAATTTTTGATGACGGATTCCGTCGCAGGATAACCTCAGTCGCGAATCGCGTACAGACATTACTTTTCGCGGGGAACCGCACGCGAGAGATGGCTTCGAGGACGGAACTTTTTCCGCTTGACTGGTTGCCGCAAACAATCAGCTGGGGGAGTTCCACGAGGCCACCGACGCCGATAGTGCGCAGTTCATCGATCTTGTCCAGAAGCTTGGACTGTTCTTGTTGTAGCTGATGCAAAGCCTTATCTTCCAATGCCTGAGACATGACGAATCTACTGAAAGCTGTGGAAAAGTGTCGAAGACAAGAGAATAAAATTGAGGCCGCCTACTTCCCAGGGCAGCAGCAGGTTTTATCACCGTGATGGGAAGGAGTGATTTTGCGGCGCAGCGTACTTGCATCACTAGTGCGGCCTACATACAAGGCTGATTCCCACACTTGCGCGTATTTCCTAGCATACCAGGAGTATACCCGATCACCCTGGAAAATGCATAATTGGCATTTTCTTGGTAATATTCAATCTGAGCCATGAGAATCCAGGCCTAGGGCTTGCTATTGGCCGGACAGGGGCGGCGCGCTTGTTGATGACACGATGTACTTTTGTAGAACACATATATACCTCGACGGCGTATGTGCATCAGATATCAGCATAACAAATAGGGCTGCATCTTAATCTGCCTCGTGGTTGTAGCTCTTCGACCCTCGAGCTATACTGTATCTATGCAGCTGTCGGCTATCGAAGTCATTCATTCTTGTGTGTGATCTGCAGCAAGTAGTGTTTGTCCAAATATGGACTTCTCTCCAGGACTTTCTGTCTGCCATTGTCGCAGTCACGGAGCACTAAAAGAGCCTCTCCGAGAAGATACTGCTCAGTACCGGGCTAGTGACTGCTCTCTTTGCAGCCTGAAGTCATGAATATGCTTCTGCTCTGGCCGGATGTAGGAGCCACAGTCTCTAAACTGACAAAATATGTCCAGAATCTCAGTGTCGGATGATTTGAATTTGAAGGTGGACAGCTTGACCGATTTTCGCAAGACCCCGTTCAACAGAATGGGGAGCGGCTGAAAGCGTTCATCGATGACCGGGAGAGAAGCGCGGTGACTAGGGAGAGGGCAGAAACAACACCGAAATTGTGAAGGCCATCCGCCGATGATTCTGCGCAAACGAACTGAAGAAATGAATGGTGTTTGGTTGATAGAAAGCACTGTGGCCTGTCCAACAAGCCCTGGAAGAGTTCGTTAAGAGTAATTTACCCGAGAACAGGCTAAACTCAGACTAGGAAAATCCAGACACTCATTAACATCCTGCACACTAGTAGTGACATTAACTGTGCTTCAAGTAGCTAAAGAATAGCACAATATCATCCGAAAGAGACTAGACGCGAACTGTCGGAGGGCATATTGCAGTGGGTCGATGTCTTCGTCGTGCTACTCAGACTGTGATGGGTGGAAATAATGGTATTGCAGGATAATCAGGAAGCGCCCCACCCAGGGGCTACACTGCCAGAGTGCATCTAAGGCGTTTAAATAGTGTCAATCTATCAAGCTTTAGACTGAGACCTGTTGATCAAAGTGAAACAAGCTTAACTACCAGCGAGGAAAAGGGATGTTTCAGCATTCGCCGGCCAATCTAACCCTAACAGGCTCCACCCCTAATCATTTTACCTTTTTAAAGTACTTGAAGGTGCAACAGCCCACAGTTCACTTGTTCAACCAACTGTGCCGGTCACACTTTTTGTTCTTTTACATACACTCCTTACTGCATTTCTCCCATCATGAGGTCATTCATTTCTCTTCTTGCTTTCCCCGCTTCATCGCTGGCTGGAACCGTGCTGTGGAGCGGCATCTTCAATTCTTCTGCAACCGTTGAGGACTTTGACAAATGTATTCGTCTGCCCATTTTCTCTAATTTGAAACCCTTACTGATAATATAGGGTCCTGGTCCAACCAAATCGAACCGTGGCAATGGTATATCCACGGCAGTGGCAAGACAACCGAGTATCTGGGTCTGTCCCCCGATTTCAAGAATCCGGCCGACACCAGCGACGCCCAGGGGGTCCGAATTACCATTGTATGGCATCAACTCCTGTCTCCTGGAAGAGAGATTAACATGAAATAAGGATGGGACCTCCTTCTGGAATGGACAGACCATGGAGCGGTCTGAACTTATCCCTCAGACCAAGGCCAATCTTGGCTCGGGCCATCTATACTATCACTTCTCCTTGTCCACGAAGACGACGAATGCCCCAGACGCTTCCTTCGAACACCAGATCGCGTTCTTCGAGAGCCACTTCACTGAGCTCAAGTATGGCGCGTCCGGCACATCCGACAACACCCTGCGCTGGAATGCAGGTGGCACCACACACTGGTCGGTCCAGCTGGAGCCAGGCAATTGGTACAACTTCGCCTACGATATCGACTTTGCCTCCCAAAAGGTCGGTCTCTGGGCTTCTAATGGCTCCGATCCCTTGATCGAGGTTGTCTCGCCCGTCAGCGCATCTACCTCTACCAACTCGGCGGACTGGCACGTCGGCCAGCTGCGCCTGCCAAACGGCGGCGCCTCCAACAGCGCAGCGGAAGACTGGTTCTGGTCTGGCATTTATGTTGAGCAGGCACCTATCACAACGAAGATTGGTTCTGCCGGTTCTTCTGGTTCTTCCGCTTCTTCTGGTTCTTCCGGCTCGTCCTCGTCCGGTGCTTCGAGTGCTTCCAACCCCTCGGCTTCCACTCCCTCCACCCACGAAGCAACCCCTCTGCCATCTTCTATCAGTGCTACAGAGCCAGCTGCAACCACAGCCCCTCCGGCTGTGACATCGTCTGCATCTCCCGCCCCCGACACTAATGCGGCGAGACCCACTAAACCGTCTTCGGCTGTGACGTCTGCTGCAGCTTCTGCGCCCAACACTCCTGCGGCGACACCCACTGAAACCTCTTCGGCAAAGCTCCCCACCCCCACCACTGCCGCACAGCTTCTTGCTGATATTCGGGCCGCGTTGCGCGCTCTCGTTTCTCGTTCCAACAGCGTGCACGCCCGCGACTTTGCCCGCCGTGGGTAACTGAGACTGTGGTGGCAATATTCATCCGATGAGTTCATGCTTGTGAGGCAACAAATTCAGCAACTTGATTTTTGTATGTCCTAGGCTTAAACAACGTACACCGATCAGGCACGCCGAGTCTGTGTTTTGTAGTGATGGCGAATTTTGGAGCTAGACCTACTAGATACAACGGAGAGGCAATGATTTACCAGGACGGTAGACCCATGTTCATCACTTCATGGTATCTATATAGTAGTTCCGTTTCGTTTGGCTGGCTAGCGTGTCTTTGGACACCATCCTATACCGCACCCTTCCGATGCCCTTTGATATTTCTCAAAAGCTTGACCGTTCTGAGGAGCTGCCAAACCCTGACAGAGTGCTACCATCATCATCATTCCCTAGGTCCGAACCTCACTAAATACATAGGGGTCAAAAGTCTGTGCACACTCCGCCTATCCGCGACGCGTCAAAAAATCAACATTCTTTTCAACCACCCCCAATTCCATTAAATAAGGTCTTTTGGGACTGAAATTAGTGGAAATAGAAGGCCTAAAGCTGAACTATTATCTGAATCATGCATGGCTATTTTATATGGCCTAGAGAACTAGGAATTACCTATATAACTAGCAAAAAAAATTTAGTATTAGTTGCTGCACTATTTACAATACAGGCAATTCAATAACATATTCATATTGAAATAGGCATCTTTAGGGACCAACAGGAGGACAGAACAACAGGTTTAGAACTCTGAGATATGCCATKTCCAGCGGACTTCTGGTCTCTGTATAGGATGGAAGGCAATTTCAGTGAGGGATCAGGAGACACCATCAGCGTGAGTGCTGACGAAGACACGTCGTTCACGGAGCTACAAGTCTGACTGCTGTAATTTGAGAACGAAACTCTGGAAAGTCCTGGGATAGTCATGGCAGAGTCCCATATATGTGGCAGACCAGTCTGGAAATTGAGACAGTTTGTTGGCCTGTAGTACCTTTGAAAGCGTTTTCTGAGCCAGACACGCACTCCTCAATACTCAGATGACTACGGCCACTGGAGTGTTGTCTGTATGGGTGAAGTATATATCAAATGAAGATTGCGTACCCCCGGGCAAGATGAGGTTACCTAGCATCATAACCCCATGACCAGTATTATCCGGGTTAAGCCAGAACAAGTTAAATAAAGACTAGATGTAAATATTTTTAGCCGAACCCATAAATGTGACATGGCAAGCCAGACCCTTGTTTACTCTCATTCTGAAGGGCATACTCGAAATAACTCATTGAGACTGTGCAGCTCACAAAGTGACCTTCATCACTCATTAACCCGAAACTAATGGGTCATTAAACTTTCAAGTGGTGTAGGTGCTGATGCACTTCACCAATGGTGCAGACTCATGAGAGGCTATTAGTCCCCAGCTATTTGCGTACTTGAAAGGTACCTAGTTACTTAATAAATTCTGTAACGCAGAGAGTTCCCCGCCAGCTACCCTTGGGGAAATGCGTGTTCTCATCCATGGCGAAGCCCACACTAGCATCCTGAGCTCAGCTCAAACAGATACCTACATTGTCTGGGTGTATTTTGAACGATAGACCTGGTTCCCAACGGGAGTGGTTGGTATTGGCGCAGAAATATGCTAGGGTTGACGTGGGCGACATCAATAATCTCGGTGGTTGGCCTACTGAACCAGAGAATTCACTACGCAATGATGTCGACCGCCTGGGTATGGAAATGGAAAGAGCCTGTCCAGGGATTACTGAAATTTGCAGCTCATTCCTAACTTTTCGGGAGAGCGTGGCTATCTTCATTCATCGGTCTGCAAAGTGATTTCTACTCGAAAAGGCGCGAATCTAGGTTTTTCCTATGTTGAGGTTATCTAGTGATGATTCATCACGCAAGCCAGATATCCGGTTTGTGACTGTTGAGAATATAGCACACTTGCTAGAATCTGGATCTAGTAACATGGCTGTTAGGTCAAACACTATGTGCGATTATGAATGTACTCTCTAACAAGCGTCACATATGGATAGTTACCCCATAAATAACCACCCGGGGGGGCCTCCAGTGCCATTTCAACTCAGCTTTGAACGACACACCAACACCATTTCTTGCATCGAGCATATTATCCCAAGGGATTTGAATATCTCGCTGCTTGAGATCCTTAAACTGAACATCCTTAATAACTATGTTTTTGGACAAATTCCCTGTAGATATTTGAAACTGTAAGATTGTGGCCATTTGGCCCGCTAGGTGGACGGTGAGACTCTGGATAGCCAAATTCTCGCCATTAAATTGAGTAGGAGTTGTGAGCGGCATGTGGACCCAGTCTAATGATTTTCGAGTCGAGCGTCTGATCTCTGCTCCATGAGATCTGTATTTGATAGAGCAATTGCCATCCTGAATCCTCGCAACATTACCGTGTATGGTAAGTTCATTTGCCATAATTAAACGCCCTAATCTTTAAAACTAGCGGCGCGTTAGAACTGAGTCTAATGTTCCAATGGTGGGGTTGATAGAAGTTCACAAAGATCTGTAGCTATTTACAGATATCTTTGTTGTAAGGTTAGGCATACATATTTATGGGTGTGAGTGGCTTTGGGCTGTCAAACGGGTAATAATAAATAAAGGGGATATGTTTCATATGCCCTAAGGTATGGTAATACACGCTCAGCCGTTGGCAATGTTCTTTAGAATAGGGTAATGAAAATGCGAACCTTAAATAGTATGTGGGCAAAGGTCAGTTAGACATCGAATACTTTATGGTGCTTAGAGAGTTGGTTCTTGATAAACAAAATAAAAGATAGTAATAGCGAATTACCGCACTTATGCTACTCATTCAGCATACTTATACTAAGCATCCCTCTTTTCATTCCCTTGCTTAGTAGACTGGCGCAAAATTGCCATGGGAATAGAAACTTTCCGACCAACGTCATGGCCAAACAAATAAGTTGCAAATAGCTGTTTGCATCAAGCGATATACATTAATATCCGCAAATGGAAAGTGCACGAGCTGTGCCCAGGGATAAGGGGGCATAGAAAGAGACTGATAAACTTTAGTTAAAAAGATTCTACTTCATTTGGCCTTTTTCTGAGAGGGTTATAGGGACTAGCCTGATTCGGAATAGCAAATTAAGAGGGGAAAGCTTAATATCCCGATTGCCACTCTGCAAAAAATGGCTTTCATCATTGCATAATTTCGGGGATGGTGGTGTTGAGGGTCTAACAGTTCGAAATCTCGTGTGCCTTGCGCTCTCGATCCATCTCTATCCGCAGCCAGAGATATGACCCCGCCGCCCAAATAATAATGTAAGCAAAGAGAACACCCAACGATAATCCAAAGGCATAGTGAAATTCCAGTGTCCATATAATGGCCGACAGACATCCAAGATAGACACACACTCCGCAAATCCACCAGACAGTTAGACTAAGAAACATGCGCCTGAAAGCCTTTGATAAGTCATACCGAGCATTGTACCGTATGCGAAACTCGCGGTCCTGCAGGCCATCGACAGCGATGAAGTCTTCGGCTGCGTAGTATATGAATGGCCGCAATCGCGTCCCTCTCGCGTGCGAGTTGATACCGATGGGGATCTTAATCGGGATAAGGGTGATTAACATTAGGACACCAAGAAACCCCATAAGGAATCCTGGGGAGTAGAGATAGAGCTTCGGGATGACCTTGCTACTACCGATGACGAACGGAATTAAGGCGCAAATCATGGCAACACCGTAGACCCAAGATGTAGCATCGAGCTCCCATCGTGAACGTGATAGAAGGGGAGCGCACTCATCTGGGTGCCAGAGAAGGCGACAAACCCTGACAATCAAGATATAGAGCTCGCCCCAGCCAAAAGAGATAATACTGTAGCCCAGGATCCGTTTGTTAAATTCTGGCTTCGTGAAACGGCATGTCTCGTCGGTTCGACAGTTGCTCTCCCACTGGGATCGGTGGATATCAAACCAAGTATAGTAGATTATACATGGAATCACAATATCAAAAAGTATGATCACAAGAGGACCTATTGTGATTGAGAGGTGATCTGTAAGTTTCGGGTTCTTCTGCGCGAGCTTTTCATATGGTGGGTCTAGTGCAAATGGTGTCGGCGCCTCTTGCATTCTACCTTCCTCTCGTGCGGAGCCTGCCGGTATTGGATTTATCTTTGTCATAGTGATTGATATTCACTGCAGTCTCATATCAATTCCCGTTGCGCTTTACTGATTATTTTGTACCCAGGAAATCTAATGCACCCTAATATTGCCGAACGTGGGCTTTCTTGTGATGGTGAACCCTTTGCGTCCTTTATCACATTCACAGCTCCAGCAAATGGGATACCATGGAGTGGCTGTGGGGAAACAAGCCTTTGTGACAAGGCTATCCATCCCTCCATTAAGATTCCCTTCCTGGGACAACTAGAATTCCATTAAGCTCGTGCAATGTCTGGCAAGAGTTAATTGATCAAGGCATATTCATGCATTTTCACAATCCTCATGCAGCTATTTACCGTGGATGTAAAGGGAAGAACTTTTGAGTCTGGCCTAAAAGCCCGTCAGTGCTGAGCACTGCCTTTGCTGTGATCCTGTACTGAAGTAATTATAAGATTTGCAAGATGAGCCCAGCCTAGGCAATGCATGAACTTGCTCTGAGCTTATTCTAAAAATCATATGATTCTAAAACAGTGGAGAACCAAAATTACATTTCTTGGTTCCACACGTCACAAACATCATATCCTGAATGCGGAAAGAGCAGCCCGTCACAATCATTCTGCCATTTCTCAGCTCCAAACATCTACGGGTAGTCTTTCCAGATTTATGTCCGGGTGTATAGGTCCTCCCCAGTCAGCGTAGTGGTGCATAATGGAAATGGTAGCGCAGACAGAGCGCTTGTCTTCTTGGTGTGTAAAGAGCGCTGAGCCGTAGTAGCAACAGATCTCCGCAAGTCTGGGTGGTCCTGCTTGGCGAGAGTCCCGAGATTGCGAAGTAGTCCATTGATGTCATGCTTGGAATGTCGCTGACACACAAAGTCAGGCTCTTGGGCTTGGGCTTGGGTGCCTCCAATGGCAGCCGCCGACACTTCCGTAAAAGGGATGTAAGCAAATTAGGCGAATTAATGGTCTTTCAGAATTACGTCTTCAGAGCACAATTATGATATTTCAATGCTACAGAATTGTATCCTTTTTGGAGCTAAAGTGCTTTAAATTAATCCTTTAGTTTGCTCCAAGTGGTGTGATAGTTGGGGTGGCCCGTCTCCCTTTAATTCGCCGTGGAAGGACGCGGGGATATTCCTTTCAACACGTCGTCTAGAGTCGGCAGGTTCTGGTCAATCTGTCGATTCATGTTTGAGGCCAATTTTGGAACCGAAGCTGTAATATCACTCCTAGTGCTTGCAACCTTTTCAGAATCGAAGACTGAGAGGCGTTTACTGGGAGTTATATCGGCGAAGTTTCAGCATTCGCCACAAAGGCCACACAAAACATGGGACCATGCCTTAAAGTCACGTCTGGCTGAAAACCATTAGAGTTGATTGGCACAATCTATTTCGTCAGTTGGATAATTATCTGGAACTATTTGAAAGTGAAAATCTTAGAAGCAGCAGATGACACGGGGCCTGATGCTGACAGGTTCTGTCAGTCTCCGCTCTTGCTAGAACCGCCTCTTTGCTTGCGCACAGAACCCTTGACCGCGGCTTGCAATAACTAGAAGTACAGTGGTACAGTACTCTGAATTGGAGATCCTTTTTGTTCGTTGATTGCAGGACAACTGCGTCCACTTCCCGCGGAGATAAAGGAGCTGGCTGCACTACCAAGAGCTCCAAGTATTTCCACTTCTACGGTGCTATTCATGCCTGTTGTTTCCTCACGACCCGATTGCAAGCATACTGGAAATCAATCCTTCGGCGGCAGACATTACCTACTCTAGTATGTTGAGTGAGTTAGCTACTGTGATGGAAGGATGTTTGCAGCAAGCTTCTTCGGCAAGTGGAAATGAATACACTACGCCTGGATATTGCAGCCGCAAGACGGCGTAAGTTGGGTAACTGGACCATCCTTCTCTGACCACGAATGATGGGCAACACTCACAATAAATAGCGTTGCTCCCAGGCGGGTCGACACAGGTAGCGTTGTGGCTTGGGTTATCTGGCCTGCAAGGATGGAAAAACCGATCGAAGCACGGTCGGGCGAAAAGCGGATTATCGTGCAAGCGGGCTGGGGCCAAGCAATTTTAGCCCATAGTATGGAGCGGAGCTCGACTGTTAGGACCCAGTAGGCGCTACAGATATCGGCCTTGGTTTGGTTACAGTGGCTGATCAGAAAGATACGGTGCTAACAAATTTCCCCTACTGCTTTAACCTGAGCCATGTAATAGATCCGAAAATGTTGGGAGCCATTAGTTTGTCATCGTCGACCAATGGATCTGCATGTGGGGCAATTCGGATGATCAGCGGGCTTCAGGAAGATCATTGTACCCGGCTACAGGCCCAGAAAACGATACACATGGGTTGTCTTTACATAGTCGGTGGGCCTTTCCTAAATCACCCTATGCCAAAATACGTTAGCAGGATCAATCGCAGATCGATGAACAAAGAAGAAGCCAGTAACAGTATCACTCCCAGAGACTATATTCTAGGTACTAAATATAGTTGCCTGCAGTGCCAGGTGACTATATAATCTATATCCACTCTGGGCAATTCTGTTCGTACAAAACGAGCACAAAGGACATTTCTCAACAAGGAAACGGAGACATGATAGTCAGTCATCGATAGGTCAAACCCATGGTGGCCTGACTGGTATCTATCGCTCGAACGGAGAGAATCTGATGGGTATGCATACAGGTCTGTTCCTTGAGCGCTCGGTCAACAACACCACTCTAAGGGTAAATAGTCAAAAACACGGAATTTTTAGGGGTAGAACGTCAGCTTTCTGATTTCTTGCGAGCGTCGAAATCTTAGGAGAGGTGATCTCCACGGGCTGCGGGATTCACGGCGCTCTAACCTTCTCTTCATAGGAAGAAAGGAGCTGACATTGGGCTCTGTTCAAGTTTTGGAGACGGTCCAGGCCCTTCTCAAGTTCACTGAGAAGATCACGGATTTTCGCCGAGGACCGTGTCAGGAGATGGATGCACGCACGTCGGTTACGCATCTTACTTAATAGAGCTGATCGCGAGACCTTCTGTTGGCGGCGGCAATGTTGTCGGTTGTCGCGGTTGAAGTTCCTCCTTCGCTCCATTGGCGTGACCTAGCCTTCAGGGTTGTACCCGACAAATGGCCCACAGAATATCAAAGGGTTTAAAATGATCCTAACAGAGAACTTCACAAAGGCTGGGCCAAATTTGTCACCCTGACCAGATAGCTTACTATGAGTCGATGTGTAATGAGCTAGTTCTCCGTCGGCTGGTGAAACACTCTGCAATTTCTCCAGGACTTTCTTTCTCTTGAGTATGGAAGGGGACTTGGAACGCAAAGTCTCTGGGGTCTGACCAGAATCGATCATCCAAATAAGGCTTTCCGGGAGCGACGTCATACACCAGAGCAAAAAAGTCTCGAAAAGTCTAGAACTCTTCATCTTATGTATTGGTTTCCTTCGCTCAACGGTCAATCGTTCTAGTTCCAGAGAGATCGGAAAGCAGAACTGGCATCAATTCTACCGCGAGCTCCGCGTGATTGCCTTGCTTGAGCCAAAAATGAGCTGTGAGTATCGGTCGGACACGGCGTGAGGCAAAGAAATGATTAGATCAGCTATGATCACCAGGCTTACTTGGTGGGAAAGTCCAGCAGCATCAGATCATTACACACTCCACATTTCGACGCAGCACTGCAAGCTGTGCGTAAGATTTAACATGGCGTTGTCCTGGTTCAAGAGCCAAAGTTCCTGGGACCGCTGGAGGCAACGGAGAAGCTTCCCTCGTCACCCGTGATGAAAAGACGGCAGGTTCGTCCATCTAGCATAATATGCAAACTGCCAGGCTCATCAGCGTAATTTGATAAGGCTGCGAAATCATGGGCGCAAAGGTTAGCTTGATTGTGGTTGCAATGCATTTCTTCTGAAGGACGATGAAATATGTGCAAAACCAGACTGGATTCGATTTATCGTAGCAACGACCGCAGTTAAACAATGCCTTAATACCCACGTGTACTCTGAGGAGACGCCGTAACGGGCTTAGACTGCCGATTGGATTCTCCCGGACATGAGGATCAGAGCCCCAATTCCTGTTTTTCTCTATGCACTTAAGAGACCTCAAAGCTGCGCCTGGCCTAACTCCCATAGTTGACGGCCCGCAAATTGCCCGTTTTGTATGTAGCCCGAGGAAGTAAGAGATGAGTTGGGGCTTAAGGATAGGCCTGTTCAAAGGTCCTGGGCAATACAATTAAGATTTTCGAATCAAGGGTAGGCTCCTCAAAACACGGTTGGCCGGTAACAAATAAGACAACGAAAAAGACAGATGGTACGCAGAAATGAACATGTCTCCAACACCTTCCATAACGCCTGTACCAACCGCTTCTCATTGATAGGCTTGGTCATGTGGTCATTGATACCTTTTAACAGACTCGCGTCCTTGGCCTCCCTATGGATACAACCCCAAGCTAAACAGTGGGTGAGAACCTACCAGAGGATAGTCTGCACCGTTCAATGCCACAATATGACTGACACTGCCGGAGCAGAAGTCACCAAAGTTAGATGAAGAACCCATGGGCACCTTTTGACCACCATATGGGCGTTCGTTTTTAGCCCAACGGCGCTCTGCCATCATTTATCTAACTCATCTTTCATGACTCTAGTCTGCATCCACTCACCCAGCTAGAACACTAGATCACGATGGCCCAACACCCAAACACACCAATACCAGTGATTGTGTTGGCTGTTGGATTATTTGTCCTTGCCATTGGTGCAATCATGTATGGGAGTCTGTTTCAGAAGCCTATGGAGTTCGTGAGTGCAAGTAGACTAATGACTCTGTCTCAGAGCATACAATTTCGCCGAAATGCAGCCCCTGCACCAGTCAGTACCACCTCAAAAGAAAAGAAACGTTTATCAGACACAGAAATGCTGCAAAAGCTCGAGTCTCAGTGTCCCACCAAATCGTACGACGAATGGGTAGAACACGCGCAGATCGAGCAAGACTTGTCTGACCGCGATTCAACCCATTTCACATGGTAGGTCCGATAGTGGAAC